CATATAGGGGTCATGCTTGCAACAGAAATGGTTCCTTTAGAAACCATTGATTATGAGTAGACACATTATTGTAGCTCCTGATTACATATACAAATTGTGGGAGGCAGAAGCGGCAGCTTCTCAGGGTGATCAAGCAGATGCGATGTTCTGACATCTTGTGCACAACGTCGCCAGGAGCCAGGGGCTGGAGCTGAATGCCCTCTGAACACTGAGGGGGCCTGACCCCCTTGGGGGAAAAAAAACCTTTGCCCCCCAAGTGCTTCAGTCTCTAGGAGCTAGCACCTACAGTGGGAGGCAGCCATAGTTCAATACAGTGGTACCTCGGGTTACAGACACTTCAGGTTACAGACTCCACTAACCCAGAAATAGTACCTCAGGTTAAGAACTTTGCTTCAGGATGAGAACAGAAATTGCATGGCGGCGGCAGTGGGAGGCCCCATTAGCTAAAGTGGTACCTCAGGTTAAGAACAGTTTCAGGTTAAGAACGGACCTCCAGAACTAATTAAGTTCTTAACCCGAGGTACCACTGTATGATGCTAAATACAGTATGTGTAGGGACCCACAGGAAGCTGCCTTAATATGCTTGACTCTGGACAGCTGTGATCAGTCAGGGCAGTGCAGATAATACAGAGATAATACAATGTTCTGAACTTTTAATGTCCCTCTGTTCACTCATAAGTACAAGAAGCAGTCCTTAGGCTCCAATCCTAAACACACTTTCTAAGCACAGTGTTCTGAGTAAACATCTATAGGACTGCATAGTTGCTTGTTTATTGTTAAGTTGTGGGTGAACATATCAGATGACACAGTGATTCTTCAAACAGCTCTTGTTTATTCACAGGCCAGAACAGAACTGAACTGAAGGGTGCAGTCAGCCTGCTTATATAGAGCTCCAGTACAACGCAACTGTAACAATTTTCTAAAACTATCCAATCACTGAACGTCACTTTCGATCCCTTATTTGCATAACTATCTACAGTATCCCCCTGCTGGCCCAGGGTGAGAACTTCAGTACATAACATTTATATTCTGAAGAGATCTGTAAACGTGACATGAAGGCGGGCAGCATTAACCCTGCCATGGGGGAATCCCTGCCAGACGACCACAGTGCCTGGAAACAATCAGTCAGATTGTGCATCTGCAGCAGTGACCAGAGGAGGAATGACCACTGGGAGGAGCGTGGAAAGAAAAAACGCCATGGTACACCTGCAGCAGCACAATCAGATGCCTTCATCTGCCCCAGCTGCAACAAAACATGTCTCTACAGCTGGAGCAAGTGCTGGAACCTTCCAACAGTTTGACTTCACCCCCAAAGGCACATTCCTCCATTGTCTCCCAAGACAGATGGATGTCAACCAGGCTTTGAATGGTCAGGACTTATTTCCAAGTCCACCCTTAGGTAGATCCCAGGTGGGGATGGCAATCTTTTACAATTCTGATTAAAAACAAGGTCCTCCAAACTCTGCAGTAAATGAATTAAGGGTTCTAATGACAAAAAAAGAGGGAGACTGGAGTCTTAGCAGCCCTGTAGAATTCATCAAGCCTAAAAAATTCACTCAGTGGCTGTCCAGAATGTTTTTGACTTCCTGTGGTCGAAATGCAATTAAATTCATATTGAGAAAATATATGAACTCCTTTCTTCGGAGTGGCGAGTATGGAAATGTCACTCATACAAGATATTTTCATCTAGGGAAGGTTGATTTTTTTGGTTATCAATGTTTTATTGAGGATCGTTCACCATGGCAGACAGAAACATTGACAATGTAATATAACGTGTTCACCAGATCGTTACATAAGTTGATTCAATTCAAATGGCCTGAAAACATCCATTAACACAATCATGAATATGTCCATAATCTTGAAACCCTATTATTCCCTGGAATTAGCAATTGCAGTAATAAATAAGTAATCTACCTGAGTGTAGGGGATGATGGTGGCGCTGTGGGTAAAACCTCAGTGCCTAGGACTTGCCGATCACATGGTCAGCGGTTCGAAGCCCCGCGGCGGGGTGCGCTCCTGTCGTTCGGTCCCAGCACCTGCCAACCTAGCAGTTCGAAAGCACCCCTGGGTGCAAATAGATAAATAGGGACCGCTTACTAGCGGGAAGGTAAACGGCGTTTCCGTGTGCTGCGCTGGCTCGCCAGATGCAGCTTGTCACGCTGGCCATGTGACTTGGAAGTGTCTGCGGACAGCTCTGGCTCCCGGCCTTTAGAGTGAGATGAGTGCACAACCCTAGAGTCTGTCAAGACTGGCCCGTACGGGCAGGGCTACCTTTACCTTTACCTTTACCTGAGTGTACCTTTAAACAGCACATAATAAGCAGTGCGAGAAACAGATGAAAAGGGAAAGCGCAATGAAGCGAGTCAAGAAAATATGCTTTATCATCCTCCATTTGGCCATGAGCCTTTCCTGAAGGCATTCTCTACCTAAATGCACCCCTTATTTCAAGAATGGGGTAGTGGCGCCCGCCCTGTGGAACGCCCTCCTACCAGATGTCAAAGAGAACAACAACTACCAAACTTTTAGAAGGCAGCCCTGTTTAGGTAAGCTTTTAATGCTTGATGTATTACAGTGGTACCTCAGGTTAAGTACTTAATTCGTTCTGGAGGTCCGTACTTAACCTGAAACTGTTCTTAACCTAGAATCATAGAATCATAGAGTTGGAAGAGACCACAAGGGCCATCGAGTCCAACCCCCTGCCAAGCAGGAAACACCATCAGAGCACTCCTGACATATGGTTGTCAAGCCTCTGCTTAAAGACCTCCAAAGAAGGAGACTCCACCACACTCCTTGGCAGCAAATTCCACAGTCGAACAGCTCTTACTGTCAGGAAGTTCTTCCTAATGTTTAGGTGGAATCTTCTTTCTTGTAGTTTGGATCCATTGCTCCGTGTCCGCTTCTCTGGAGCAGCAGAAAGCAACCTTTCTCCCTCCTCTATGTGACATCCTTTTATATATTTGAACATGGCTATCATATCACCCCTTAACCTCCTCTTCTCCAGGCTAAACATGCCCAGCTCCCTTAGCCGTTCCTCATAAGGCATCGTTTCCAGGCCTTTGACCATTTTGGTTGCCCTCCTCTGGACATGTTCCAGTTTGTCAGTGTCCTTCTTGAACTGTGGTGCCCAGAACTGGACACAGTACTCCAGGTGAGGTCTGACCAGAGCAGAATACAGTGGCACTATTACTTCCCTTGATCTAGATGCTATACTCCTATTGATGAGGCCCAGAATTGTATTGGCTTTTTTAGCTGCCGCGTCACACTGTTGGCTCATGTCAAGTTTGTGGTCAACCAAGACTCCTAGATCCTTTTCACATGTACTGCTCTCAAGCCAGGTGTCCCCCATCTTGTATTTGTGCCTCTCATTTTATTGCCCAAGTGCAATACTTGACATTTCTCCCTGTTAAAATTCATCTTGTTTGTTTTGGCCCAGTTCTCTAATCTGTCAAGGTCGTTTTGAAGTGTGATCCTGTCCTCTGGGGTGTTAGCCACCCTCCCAGTTTGGTGTCATCTGCAAATTTGATCAGGATGCCCTTGAGTCCGTCATCCAAGTCGTTGATAAAGATGTTGAATAAGACCGGGCCCAAGACAGAACCCTGTGGCACCCCACTAGTCACTCTTCTCCAGGATGAAGAGGAACCATTGATGAGCACCCTTTGGGTTCGGTCAGTCAGCCAGTTACAAATCCACTGAGTGGTAGCATAGTCAAGACCGCATTTTACCAGCTTCTTTACAAGAATATCATGGGGCACCTTGTCAAATGCCTTGCTGAAATCAAGGTAGGCTACATCCACTGCGTTCCCTTCATCTACCAGGCTTGTAATTCTGTCAAAAAACGAGATCAGGTTAGTCTGACATGACTTATTTTTCAGAAATCCATGCTGACTATTGGTGATCACAGCATTCCTTTCTAGGTGCTCACAGACTGTTTGCTTGAAGCACCACTTTAGCTAATGGGGCCTCCTGCTGCCACCGCGCCGCCGGAGCATGATTTCTGTTCTCATCCTGAAGCAAAGTTCTTAACCTGAAGCACTATTTCTGGGTTAGCGGAGTCTGTAACCTGAAGCGTATGTAACCTGAAGCGTATGTAACCTGAGGTACCACTGTACTGTATTTTAATATTTGATTGGAAGCTGCCCAGAGTGGCTGGGGAAGCCCAGCCAGATGGGCAGGGTATAAATAATAAATTATTATTATTATTATTATTATTATTATTATTATTATTAACCTTTGGCTCTGCAGATGCTGCTTGAAATATACTTGGAGTTGAGAGTGGATTCAACTCGGTACATAACACTCCTGAACTACCACTCCCATCAGCCTTAGCTTTGGGGGGCAGCTAGCACAGAACAGGACCAAGTAAACACTGAAACTACCCTCTGATGGTTAAATAAATGAAACAACATTGTATGATGGAATCTGATATCAGTCCTTACTGGCACATTTGAGAGAACATCACAGGGAGCAAAGGGGAAGTCCCACCCTGAGTCTGGCAGAGCACCAAAGAACATGGACTTCATGAACATTTTGATACTCAATCAGGAAGTGAGTGCCTTACTTTGCATTAGAAATGAAAGAGGAAAGGCTGGGTATTTCCCCATCAGGGAGAGATTTTACTGCCTGGACTAATCCTTAAGCAATAGTAAACATTAAAGATACATGGGGAAGATTGAAGTGGCTCCCAGCCCGTGCAACTCTACCTCTAAACCATCAGTTGGTTAATCAATAACAAATTTTAAGAGCTTTAGGAAATTGGGGGGAAGGGGAAACTTTTCCCATTTGATGTTTTGTTGAATGATCAATCTAACTTTCTAACCTTTGAGCTTGAACTGATGCTGGAAGTTTAGTTTCGCACGACTGCAGTCACCGGAAGCATGCAAATTTGTTGAATTAGCAGCACATGTCAAGAAAGTTAGAAAATAAGTTAGTGGAGAAGTTGGGCAATGAACACGTTCTTGTTCTTGTGTTGTGTTGGTTGATTGACACAAGAGGAAAGAGTGATGCCAGCGTCGACCTGTAGGAACTTCTGTAGCAAAAGGATCCTGCCTCCGTTGCCTGTTTATCCCATTGATTGCTACTTCAGAAGCCCCTATGCATACCCTGGTAATGTAACAGATGTCAACCAGGCTTTGAATGGTCAGGACATATTTCCAAGCCCTCCTTAGGTAGATCCCAGGTGGGGATGGCAAATTCGAAAGCACGTCAAAGTGCAAGTCGATAAATAGGTACCGCTCCGGCAGGAAGGTAAACGGCGTTTCCGTGCACTGCTCTGGTTTGCCAGAAGGGGCTCAGTCATGCTGGCCACATGACCCGAAAACTGTCTGCCTATAGAGTGAGATGAGCGCACAACCCCAGAGTAGTCCGTGACTGGTCAGGGGTCAAGGGTCCCTTTACCTTTTAAGGAAAAGCAGAGACATCACCTTGTTGACAAAGATCTGTATAGTTAAAGCTATGGTTTTCCCAGTAGTGATGTATGGAAGTGAGAGCTGGACCACAAAGAAGGCTGATCTGCAGCTCTTCCCCTGTGGTCCAGAAGCGTGTGTTTGAAACGAAAAATGACCATGCATTACCAGACAGCAACCCTCCTATTGTTACTCCATGCTTCTTTTATGATGACACCAACATGTGCTGATACTGCAACACTAACACAGCTGAATGAATTTGGATGCTACTGAGAGGTCACAGAACAGAGGGCTTATTCAAGTGCATGGCAGTTTGCCATGCTCTGACTGTCTATAACCCAGGGAGTGTGAGATTGACAGGCAGGCAGTGTGTGAAAAAGGAACTTTAATAAACACCAGGTGTCATCCTGTCATTATACAAATCCAAGGTGCGACTTCTCCCCACCTGCTGCCCAGTTACTATAGCAGATGGGCATTTGGCTGTGAGCCTGCTTAAACTGGCAAGCTAATTCTGTCTTTGTGTTCATGGCTTTTCACAGAAGATACTACATTTAAGCTTAGACTGGCAAGCATGTCTGCATCTGTTGCAAACATTCCTTTCCACCCAATTCATTTTTGTATGTTCTTTTCACTAATATAATTTGCAAGTACGCATTTTATGCACACATGACGTTAGTATATGCATTTTTGTGCATATTACTTGACACTGCAAAATTCAGAAAAGTGCACGTTTTGAAGGATGTCTATAGAATCATAGAATTCTAGAACTGGAATCTATATTTTTGGTTCACAAATTGTTTGGGAAAGTGCTATTTAGGTAGATTCACCTTGAATTGTGAACCACTCTAAATTTCTTTATCTATTCAAAATGTTAGACTTCTCGGAACCCACCCTTCAGCTTTCCTGAAAAGCAGCTTTATAAATTTCACCTGACAGCACCTCTTTCAGAATTGAATAGCAGTGTTACACACAAACTCTGCATCCCATCTCCCAATGAAAGGAAAGAAGGCAGAATGACTTCTGAATCTGCTGAAGTCCTTGGATCTGCTGAAGTCCTTTCAGGCGAAGTTTCTTGAAAGTTTGAAAAAGAAACTGAAGAAAAAATGGAAGAAAAATAATGAGCTCTCAATATACATTTATATATTTAACTCCAGTGAATCTGTGGCTTAATTATTTAAGGTGTGAGTCTCTGTGTGTGCCTATATCTATAGCAGCTGTTGTAACATTAAGCTCTCCAGATCTACTTGAACTACACACAAACACACACACAAGTGTGCAAGCGCGCATGCATGCACACACATACACACAAACCCACACATATTGGCTTCCAGTAATGGATTTAGAAATGTTACAGGAAGTGGTTGTGGTTGCAAGAAACATGTTCCGGGAAAGTGTACCATTCCAGGTGTTCTTTATTTAATGAACAAACAAACCTGGAACTATGCAAAATCTGCCCTGAGAAATTGCACCGACTCATCAAGGTTTTATTTATATGCGGTTTTGTTTTCCCTCAAAGTGCCTGCAAAGTCTATTTGCTCCATAGCAAAATAACATTCTACTTACATAGCTTCTTAATGAAATTTTATAGCCCACCCTTCCTCCCCCAAGGAGCCCAAGGCAGCAAACACAGTTTTGATAAAACACGTTCATTAGAAATAAAAGAAAAACGTATATAGAACAATTTTATTTTATTTTTAAATTGAAAGCACATAAAAACATTTGATAACATTGCAAGGCAAAACTTGGGGTTGGGGGCAGTATCCAGCAAAACAGATCTACACAAAGGAACTTCTCCTCTCTCTCCTGATCCCGTGCACCCCACTGTGTCACCCTAAATCTGTTCTGGGGTTTTCTCCAACCTTCTGGAGCAGATCTAGAGATGGCACTGGGGCATTTGGAGAAAGGAAGAGCAAGAGGAACTTCCACTGAGCAAGTGGAACTCCTTGTCCTAGCAGATCTATTTAGTTGAATATTGCCCGGGGCCTGTGGGCGTTTGTAGGGGCAAATAAGAATTGCAGTGGTAGGCAGAAGGGCAGTCCCCATACTTCCTTCACCTGTGCCCTCCTCCTACATGGGTTGTTCTATTCTGTACAGTGGTACCTCGGGTTACAGATGCTTCAGGATACAGATGCTTCAGGTTACAGACTCCGCTAACCCAGAAATAGTATCTCGGGTTAAGAACTTTGCTTCAGGATGAGAACAGAAATTGTGTGGCGGCAGTGCAGTGGCAGCGGGAGGCCCTATTAGCTAAAGTGGTGCTTCAGGTTAAGAACAGTTTCAGGTTAAGAACGGACTTCCAGAACAAATTAAGTTCTTAACCCGAGGTACCAGGCATAAAGCCTGGAGAGAGCCAGACAGAAACCGGGAAAATGCAATGAAAATGACTTCAGCCAACGTTTCCTTGCCTCCTGAGGCATTTGGTTCTCAGATCAAACCATTCCCAGCACACTCAGCTCCCATCCACACTACATATTTAAAGCACATTATGTACATGTGTTTCCCTCCCTCTCCCCAATGGATAATTGGAACGGAAGTTTATTAACTGGAAACTTGCATCTTTGTAAAGGGTAAGCAATAATTTCCGGGGTTCTTGAGAAGCCATGTGTGTGGAATGTGATTTGGATGGATTGTTTGTTTATTTATATTTAACAAACTGTATCTACCACCTGACTCTAAGAAAAATTTTAAGTGGTTTGCAAAATAAATAAATAAATAAATAAATAATAATAATAATAATAATAATAATATATTATCTATACCCCGCCCATTTGGCTGGGTTTCCCCAGCCACTCTGGGCAGCTCCCAACAGAATATTAAAAACACGATAAAACATCAAACATTAAAAGCTTCCCTAAACAGGGCTGTCTTCAGATGTCTTCTAAAAGTCAGATAGTTGTTTATTTCCTTGACATCTGATCAGAGGTTTGGCAGTTCAAATCCCCACGACAGGGTGAGCTCCTGTTGCTCTGTTCCAGCTCTGGCCAACCTAGCAGTTCGAAAGCATGCCAGTGCAAGTAAATAAATAGGTACCACTGTGGTGGGAAGGTGAATGGCGTTTCTGGACGCTCTGCTTTCTGTCACAGTCCTTCCTGCGCCAATAGCAGTTTAGTCATGCTGGCTACATGACCTGGAAAATCTGTCTGTGGACAAATGCCGGCTCCCTCGGCCTGAAAGCGAGATGAGTGCCACAACCCCATAGTTGCCTTTGACTGGACTTAACCGTTCAGGGGTCCTTTACCCTTTTTTTTAACCCTCTGCTAAAGGCAACATACAAACAGGATAAGTAGGGATGAGCACAATAAATAAGTTTGATATGCAGAGTTTAAGAAATAATTGGAATAAAGAATTGGAATGTTCATTATTACCTAGACAGTAGGAAAATGTTTTAGTTTTGGGATCAGACATATCGATGGATCTTAAACAAAGACTTATACAACAGAAAATACTACACTAGTGGCCAAAATTACAGAAACCTTTTGGGGAAAGTGTATTTTTGAGGTTTGATGGCTCATAGCACCACCTTCTTTTGAAGTAATGCCATGAAATTATGTATCTATGGAAAGATAATTTAATGAAGAATGTAATGCAATAAAGTTTGTTCAGTTATCTGTATTCTATCAAAAGTTATAGCCAAATAACCAGAAAAGGGGAGTGCAACTTGCTTAGGTTGATAGGCAGTAGCTTTCCTTTATTTGAATGTAGCCAATGAGCATGAGTGTTTAGAGAGCCAATCAGGTGTTATGAGCCATCAAACCTTGGAAATATACTTTCCCCAAAAGGTTTCCACAATTTTGGCCACTAGTGTATTTAGAATCTATTGGCATATGAACTCATAGCAAGAAAGGTAAGGTACACATCCGGCAAGTAAATAAATTCCACTGGTTTACTTATTCATTGTTGTTGTTTTTTTGTTATAGAAGCTACAGACACTTATACTACTGTTGTAAGTACAAGTTGCAACTATGTCTACTCATGAGTCATGATACAGCACAATGTCAATGAGACTTGCTCCCATAGTTAAGCAGGTTTAGGATTGGATCCCTGGGTTACATTTTAATTGAATGCAAACAAAACCTATGAGTTGCACCATCGCTGCATAAAGACTCCTGTTCTGATGAGCTAACGCCCACATTGCATTTAGGTTGATAGATGCCGCCAAAGGGATTCACTTTGCATGCAGAAGCCTTCTGTGAATTATTATTTTCACACAAATTGCACAGGTAAGTTTTTGCTGTATTTGTATGCAAGGTGACTCGTGGTTACTGTGAATAAACCCACATAGCAGATCTCCAGTTTGGGTGTCTCTTCTAAAAGATCCAATTGATATCCTCCTCGTAAAATAAGGAATGCACCAAAAATGCTTTATGGGGATGTGGCAAACCCCTTCCGGTCTCAGAGCTGAAAAAAACCTCTAGGGAATAAGATATGTTGTTAATCTGGTTCAGCTGCTAATGAGGTGTGATTTCTGCTTCCTGCAGGGAATGCTTTGTCACAGAGGAGAACTTCGAGAATTACTTTTTGATCCCAAGGACTGCAATTACGAGCTCTGTAGGAACTGATTTATAATGCTATTTGTTGAGTATGTGAAATAGGGGCTTAGTTAAAAGGAGTGAAGCAAGTATGGTGAATGATAGCTTTGAAATTTGATGGCAGTCCTTTATCAACTTTTGGAAGAACAGTGGTGTTATTCATGGCACTGATAATGTTGTTCTTTGGGTTGTGACTTTTTTATTTCCCTGTTCTGCTCCTGCACCTTTAAAAGGGTCCTGATTCATGAAAATTAAGCCAGTAAAACTGTTCTAGCATTGAGGCAGGTCAGCTTTGCTGTTTTTTCTGGTCCACGAAGAAATAGGTAGCAGTCCTAGCAGATAAGGACAAAATGTTTTGAAATGTTGTAAACAGGGATATAAATGGTTAGAAAATTCTGTAACATCATGTGAAAGCTAAATATATAAAGGATCAGGGGGTTGTTTTAAAAATGAGGTGAATATTATCATAAATTGGGAAGTTTAATGATGAGAGGAGCTGTTGCAATGTAATTGTTAAAATGTTTATAAGGTTCACAACTGTTTTGATACTTTGTGCGCTGCTTATGGGCTGTATTCAAGAGGAATTAGCATTGCAGAGATATTTCTTGAGGAGGCTAATTATTCTCGGATGTGAAAGAACATTGAAAGCTCTTTTATTATTCCTTTAAGAGTCAGTAAAAGATTCCTGGTACCCAGAAAGTCATGTGCTTTAAATGTGATGACTGAATGTTAGTGGGGAAATGAAATGAAAAATGAGGGGCTCCTTTTTCAGCACGGGAAAGGTGGATGTCTGAGTGGAAATAATGTGTGCATGAGAAGGGTGGGGCAGAGCTTGCATGCAGCTGCTGCCCCCATCCACACTACGCTCATGCACACGCCTTTGCGGAACAATCCTAGGCGTGTCTACTCAGAAGTAAGTCCCATTGAGTTTAGGCAAGAGTGTCTAGGATTGCAGCCTGAGTTCTCCTCACTGCTTGTTCACAGTGGCAGGGGTGGAGCAAGGTGAGTGCGGACTGCCCCTGTGTCATTTCTGAGGGGGTGACATTTGGCACGCCACCCACCCGCGACTCCCCATCTGTCTGGGGAAGGGGGGGAGCTGCAGTCTTCCCTCCTTCCCCCTTTGTTTTGACAGCACTGCACTCCTGGGCTGCTGGAGGAGGCATACAGGCATGTAGGGAGAGGACACGGAGGAGGCAGGGGAGCAAACAAGCCGAGGGTGGAGGGAACTCTGGACCCAAACCCTGGAATCCAAAAAAAGTTCAACTTTTGCCAACCCCCCCCCCCAAAGCAATGGGTAGATCACAGGCAGTCTTTTTATACTGTGAGTAAATCGCAGTCTCTTGGGAGTCCAACTAGATCTCAATGTGTGTGTGTGGGGGGGGGGTTGACAAGAAATTCTCCGCACCAGGTACCACCTGACCTTGCTACACCACTGCACAGTGGTACATATTAAAGGCTTTGGGGTCCCATCCCGCTTTCACCACACACTTCCAGTGATTATCACAGTTTGATTCAGCTTCGGTCATTCACTGCAGGGCACCGCGCAGTAGATTAGCTATTAAGCTGCCATATTATAGCGACGGATGTTGAGCTGTTGTAATGACAACTTCTTTTTCTGCATTGCAGACTTTGCTGACTTTTGCTAACTCCCTGCCTATAGCTATGGAGAGAAAAATGAATTTCATCCCCCTCCTCCTCCTCCTCCTCCTCCATGCCACAATTGACAGCAGCGTGGGATGCTACTGTGACCATTACCCATGGTCTCCCTGGTCTAGCTGCTCAAGGACTTGTAATTATGGCACTCAAAGTAGGCAAAGGTAGGAGAGACATGACACCTTTGACTTCACAAACTGATACCTTTTTATCTTTCAAGTTGTCTGTTAGGAATATGCCTAGACGAAAATGTTTTCAGCAGGCATTGAGAAAGGATAGAGGGAAGGTGTTTGCCTGATGTCTGTAGACAGGGATGTGGTGATCACACAGGGTCCCCGGACGTTTCACCGTCTGTTGATCGCTGTGCCACCACTTTATTTCTCACTGCCACCACCCAGGCCTACCTGGTACAATACTGAGTCCGGTCAGGGTTAAATTGGAACATAAACTTCTGTTTATTTATTGCAGTTTAACAAGCGTGTGGTTTCGTAAACGGTATCAGTCAATTACAATCATGGGGTGCCTATCCAGACCTACCTGCTCTCACTCACTAAACCACTCTCAGATACCGATTTGTCTTCATAGCCCCTAACTGTTCCTGACTCAGCTTATTCTGCTACACTAACTCAACCTACCCACAGACTCTTCCCAATTCACTCCCGCTCCAATCAACCACCCCACTCCCAACGAACTCTTCCCTTCACCCCACCCAGAGCTGGTTTTATAGTCCCTCTGACTCCACCCCCTAGGTTCTGATTGGGTAAGCTGTTTAACTATTTCACTTCCAGCACTCTCATACGTTAACGTCACAAGGGAGTTCCAGACTAGATGACACTCATGGTTGCTTCCAACTCAACGATTCTATGATTCAGTCTAAGAGTGGGTGTTGCCACACTACAGGATCAATTTCTTGCAAACGTAGAACGAGTACAGGCAATGACCAATTGATGTGCTACTGGACACCTGTGCATCGGGGTGACCTGGAAGTGTAACTGGGGGTGTGTGATGGGGGGCAGGGGAGTAACAGGGCATAATGGGGCATAACAAGGGGGAGTTGGCTTATGTGCCACCAATGGGAGCCAGGGTCATTGCCTGTATTATGTGGCACTTGTAACAGTGCCAGTTCCACAAATTGAAGTGGTCAAGTGGGAGTATATGGCGTAAGGATATCTTGCAGGTAAACTGCCCCCAAGCTGTTAAGAGCTTTATCTACTAACAGTAACACATGTTGTTTCCCCTTTATCTGCCCTTTATCTGCCAATCCCTGTGACTCACTGCTAATCCTCCTCCCCAAAGTTTTGGAAAACCTGAAATGCTTCAAATAAACTTTTTTTCTTTTAGTTTTTATCAGCCCTCTGTCAGACAAGGCAGGCATCTCAATCCTCCATCCCTTGTGGCAGAGCCAGTGCAACTTGCAGCATTCCAGGTCCATTCAGGCGTCCTTGAGACAAAAGGCTTCCTTGCAGCAACTAATTGCACATTAATTCATCTTCATTTGTCCTCTTTGGCCAGCAGGTTCCAAGGTGGGAATTATTTTGCTTCCCTTGTTTGTTTGGCCACAAACACGGTTTCCCCCCCTGTATTCTAGGCAAATCAGGATGGATGACTATTATATAAAAAACCTCTGTGGCCAACTCTGCAGAACTCAGGAATCCAGGGCCTGCAACCAGCAGATGTGCCCTATCAATTGCCAGCTTGGAAACTTTGGTCCCTGGTCAGAATGTGACCCCTGTGTTAGAAAACAAGTAAGTGCAAAAATTGAAGGGAGGTGGGCACGAAAGGAAGTCAATGTCAGGGACCGTGCAGAGGAGGGCTGCACTGAGGAGGAATGGTAGGAGCCTCCCCCTCCCCCTGATCAGGATCCTGAATTAGATTTGGAACAGTGGTTTGCAGAGGGACATAGTTCAGAAGGCAGAAGCTGGGAAGTACTGGGTGAGGAACAGCTAGGAGGAGGAGAACTGGGAGAGAGAGAGAGTTAACAGACTCACTGTCGTTGGAAAGCATCCAGCCCAGGCATAGGCAAACTCAGCCCTCCAGATGTTTTGAGACTACAATTCCCATCATCACTGACCACTGGTTCTGTTAGCTAGGGGTGATGGGAGTTGTAGTCCCAAGACATCTGGAGGGCTGAATTTGCCTATGCCTGGTCCAGCCACTCAGCCCAAGGTCAAGGAGAGCAGATAAGGTGGCAGCACAGGAAGCACAGTGGTTGCGAGATCAGGATGCAAGATGTGGAAGTCACCGGGGGGGTGGGACTAGGGAGGAAGTGGGTGGAACCCTTACTTGGGAGCACCTTCATTCCTTGGAAATGGATTCTTTGTTCTCTAGCTGTGATCATTAAAGTTCTAACTGGTAAGAGACTCCTTTCTCTTTGTTCTGCTTGTCTACGAGCAAAGGGGGGGGGGAGGAAACTGAGTCCCTGAAGCCTGACAGGCAATGAGAAATGCGAGTGAGCCTTTTGTATTATTTTGATTCATTCAAAGTACAGCTCACTATCCATTCTGAAAGTCCCAGCTTCAATGCTCAGCATTTCCAAGTAAGGCTGGGAAAGATTCTCCTTCTGAAACCCTGCAGAGCTTCTGCCAGTCACTGTAAACAATAATGAGCTAGACTGACCATTGGTCTGACTCAATCTAAGGCTCCTTCCTATCTTCCCACTAACTATTCAACTCAAGACATGCACTGTTTCTTTAAATTTATCTGGAGAGGGGAGGCAAAATCTCACTGCCCTCTCCTCATACTCTGCTTTCACTAGTGGCACCAGTGTTATGGAATGTTCTCCCTGCTGAACTACAATAGACCCCCATCAGTATTGGCATGCCACCGGCTTATAAAGACACTGCTGTTATACAAGCAGTCCTCTGATCTCCTGGCCTAAAGCTCCTGTTGTAACTGTTAATTGCTGTGTTATTTTAATGGGCTTTTTAATTGCACATTTGTATTGGGGTGTTTATTTTAATGTTTTGGTGGAATGGCTTTCTGTGTATTTTAATAATGTGTGTTTGTATTTTTTGGTCATGGGTTTCATACTCGTAAATGACTTAGAAGCCATTTTGGCAATTAAGCAGAATATAAATTACTTGACGGTGGTGGTGATGATGGTGATGTCTTTGTTCTGCCTTTCAGTTTCGTGTCAGATCCATTATCACACCTTCTCAGTTTAAGGGGCAACCCTGCAATGAGCCACTGGTAGATTCCCGGAGGTGCTACCCAACCAAACAATGCAACATAGAGGAAGTAAACTGCGAGAATAAATTCCAGTGTGAAAATGGTAACCCATATTTGTATCTTGATTCCTTCAATCTAGATGCACCATAAAAAAAATTTACAACCATTTTAGTAGTGAAGCAAGTTCCATGTGTGCAGTTGACTGTCTCCTTCCCCCATGCACCCCTGTACTCCTTTCCAATCTGCTGGGGGAACACACAGAGTGAATTTGGAGGGTGTGGGGAAAACAGAAGGAACAGAAGGAGGGGAAGTTCCATTGCATGAGTTGAAGCTGTTCCACTTGTGCAATAACTTTGTTGGATACAGCCCTATTTATTTATTTAAGCTCTGACACCATTTATTTAGGCTCTCTAACCAGTTCTCCATTCCAGATTAGCATCTGAATCTGGAGGGCCACGCACAGGTTCCCTATCCTTGACTTAGTGAAATAATACATTCTTGGTGTGGGTGTTCAATAATCTAAAACAATAGCTTCTAACTCTTAAAACTATGGTGTGAAAGGCAGGGCCCATGCCTACCAAATCTATCTTGGCAGGCATCTTGATGGGCTGGATGGCCACTAATGTGGATGGCTTTGAAAGTGAACTAGATAAATTTGTGACCAGTCACTGTGTGAGAACAGAGTACTGGACTAGATAGGTCTTTAGCCCCGATACAGCAGGTCTTTTCTTATGTTCCTCACAACAGGTCGGTGCATTGGCCGAAACTTGGAATGCAATGGCGAAAATGACTGTGGGGACAATTCAGATGAAAGGAACTGTCGCCGTGTGAAGGCTGTGTGCAACAGAAGGCACGAGAGCATTCCTAGCGTGCAGTTAATAGGCCATGGGTAAGGAAGCTATTCTTAGATGTCTTTTGCTTGTTCACATCTAGTAAATAAGTTAAAAAGAACACCTTACAAACAGAATATAAATATACAATCCAAGTATGCTTTCTGCATGCACTATTATCACTGTGGTTTCCTAAAAATTGTTGTAAACAGAAAAATATATTGATTACCATAACATGACTGATAATCTAACTTGTTTTAACTGATTTTAATATTGTATTTTTACATTGCTTTTCCTTGTATTTGTTGGGGGGATTTATTTGACTGGAGGGGGAATTGCAAGGAGCAAATGACAGGCAGAGAAAGGATTAATCCCTCCCTCTTCTACAAATTGCATCCTCTTGCAATTGTTCTGCAATGACTGGATTTCCCAAATGTCTAGTTCAACTGCAGCAGACACTCTACCCCGTCCCCGCCCCCGTATAACGAAGCCACTTGCTTTCACACTTTCCCCACCACAAGGTGGAGCAGAGCAAACTGAAAAATCTTGCTAATCCCATTTAAATTATTTTTAAGATACCTCAAAATTCCTACAGAAGTTTCACTTGATCAGAATAACCCACAATCTAAAACCCAGAAGAGCCCCTATTCCACTCACAGAGCAACAATTCCTAGAGTTCCCTGGGAAGAGGAGTTGATGTTTAAACAACTCCAAAAGCTGTGGTTAACTTTCAAGCTGATGAATTGCGTTAACTCTGAGAAAGATGGAATGAGCTGATAGGAGGTGGTTTTAAAGCTGGTTTCTGATTAGCTGGACGTGGGTGGCACTGTGGTCTAAACCACCAAGCCTCTTGGGCTTGTCGATCGGAAAGTTGCGGTTCAAATCCCCACGGCGGGGTGAATTCTTGCTGCTCTGTCCCAGCTCCTAGCAGTTTGAAAGCATGCCAGTTCAAGTATATAAATAGGTACCGCTGCGGCAGGAAGGTAAATGGCGTTTCTGTGTGCTCTGGCTTCCGTCATGATGTTCCGTTGTGCCAGAAGTGGTTTAGTCATGCTGGCCACTCGGAAAGCTGTCTGTGGACAAACGCCGGCTCCCTGGGCCTGAAAGCGAGACGAGTGCCGCAACCTCATAGTCGCTTTTGACTGGACTTAACCATCCAGGGGTCCTTTACCTTTACTTCTGCTTAGCTATGAAGGAGCAGGTTCTGCTTTTATAAACAGGCATTCTTAATACATGGGAAAGGTGGGACTAGGGGTGGATGAACCTAATCAGTTTCAGTTTCTCTTGGTTTCTCATTTTTCCAATCTTATGCTCAGTTTGCCTCGTTCCCACTTCAGTCTGCGATTTATTTTTAAGTCTCCATGCAAAATTGTATGGATTTTCATATTCCGTTCTCCTAATATAATCATTTTTGTACCCAAGTTTACCTAATAGACACATTTTTGCAAGCAGTCTTCCTTGATATATTGCATTTTCTACATTATTTTCACTTATCTACACATCTTTGTGCACATTTCTCACATTTCCCCATGCTTCTCCTTCTTTAGTTGAAGAACTGCATTGCAAAATTTGCAAAAGCGTGAATTTTGAAAGATAGTTTTTGTTTTTGTTCCTGTATTGGTTTGGGAAGTGCACATTATGTAGATTCACACTAAAATGTGAACTAAACAATTCTCTCCCGCATCCCTAGCTAGGATAGACATGAACAGTGGACAAGTTGAGAGGGATAAATTTATACTCTAGCCTAGCTACTCAAAGGTAAGTCCCATTGGTTTTCAGGCTATCCCTCCCAGTAAGTATTCATAGGCACACAGTGTTATTTATTCAGTCAAGTCATTTATCCGTCTTATCTGACTGACAAGTTGGCCCTTGGTGCTTTTTGTGACCAACCAAACTTTCTGGAATCTTCCCTTTCTCCAGATTTCATATTATGGCACAGGAGAACAGAGGAGAAGTCCTTGGCAATTCTTTCAATGGAGGCAAATGTACACTTGTGAAAAATAATGATACACGGAAGACATTTCGGGTTCCTGCAAACTTAGACACGGTCAGCTTTCAGGTACCGGTCAAAAAATACAAAACACCAGATCTTGCATACAGAAGCTTTACAATGACTATAAGGCAAATGATATTTTACTTTAGCAACAGAGGACTGGACGTTTTCCAGAAATCTATGTATCTTTGAGCAATATTCATCCTGTTCTATTGGGATTTGAGGCTTGCTGGGTAAGTGGAAGCAGGCAGAGCAGGCAAATCAGGACCCTGGACAGTTCCCCACTGTTTGAGCTATGGTAGATGTTGTCGCAGCAAAGGATCAGATCATCTGAAGACTTTTTGTGGTTCTACCCTCTCTGGGAGTCGTGTAATTTCCCCCCTGCAGTTTCGTGTTCCTGTATGGCTGTGGAACTGCAGACACTACAGTGGAGTCATCCCCAGAGTCCAAAGATGAAGGGGAAACCATGTTTTTAGGCCAAAATGATGGAGAAAGTGCTGCTGAAGGCTCCCTACCCCCCAAGTGGGGTGACTTTTGGGACATCTGAACCTGAGTCCTCCTTGGTGACATGCTGATCTGGATGTAGGAGACATAATTTTTGAATAGAACTATGCCTTATATTTATTGTGGGTGCATATCTCTGTTTTCCCTCTCCACAGACAGAGAATGAAGAGGACGATGTGGCATCTGATTTTTACAGTGATTTAATTCCTCTAGAGTCTTCTTCCTCTGGAAGCAGCTCTTCCTCTAGCTCAGGCAGACGATCTTCTGGAATCCCATTGCTCTTCTCCAGAAAGACTAAAGTGAAGGTCACATCTTCATCCTCCTTCAGAGAGGCTGTGCAAGCTTCATATAAAAAGGTACTCATGTTTTTGTTCTTTCCTTTTTTTCAGTCTCTGTCCACCAGTGCTGAATTCAAGTCTTGACCAGCAGAAGCGGAAAAGGATATGGTTTATTTTCCAGGGAACACAAAACCTTTCCTCTACTGAAGTATCTGCATTGTGGGAAAGCAGAAAATTGTATCATAGGTCTGAAAGTGTTGATCAAAGCAGATTAGTTTAGAGCAGTCCATTCAGATCATTGAAAGGGAATACAGAGACATTATATTTCATATACAGCTTATATGTTTTTTCTTTTTAAATGTCTCCTGATGGGTGAAATTAGACTTTTTCTAAGCCCAATGAAACCACTACAATACAACTGAAATAAGAGTGATCTTTTCTTGTTTAGCAATGTCTGGTGGTGCAGGAAAGACAGATAATATTAGATACATTGCAATCAGGGCTGGGGGAGAAACACTATCATAAAGTTTAAGGCGTGTCTATTGAGAATGTTTCTGTACTGAGATTAAGGTTAGTAGACCTGATTGCATCTGATCAAAAACTTCTATTCATTTGTGTTTGAACAGAGACAATGCTTTTCCTGTTTCAATACAGCTGTTAGTTTCTGCAGCGATGCTGAGATGAATCTATTTTTATCAGGGAAGATCACCACGCTCATTTTGCATACATTTATGCAATTAACCGCAGACTGAGCTTTTGCATTCCATTGCTATTTAATACCAACTTTTACACACACACCCTTTCAACAACCATGTGCATTAAATCTGACAACCAAACATCACTGGAGCAAGTGAGGCTTGCAACAAAATGGTGTGATGTATCCTCACTTCCTAGCAGTGGTGTTCCTGTTCAGGGTTCCTGCCACCCAGCCATACCCATCTCCAGGATAATATCAGTGTAAGGAACTCAGGAAGTTGTATTGCATTTCCCTGCCCACCTAATTTTCAGTTTTCTGTTTCCCATCTGACCATCAATGTTCTGTGTGTGTGTTACTGTTTGTTTTAGGTTTTGTGTACTTCTGCCAAAACTGAAGTCTCCCTGAGAATGCTAATATTCTTGTCTCCGTGACTCCATTTTTGTCGACACTCACCGCCTGAGGTTGCTATCGAAGGCTGTGATGCTGGTTTAGACTTTTGATCTGATCAAGCAAGGCAATTCTTTTCATGTCTTGACAAAAAAACGAAGGGAATTTACTTCCAAACCAATTATATTTATTCTGCACTAGGGAAAGGGGAGAATTTAGATCCGAGTTGCATTTAAAAGCAAACATCCACACTTTTCGAAACAATACAAACAGAGCTGTTTTTTGAAATTTGCACTTGTTTGAATTTTGCAATGCAGTTCCCCAGTCAAGGAATGTGTACAAAACTGCATATACTAGGATAAAGTGTGCATATATTGGTGAAAAATAGCAGACTAATATGCATCATAGCAAGGGAGATTGTCCAGTAAAAATATATATCTTTTGAGAATTTTTCACTAAAATGCAGATGAGTTTTCAAGATTATATTTTTTTTAAAAAATGGTAGACTGCAGTGGAAATGTGGAGAACTAGATTAAGATAGGAAAAAATGGCAGAAACCAAAACTGACAGATTCACCCATACCTATTCTGCTATCACTGGTGCTAAATCTAGATGCCTTTTTGCCCTAATATCTTTGGCAACAGTTAAGATGAGACCTAGTGTGGTTCAGGGACTAAAGTGTTGAAGTAGATTTCAGGCAACCTGGTTTTAACTTGCCACTTGACCAGGAAGTTCACTAGATGACCTTGGGCAAATCATGACATCTCAACCTAGCCTACCTCTCAGGAAGTTCACTAGATGACCTTGGGCAAATCATGACATCTCAACCTAGCCTACCTCTCAGGAAGTTCACTAGATGACCTTGGGCAATTCATGACATCTCAACCTAGCCTACCTCTCAGGGTTGTCATGAGTATAAAATGGGAGGGAGGACCTTTTGCACTGTGGCTTGAATTCTTTAAAGGAAAAATGGCATATAAATGTAATGAGCAAATCTCTCCTTTTTTTCTGGAAAGCATATTCTGCATGGTGAGTTGGTTTTTTTTATCATGGTGCAACATTTGTCCTTTCTTTCTAATGTATACTTGTAAATTCTAAATGAATTCATAATAGCCTATGTTTCAGTAAAAGTGTGGGTGTTATGGGGTATAATATTTATTTTTTAAAGTAATGTTCTTGGTAGCATTTGTTTAATAAGTAAAAAAATTCTTTTCCCAAGTGAAACAAATATGAACATAATTACTTTAGTGTCTGCAGTGTAGAGATAAGCTTTTCTCTTAAACCAGTTTATTTATTCATTCATATACTGTATAAAATATCACAGTAGAAACAACGGCCAGGGATTGTAAATGGGAAAAGATTTTAGAAATAAATAAATTGTTGGAGCCGGAGCTAGTGATTTGTCCATTTACTGATAGCATGTAATAAATAGAACATTCTGGACAGAATTGTTGTAATTTGCAATAAAAGGAACCAAAAATCAAGAAAGAACTAAAGTTAAGTTTCTCACCAACAAATTCATTGCCGTAAGATGTGGTGCAGGTGGCTGGTTTTATTGGCCTTCAAAGGTGAAGAGACATAATCATGGAGGGATAGTCCTTTTGGCTGCTATTAGCCATCACTCCCACTTATGGTGAACTCAGATGTTGAGTGCTGACACAAATTCATCCAGAATTGGGCAAATGATAAACAAGAGGTATTAGGGTGTGTGTGTGTGTAGGTATGTACTATAGGTATTCACCTGTGAACTGCTCCACTGTATTCACATACCCTCCACCTCTTTGAAGCCCAAATCTGGGACACCATCTTCCTGTATGCCATCTTCCCCATTTTTTATCACAACAGCACGGCGGCCATTTTGGTTGCCATGATCTTGTGCAGTTTCACACCACAGTGTTAGGATATTTCCGTTCCACCTTAAAAGGGAGCAGGATGTTTGTGTCACAGCCTGCGTATTTCCTGTTCACAGGATGTTTCTGTTTTGTCTATGCTTTTGTTCTCTCTCTGTGCCTGAGACACCAAAGCAGGCAGTCATGTTTTCTTTGTTCTGACCAACGCTGAATAAAATTGTAAATAATGCTCTCCTGCGTGCATCTTTCGCTGTGTGAATTCTGCTGATAGAGTGTGCACGAGCTCTGGAATGTGGGAAGCTATTTCTGGGGCTCGTGTCGCTAATTGCTGATACTGTATCTACGGGAGATCGATGGATCGTCCGGAGGCGACGTGGAGTCATGATGGGCTTTATCTCCCTGGCAGTATCCCAACACACAGTTCCCCCGAGGCAAAAAAAAATTTGCTTTTTTCAAGCATGGCACCCATAAATGTGTGTTTGGGGGCATCACATGAAATCATGGCCCTCCCAAAAGTGCTAAGTAGGGGGGAATTGCACTGTGAGATTGCAGCAAGCAAAATGGCTGCCATTCTCTTGTGATAAAAAAATGGGATGTCCAGGTTTTTTGGGGGACACTTATGGGGTGTGTATTCAGCCCTGAGAAACACTACAATTCAAGTGACAGCAGCACATGAAATGGTTTTCTCTGTGGTGGCTCCAAGGTGTTCTGGAATGCCCATCTATTTCCAGGTATATCTTGTGGCAATTGATATACTTTTTTTGGCCTTGGATCAAGGTGCTGTCCTAGGCATTTGGACGAGTAGCAGTTTCCCCTCCTGCTATTTTATGTTGCTGCACTCCTGTTTTGCTGCTCATGTGATCTTGTTGAGCTTTGTGCTTTTAATTCATGGTTTTAATGATTTTATGTTGTTTTAAAACCATTGTCATTTTATGTAACGTGCCCTGGGAGCATTTGGTGAAGAATGGCCATAAAAATCAAATAAGTGCCTTATTAGCAACTGGGACAGACTCTAACTTTAATTCTTCCATTTTAGAACTCCAACTTTATTAGAGTCCATAAGGTGATTGCTGTGTCGAACTTCACAGTGAAACAGTCAGACTTGCACCTCTCTGGAGTTTTCCTACAGGCCCTCAACAGCCTGCCTCTGGAGTACAACTATGCCCTTTACAGCCGGATATTCAATGACTTTGGGACTCATTACTATACTTCTGGTTCAATGGGGGGCACGTATGACCTCCTCTATCAATACAGTGCTGAAGAGCTGAGAAATTCAGGTATGTGGCAGTTAGCTAGGGAAGATCACATCACCATTTTAACAGCAGTAAATGGCCCTGTTTGGGGGAGAATGGGAGAGGATATGCAACAGTTTCTTTTTAAAAAACCAAACTTTTCCAGACGTCTCTTTAGTGATATAATGAAATAGGATATGCATGAGGGAATATTTACCAAATCTTGGGGGCAGGAGACCTGAAAAAGGAATGTTTGTTTAGATTTCCCATGAAGAGGGCACAAAGAGGAATGTTTAAATTATGAACAGTGCAGTTCCTCTCTTATGCCTGCTCTGACCAATGACGTCTTGAGTAACTGAGTAAATTTGATTGTGTGCATGTTTGGTTTGTGTGACATTTCCTTGGTTCCATGCTCTCTTCCTCAGCAACATCCCCCTATAACTCCCATTGTTCCTACCACAGACCTGTAAATCTTGCCCTTGCAGGAACACCATGGCAGCTAGGTTTCTGAACTCTGGCACGCTTCATCCTCTCACATCCAGTTCTGGCAATATAGAAATGAAAAATGTATAGACTTTTCCTTTGTTTGAAAAATCATACTTTAAAGCTGGTTGCACAAGACGCCTGTGGATTTATCTGCCTAGATTAGAATTTGGCAAGCAATCCATTCTGGATGGGCTGCTGTACCTACAAATTTCATCCTCGCTGCAAATTTCACCCTCTTCTAGAAAAAGGCGGGTGGGGGCATTTTTACACCATCCATTGTAGTTAATTGGGTGGATCCAATGTGGTTCTAAATGATTTGCTTTGGAAAGACAGAGAGCACCATTGAAACAGATCCTACTGCTCCCCAAAGCTGCACATACAGATGCAAGTTGAATCTTGTGGTCAAAGCATACCCCTTGAACTCATTAGGGGCTTAGCTAGATTGGTAAAGAAAAAGTGTTTTATATGCATTTTATATGCATTATAACACTGTGACACCAACGTGATTTCTCTTACAAAGTTTACAGTGCATTTTCCTGAAACACTTATTTGATGTGTCTAGAACCAGCCTAGGTTTGTGTTATTTTGTATTATTTAAGATAATTCTGATTCCAAACCAGGCACATATTGTTATTTTTCTGTAATAGCAGAATGCTGCCAGACATGAGACTTAGGAGCTGCTCCTTTCTGCTTACTCACTAAGAAGCACTGACCAGTTTCAGCCAGTTCTGATGAACAACATTTGCTCTCCACTTCGGAAAGAGACAGTGAGCTATTCCCACAGTGTTGTTTGCAAGGCAGAACAATAAGTAAAAATAACATGAATGCTGAGTTGCTTTGTGAATTTTTAAGTACTGGGGACATGATTTCTCTCCCCACTACAGGTTTAACAGAGCAAGAAGCAAATGAGTGTGTCCGGACAGAAACAACGAGGCGCGTCTTTTTCAGGAAGAAAAAGAAAGTGCGTACAGATTGCATCAACAACAGAATGAGTGAGAAGCATGAAGGTAGCTATAAAGGATAGTGGATTTCTAGCGATCCTATTGCCTCGAAGTGTGTCGTGGTGAATAATAAGAATAAGCAATAACCTCAATATCCTTTGTTTTTCCAGTGGCAAATACTTGCAAAGAGTGCATTATGTTGATATCCAGGGATTCAGCTTTTTTCATTCTTTAAAAAATAACCTCCATTAAATTCTGCTCTAGAATAGTCTCAATGTTCACGATTTCAAAGCACTGTGAGAGACTAATTGCTTTTGGGGAGGGTTAACTGAAGCAGATATGGTCAAGGAATTTAGCCCTTTCTCTGCTGCTGTCCTTGGAAATCTCATTTTTTTCTGTAGCTGCTATTTTCATTAGGAGGAAATACCTCCCTTAAAGGTAAAGGTAAAGGGACCCCTGACCATTAGGTCCAGTCATGACCAGCTCTGGGGTTGTGGCACTCATCTCGCTTAACTGGCCGAGGGAGCCGGCATACAGCTTCTGGGTCATGTGGCCAGCATGACTAAGCCGCTTCTGGTGAACCAGAGCAGCGCACGGAAACACTGTTTACCTTCCCGCCGGAGCAGCTTTCGAACTGCTAGGTTGGCAGGAGCAGGGACCGAGCAACGGGAGCTCACCCCGTCGTGGGGATTCGAACCGCCGACCTGTGGTTTAACCCACAGCACCACCCGTGTCCCTAATACCTCCCTTAGCAGATGCTATTTGCTTATTTATTTATTTTTTTAAAAAAGAGTGTCAAATTCATGTCGACTCTAATTTGATCTTGACAGTTTCAGCTGACAAGTGGCTAATAAAGGAAGAAACGTAAGTAAAGAAATGGAATGTATTGTGGAAAGCTCCATCCTGCATCTTGCATACACTATGTAAATTAAATGAACTTACACCTGCCCTACCCAGTGACCTTCCTTGGTGTATAAGTCTCTATTCTTTTGGTGCACTGATGTAATACTGCAGTCTGCTCTGCTCTTGTTCAGGACAAGCTTATTCCATTCCCCCTCCCACCCAATTTTCTGATTACTTCCCCTCCAACAGTCAGTCAGCATTCCATAGCCACTGACCTCACTGGACTATTTAGTGGGTTTTTCTCTAATTCACTTAGGTGACATTCAGTGATGTTAGGTAACTCATTTTTCTCTGCTCGCACAGTTTGGGATTAAACTGTGTGGGCAAAAAAACAGCATCTCTGCAAGCGGCGACAACCAGCTTGCAAGTGGCAGGGCATGGCATTTGCCAACGTTCAGATGATAGCTCTTGCATGCAAAGCCCTGTGTCGTCACAAGTGCCAATAATCATGCCAGCACTTGCTATGTAGCTCAAGCATCAGTGTTGCCTTCGAAACAAACCTCATTTTCAGCTAAGCTGACTCACGTTTGACATAATATATGATGACAGAAACAAGCAGGCGGGCATGGCTTGGTCAAAATGGCTTCATGGACCAAATAGAGAGACCTAATAGACCTAATTATGCCCATGGGCTAGAGGTTTGTCATGGCCAGTATATCATTCATTCTTTCAGGTGGTTTTCTGCAAACCACCGTCTGCGTCGGTTTTGAATAGATGCTGTGAATTTAAGCATTGTTCTGGTAACCAAAAACCACTCCTTTCAAATCTGTTCCAGGTTCTTTTCTTCAGTCCTCTGAAAAGTCTATCTCATTAGTAAAAGGAGGGAGGTCTGAATACGCTGCAGCACTGGCCTGGGAAAAGAAAGGATCTTTCCCAGAGCATGCCGTGTACACAAATTGGCTGGAATCGACCAAAGACAATCCAATCGTCGTTGATTTTGAGGTAGGAAAGCAGAAGCAATGAAGCAGTGTATCCTTTTAGCCCACAAAGAGATGAACATAGGTCCTCGGTTCACAATGGGGAAAGCATTTATTAATCTTGTTGTGGATATTCTGGTCACAAAATAAAGTTAAAGAGATAGGTGAAGAGCTGTGTAACTCAGTGGTAGAACATCTGATTTGCATTCAGAAGATCCAAGCTTCAACCCCTTGCATCTCAAGCCAGGACTGAAACCAGGCAGTGTAGACTAGGTTTCCTCAACCTTTTCGAACCTGCTTTTAGCCCAAACATGTTTTTGGGAGACCTGTTTCTTAATCTTAGGCCAGACATCTGCATAGTGGTAGAGTTCTTCTTGGCACTCCCCTTGGATCCAGTATACCTGAAGGAGCGTCTCCACCTCCATCGTTCTGCCCGGACACTGAGGTCCAGCGCCGAGGGCCTTCTGGTGGTTCCCTCACTACGAGAAGCCAAGTTACAGGGAACCAGGCAGAGGGCCTTCTCGGTAGTGGCACCCGCCCTGTGGAATGCCCTCCCATCAGATGTCAAAGAGAAAAATAACTACCAAACTTTTAGAAGACATCTGAAGGCAGCCCAGTTTAGGGAAGCTTTTAATGTTTAATAGGTTATTGTATTTTAGTGTTTTGTTGGAAGCCGCCCAGAGTGGCTAGGGAAACCCAGCCAGATGGGCGGGGTATAAATAACAAATTATTATTATTATTATTATTATTATTATTATTATTATATCAGCTCACAACTCAATAGGAGGCACCTACCCACCAGATGAAGACCAGTGGTATAGACAATTGGTGGGTATCTACTGAAGTGGGTAAAAGAATAGTCCAACTTGGTTTAAGGCAGCTCCCTATGTTCTTCTAACTTTGTAAAGCACCTAAGGAGAGATGCAATTCTTCAGGTGTTGTGGAACTCCAACCACATAACTATTCTCTTTGTAAAACACTCTGAGTCGTCCCCCCCCCACTTTTTTAAGAGTTTGGATGTGATATCCTGCTTTATCACTACCCGAAGGAGTCTCAAAGCAGCTAACATTCTCCTTTCCCTTCCTCCCCGACAACAAACACTGTAAGGTGAGTGGGGCTGAGAGACTTCAAAAAAGTATGACTAGCCCAAGGTCACCCAGCAGCTGCATGTGGAGGAGCAGAGACGCGAACCCGGTTCCCCAGATTACGAGTCTATCGCTCTTAACCACTATACCACACTGGCTCTCTAGTGTTAGAATTTAAACAATCGAGCACTGTATAAATTTTATGAACCAAACAAATAGCTCCCATCATCCTGAACACTGCCCATTTGGTGATGAGCGTTGGCTTCCAACAGCATCTTGAAGACCACATGTCCCCCGTTCCTGAGATAAAGATGCACTGCACTTGATGTTACCACAAGGCTCTTTTCATTTAGCTGGCTCCCATTTTGGATCTGGTGAAGGACTTCCCGTGTGCGGCAACTAAACGGCATAACCTCAGGAAAGCTCTTGCAGAATATGCGGAGCGATTTGACCCGTGCCGATGCGCTCCCTGCCCCAACAATGGCAGGCCTGTGCTCTCCGGAACCGAATGCCTCTGTGTGTGCCAGGCTGGTACATATGGCGACAACTGTGAGATGAAAGCACCCGATTACAAATCTGGTATAGTCCTTCATAATTTTATTTGCATGCTGCTTTTACGCAAAAAGAATCATGCTCAAAGAAAAGGGATGCACCTCATAGGCAACCACCGCAAGAACAGTTTCATAATAACATAATAAAACAGCAATATCATAGCAAATATAACAACGTGCAACAACCCTTATAACATTTCAGCTTCGCATGGTCCTGATACCATGGCAGAAATGCAGGGAAGTGCAGATACAACTATAACACCTAGAAGAAGAATTTTTGTGTGACAGTGCTCACCAGTACAGGGTACCATCACCTTCTCTTCTTTTGCTGTCTATAATAGCCATTTTGTGCTGGCACCCACGACACTTTTAAGAAAACATAAGTACCGGTGTTGCATTTTTTAAAAAATCAGGCAGAGGGCCTTCTCAGTAGTGGCTCCCACCCTCTGGAAAACCCTCCCATCAGATGTCAAGGAAATAAACAACTATCTTACTTTTTTAAAAAAATTTTTTATAAAATATTTATTGAAATTTAAACATTACAAAAAAGAAAAGAAAAACAAGAGAGAAATATACAAAACATCAACAATACCAAAAAAAGAAAAGAAAAGAAAAACCTAAAAAAAAACAACCCAAAAGAGAACAGACAAACATACAAAAGAGCCCCATATTTTCATATCCTTATCTTCCATTAACTTATTTCCTCGACTTCCTCACACCTCCTTTTTTGTATTCTAGTTCAATTAAATGTTCTAGCAAGTCCTTTCCCTCTTTCACAAATTTAGTTCCATAAATTAATTTAACAAAATTTTTAACTTAAATTTACATCTTTACCCAATGTCAACTATTCACACTTAATTCTTTATAATATTTCTACTAAAGTCATATACGGTAACTTCTTTCCAGCATCTTTCTAACATTCATTAATTTTAGAATATTTCTGTAGATAAACTTTAAATTTCTTCCAATCTTCTTCCACCGACTCTTCTCCCTGGTCTCGGATTCTGCCAGTCATTTCCGCCAATTCCATATAATCCATCAGCTTCATCTGCCATTCTTCCCTGGTAGGTAGATCTTGTGTCTTCCAGTGCTTTGCGATGAGTATTCTTGCTGCTGTTGTAGCATACATGAAAAAAACTCTATCCTTCTTTGGCACCAATTGGCCCACCATGCCCAGGAGAAAGGCCTCTGGTTTCTTTAAGAAGGTATATTTAAATACCTTTTTCATTTCATTATAGATCATCTCCCAGAATGCCTTAATCTTTGGGCATGTCCACCAAAGGTGAAAGAAAGTGCCTTCAGTTTCATTGCATTTCCAACATTTATTATCGGGCAAATGATAGATTTTTGCAAGCTTGACTGGTGTTATGTACCACCTGTAAATCATTTTCATTAAATTCTCTTTTAAGGCATTACATGCCGTAAACTTCATACCAGTGGTCCATAACTGTTCCCAGTCAGCCATCATAATGTTATGTCCAACATCCTGTGCCCATTTAATCATAGCAGATTTCACCATTTCATCCTGAGTATTCCATTTCAGTAGCAAGTTATACATTCTTGACAAATTCTTAACTTTAAGGTCTAACAATTCTGTGTCCAACTTTGATTTTTCCACTTGAAAACCTAATTTTTTGTCCTGATTGTATGCCTCCATTATTTGGTAATAATGGAGCCAATCTCGCACTCTGTTTTTTAATTTTTCAAAACTCTGTAATTTTAATCTGTCACCCTCTTGTTCCAAAATTTCCCACAACTATCTTACTTTTAGAAGACATCTGAAGGCAGCCCTGTTTAGGGAGGCTTTTAATGTTTTACGTTTTATCGTGTTTTTAATATTCTGTTGGGAGCTGCCCAGAGTGGCTGGGGAAACCCAGCCAGATGGGCAGGGTATAAATAATAAATTGTTATTGTTATTGTTATCATTTATTATTATTACAGTGGTGCCTCGCAAGACGAAATTAATTCGTTGCGTGAGTTTTGTCGTCTTGCGATTTTTTTCGTCTTGCGAAGCACGGTGTCGGGAAAGTTTTGGAAAAGCTTCAAAAATCACCAAAGTCTTACCGATGGAAGCAAAGGCTCAGAAAAGGCTCAATATGGAGGCCAAATGGCCGAAATATTGGGAAATTTTGGAACAAGAAGGAGACAAATTGAAATTGCAGAGTTTTGAGAAATTAAAAGACAAAGTGCGAGACTGGCTTCATTATTACCAGATAATGGAGGCATTCAATTTGGATAAGAAAATTGGCTTCCAGGTGGAAAAATCAAAACTAGAAACAGAACTGTTAGAACCCAAAACTAAGATTTTGTCAAAGATGTATAACTTGCTGTTGAAATGGAATACTCAGGATGAAACAGTGAAATCTGCTATGATTAAATGGGCACAAGATCTTGGATATAACATTATGTTTGCTGACTGGGAACAGTTGTGGACCACAGGTATGAAATTTACGGCATGTAATGCCCTAAGAGAGAATATTATGAAAATGATATACAGGTGGTACATGACACCAGTCAAGCTTGCAAAAATCTACCATTCGCCCGATAATAAATGTTGGAAATGTAAAGAAACTGAAGGTACATTCTTTCACCTTTGGTGGACGTGCCCAAGGATTAAGGATTTCTGGGAAATGATATATAATGAATTGAAAAAAGGTATTTAAATATACCTTCTTGAAGAAACCAGAGGCCTTTCTCCTGGGCATAGTCGGCCAATTGGTGCCAAAAAAGGACAGAACTTTTTTTATGTATGCCACAACAGCAGCAAGAATTCTTATTGCAAAGTATTGGAAGACACAAGACCTACCCACCTTGGTAGAATGGCAGATGAAGGTGATGGACTATATGGAATTGGCGGGAATGACTGGCAGAATCCGAGACAAGGGAGAAGAGTCGATGGAAGAAGATTGGAAAAAGTTTAAAGACTATTTACAGAAATATTGCAAAATTAATGAATGTTAGATTGATGCTGGATAGAAACTAAGTGGTCTTTAGCCGAAATGTTATAAAGGAATATGAAAAAATGGTTCATTAATACAGTGGTGCCTCGCAAGACGAAAAGAATCCGTTCTGGGAGTCTCTTCGTCTAGCGGTTTTTTCGTCTTGCGAAGCAAGCCCATTGACGGGATTAGCGGATTAGCGCTATTAGCGCTATTAGCGGCTTTTAGCAGCTTATCAGCTTATCGGATAAGCAGATAAGCGGCTTAGCGACTTAGAAAAAGAGGGGAAAAGGGAAAAAACCCCAGGAACTCGCAAGACATTTTCGTCTTGCGAAGCAAGCCCATAGCAGATTCGTTTTGCGAGGCACCTCCAAAACGGAAAACTCTTTCGTCTAGCGAGTTTTCCGTCTTGCGAGGCATTCGTCTTGCGGGGCACCACTGTATGTAAAAATCTAAAATTACAATATTTTATGATTAATGACTAGGATATACAAAGAGGGGAGGGATTTGTTGAACTAATAACCGAACTGGAATACAAAAAAGGGAGGTGTGAGGAGGTCCTGGAAATAAGCAAATGAAGGTTAGGTAATGGAAGGAATGAATTGTTTTTAATTATTTTTACTTTGTATTTTTCTTTTTTCTTTTTATGTTTTGTAATACTTTGAAAATCTGAATAAATATCTTATTAAAAAAAAAATCACCAAAGTCTTTAAAAACCTCAAAAAAGGCTACCACACCGCGTTCTATGAGTTGCTCCTCGAAGTCAAGTCACAACTGTATTAACGGTGTTAAGAAAAAGGAAACAAACTTGCAAGACGTTTCCGTCTTGCGAAGCAAGCCCATAGGGAAAATCGTCTTGCGAAGCAGCTCAAAAAACAAAAAACCCTTTCGTCTAGCGAGTTTTTTGTCTTGCAAGGCATTCGTCTTGCGAGGTACCACTGTATTAGCGCTGGGTGTAGGCGTGTGTTGTTCTCACTTTGTGTAACTGTCAGGGAACTGCCATCGGAGCTAGAGGCAGAGGGAAGGCTCCAGAGGGATGCCGGAGAGGGTCCCAGTAGGGAGAGAGGCAGCCCGTCTGCTGGGGAAGGAAATCAGCGTAACACCAGTGGAGAAGGGGGGCAGATGGGGGAATCGGAGAGGAGGCTCCAAGACTCCTCGCCGGAGACCAGCGGAGAGAGTACGGGTCCTCCGCTGCCCACACCCTCCCTGCGCAGAAGGCTTCCGCGCAGGGAGACTAGGCGGAGACTAGGCGTCAAAGAACTTTTGTGCTGGAAGAAGTTCAAGAAACGCCCACTGACAGATTCTGCCAGCGACTGAGACAGCCACGAAGCTAGAGGCTGTCCAGTCAGAAAGGGTTCAACCAGGTAACCTAGCCAGGAGTGGCGGCAACCTACGCACGAGCAACCCCTAAACCCATTACAGTAACATTTCAGTGAAACTTGTGGTTATTCCAGGCTTGTTAGGGGTTTCTCTTCTCATCTGTTTCAGTCGTGGTGGATGGTCACTGGAACTGCTGGTCTCAATGGGGTCCTTGTAATGCTGGCCATACGAGATATAGGACCCGTGAGTGTGACAATCCTTCACCGCTAAATGGAGGGAAACCATGTGAAGGTGAACGGGCCCAAGAGGAAGAATGCTACCTCTCCATATTTGCTGACAAGTAAGAGTGAACTAGAAGGGCTAATTGTGGGAAGGGCTGTAGCTCCATTGATTTCCATTTGTCAGGATTTTGCAGTTTCCCTATTTGCAGAATTTCAATGAAAATAGAGCCAGGAATGGAAACTGCCAATGTTCACTTAATTGTTCCATGTCTGGGATAGAAATAAATCTGGTGCATATGATCGGTTTTGTTGCTACTTTCATTCCACAAACAACACATCATTTATTACACACACAATTTGCATTGTGTCTCCTTTGCGTTGAAATCAAAAGGTAGAATAATGTAATGACAATGTCAGTTACATAATCTACATAATTAATTAAGTCAGATAAGTCCACCACAGCAGGCAGTGAGGCAAATAATGTAGTCTTTGGCAGAAGATGATCTGTAGTGGAACGGAAACAGTGCTGCGTGTGACAAATAAAGAGACAATGGAAAATGATGCCTTTTTACATCTCAGATTCGATCCCTGGTATCTCCAGACAGGGCTCCAGAACCCTAAAAAGCAATTGCTCCTCAGTGAAGATAGTATTCTTATGTCCACCCAAATCTCTGAGCAGTGAGAGGATTTTTTTGGCAGGAAGCACCTACCTTGTTTTTGGTTTCCTCAGAATTAAGGTTACTGGAGACTGGTGTCTTTGTGACAATTACTTAAATTAATATTTAAGAAAGGAAAATGGAAGAGCCCTGGGTGGTTCTAGTAAGCAGTAAGCAAATAAAGGTTGCATGAATTCAGGGGTTCTTTTCTTCTAGGGGGGCCTTGTGTCTCAACGATGGTGATGAGAAAAAGGAAAGGGATATTTTGGTTGAGCAGCCTGAATCTGGATGCCTCAAACCAGACCCTCCAGAACATGGGTTCATCAGGGTGAGTGTTGGAACTTGTCTCTCTCTCTAAATGGGTAAAAGCCTTTATCTCAATGCCTAGCTTGCTCTTGCTCCTGTCTTCAGCAAAGAGATGGCCTGAGAGGCCTCTGAAGGGCCCCTTCTTGCCTTAGTGGACCAATTTGGAATTTCTCATCCATGTTGGTGGCAGAACCAGCAGTGTTCTATGAGCAGCTGAGAGCTGCCATTTTAATTTCCCTCAATTCATCAGAGGGAATGTGGAGGAGATAAAACATTAATGTTTTTGAGATTAGATTGTCAGACTAGGATTTGGGAGATCATCCTGGGAATTCCCACTCAGTCATGGAGCCCACTGGAACCATTGGCTTACTTTCAGCCTCACCTACTTTACAGGGTTGCTACTTTACAGGGTTGCACAGATAAAGGAACAGTAGAGAACTTTTTGGATACACTAATTTCCCTGGGAGTACTTGTGTAGAAGAATGGGATGGCATTTACCCAGATAAATAGAAGAGCTAGTGATATCCTGAAGAAAGGTTCTGTGGAAGAGCTTTTGTGTTACCAATCCAAGTTGTGATTCCAAAACTTTTAAAAACTTGTTCAGCGAGTAAAACCAATTCTCCCTGTTGATTTCAGAATGAAAAGAACTATTATGCTGTTGGCGAACAAGCTGAAGTTGTCTGTTTGAGTGGATACAACCTTGTGGGGTATCAGTTCTTTCTCTGCCTACCAGATCAAACGTGGGCACAGAGGCCTGTCGATTGCCAGCGTAAGAGCCAGAAAAACCCTTGCCAGATAGAACGATTCCCCCCTCCCACTGTGTGACCTTTTGTGGGTTCTCCCAACCCCTGCAAAGCCGATTTATGGGGAGGAGGAGAAGGGGGAAAGCCCCATTGTGTTAGTGGGACTTGTTGCTCTCGCTTCTGCTAGTGCAACTGTTTAGTTGAATCTGGAGCAAAGGGATAACTAAACATATGAGAGGATCTTTAATTGCATGTTTAACCTGCAGGCTTTTTATAACAAGATGCTTATTTTATTATTTTATTTTGCTATAGCATCCTCTTGTCTCAGACCATCAGCATCTCCTAGTGTATCCATTTCTCCATTTAAAAGTGACTACAGCATTGGAGAAACCATCCAACTTAGCTGCCCTGCAACCTATATCCTAAGTGGCCACGGACAATACACTTGTGGGAAAGGCCCATCCTGGAAGCCTCCTGTTTGGAGCCTGCTCACCTGTGAGAAAGGTAAAGGGAAGCAAGTTGATTCTATGTGGTTCAGTGGCTAGTAGTCTGCCAGACCAGGACTGGGGAGGTGCAGGTTCAAATTCACATGTAGCTATGAAGCTCACTGGTTGATTTTGGGTCAGTCATTGCTTCTCAGTCTTTGCAGGGCTGTTGTGAAGATAAAAGTGCATGACTACATATGTCATGTTGTGTGGATGCCTGATTATCGTCTTCCAAAGCAACTACTCTATTCTGAACTTAAAAATGGTAAGTGTAATGCTGGTGGTCAACAAAAGAGACTCAAAGACGCTTTCAAGGCAAATCTAAAAAACATAGTAGTATAAAAACGGACAACTGGAAAACAATGGCCTGTGAGCACTCCACTTGGAGAGCAGCCTTTACCAAAAGTGTCATGGACTTTGAAGATGCTCAAACTCAGGACGAAAGGGAGAAACACGCTAAGGGAAACCCTCACCATGATTAAGTCCCACCTGGAAACCTATCTCCCCACTTGGAAGGACGTGTGGATCCAGAATTGGCCTCCACAGTCACTTATGGACTCATTGTTAAAACCATATTTATGGAAGACAATCTTACAAGTGGCTACAAGTGACAGAAGAAGAAGAAGAAGAAGAAGAAGAAGAAGAAGAAGAAGAAGAAGAAGAATGGTGCCTTGAGCTCTCTAGGAGCAGGGAGAAATAAAAATGCAACAAATAAAGAAATGGACACCCACCAAAACCACTTTTTATGCACCTCTCTGATATAGTATGTCCTCCTTTCCAGTCCTGACTTGTGACTTTAGGCTTCATTGCCGCTGTGCTCTCTTGCTTCTAATATATCAGTTCTCCGTATGCGTCTCTTCAAAGCCTTCTTCTCTCATTTCATACCACATTCAAACTTAATCCTTTCAAGTCTCTACGTCTGTCAATGCTCTATGCAGGTGAAGGACTGCAGCTCCGTGAGCTTGCAGCTGTTACAGATTACAATCATGGGAATAGACTTCTGACCTTGTAGGACAATGTATTCAGAAGCTCTGTTGTGTGCTCTCTGTAAAACAAATGCCCTACTGGAACAGCTAAATGAGAAGACGGATTTGATGACTGATGCGATCAGAAATTTTGAACAGGCAGTGGGAAACTATATGGAGCCCACCCAGGAATTAAATCAGGAGTGTGCCCCGAGAGAATAGATGAGGGAAGAGGATGTTGCTGAATCTTGGGCGCCAAGGATGGAGGGAGCTGTGGCCCTGCAGGAACATGAGCTTTTGGATTTGACAAATGAACTTGGAAAAAGCCAGATTTGGAAAGATAAAGTTTGGACTGGTTTGGAAATGGGGGGTTGGATAGACCCCCCTATGCAGGGATGTTTGGACTTTTCAAGTCTGGCAATGGGCCGTGAGATGTTTGAGGCTGTGGGGGCTCTTAATTTTGAAGGGATTCTGAAACACGTTTTTAAATACCACATGGAGTTTAGTCTGGACTATGGAAAAGGGGCTGATTTGTTGAGAAGGGTCAAAAACATTGTCAAGCTGGAGTTCCCACGAGTGAAAGGAGAATATGAAGAAGAGCTGTGGAAGGGACTTAAGGGCCTCGGATATAAGGTTACCAGGTTATGGCAGAATCCGAGACCAGGGAGAAGAGTCGGTGGAAGAAGATTGGAAGAAATTTAAAGACTATCTACAGAAATATTGCAAAATTAATGAATGTTAGAATGATGTTAGAATGAAGTTAGGTGGTTTAAGCAGTAATGCTATAAAGGTGTATGTAAAAAAGGATTGATAACAGGTGAAAATTTAAAGTCATAGTATATTAAGTTGAAGGATCATGAGAAAATAAAGAGGGAAAGAAATTGCTGAATTAACTAATTGAACTGGAATACAAAAAAGGGAGGTATGAGGAGGTCAGGGAAACAAGGATATGAATATAAGGCATAGAAAAATTGATCTATTTTTCTCTTTTTCTTCTTTAAGTGTTTTTTTATTCTTTTATTCTGTACTTTGTATTTTGTATTTTTCTTGTATTTTTACTTCTGTTTTTTGTTTTCACTTTTCTTGTTTTTGTGTAATTCTTTTTTTTCTGAAAATCTAATAAATATCATTTTTTTTAAAAAAGGACTGCAGCTCCGTGGCTGAGCATCTGCCTTGCCTGCACAAGGTCCCAGGTTCACTCCTTGGCATGTCCAGAGAGACACCTCTGCCTAAAACCCTGGAGAGCTGTTGCCAGTCAGTGCAGACAGTATTGAGCTAGATAGACCAAAGGTCTGACTCAGCATAAAATAACTTCATATGTTATGTTATCTGCAGTAGGATTTGTGTTTCCAAGCCCCTTGAAAATCATGATTTGCTGGTTGTTGTTTTCCCCAGATGGTCACACTCAAGCTCAAGGCAGTTGCAGGCCAGGCCAAAAGCAGGCTAGATCCCAGTGTGTGTGTCTGTCGCCAACAGAGGACTGTGGGTAAGGAAAGCTTCATCCCCTCCCCACCCACATGTAACATGTTGAAATATCTATAGCTCTAAACTCCTTTAGCTGGAGTGGGAAGTTTCAATGAGATTTCAAGGCTTGTGGGATTCCCCATACATATGTAAATAAAGAAACAGACAATAGCTATTAAGCAGCATGGCAGAGGTGTTGATGCACACACATATTTCTTTTGTTCCACTGTCATCCTTGGTCAAATAAGTTTTTGAAACACTACCCTGCTGCGTCCCCACCCAAAAAGAAAACCCACTACAAAACCTGTTTGGCGAGAGATTACTGTACTCACAGAGAGCAGTGATACTTCTTATGTACCTTTTTCAACACTCTGAAGAACAAACAAAGCATCATCTGCCTCCATGTCAGATTTATGTTAGTCTCATAAAGCTGTCTGATAAGCCTAGGGACATTCCAGACTTTAGATTCATTGTCTCCTTGAATCTCTCCAATGTGCTGAGCAGGCTTCAGGTTATTTACAATCAACTGTTCTACAGTCCCCCTTTAAAGATGATGGAACCTAGGCTGCTCCTTCCTTCCTTCCTTCCATCCATCCATCAGATACTATTTCATTTGGGCAAACAGGGCACTGCCCCACTAACCTCAACCTGCCCTCTTTTTTGCAACCAATTCAGAAGGTGACACTAGCTGTCAGGTTCCTCCTTTTTGTTGTGCAGTGGGAGGAATATGGGGACAAAACTAGAATTAGCTTCTCCTTTCACTCCTCCTACTGTCCACTAAATTCTTTCTCTTTGTGCTTTCCAAGACACTACTCTGAAGATGTTTGTGTCCTGGATGCAGCTTCTGAGCAAACCCTTACAAAGCCCAGCTGTCAGTATTTGGCAGAAAAATGCCTTGCAGAGGATTCGCTCCATTTCCTGCATGCTGGCCCTTGCCTCAGTGACACTGACTTGTGGTGGGCCAAGGAAAGGGCCAAAATGTCCGCAAACAGCATAAAGAAAGAACCTTGCGGCTACGACACATGCTATGATTGGGAGAGCTGCCTAGGTAAGCATGACTCCTCAGTCCTTCAGTGGCTCTGGGCTAATGCTCAGCACTGTGATCGCACTTGCAGCAATTACAGTTGCATCTTTAGTCAATTAATTTGATTAACCGATTAAAACAGAGGCGAGAACCTTTTTGGCTCTATGGGCCAAACCTGGGTTTTAGCAGGAGTTTCCATGGCATGGAATTCAGCCAAACTGAGCAGTGCTGGCATAGTTCAGATGGTAGATTATGAGACTCTTAATCTCATGTTCATGGGTTCGAGCTGGGCAAAAGATTGGACTCCTTTGGGCAGGGGCTGGACTCAATGACCTTCATGGTCCCTTCCTGCTCTACAATTCTGTGATTCTATGATTTAACCCCCTGTCCATCAGCTAATGAGTGAGGGGTTAAATTCTGCCCATTTGGCTGCCCAGGAACAGAGGTGTATAGAGTCAACCCACCCTCACGGCCGTCAGATGATGTCACCAGTGATGTCAGTTGATGGGTGGGTGGGTGTGGTTTGGAGAAATGGTTCCATGGGCTAATGTGGACTGGCCCACAGACTTGGAGGTTCCCCACCCCAGATTATAGGTTACCAACTAAGCTGCAGCAAGCACCCAACACGGCCAACTGCCAACGCCAGCAATGGCCAATAGAGGAAAAGAATGTTATCCGTCTTGGAAATCCCAGGGTGGTCCCAGGAGAGCTGTGATCCCCTTCCAGCTCCCAACACACAGTTGAAAGCTCCATCTTGTACAAATAGCAGCAGCTGGGAAGGGAAAGTACTGTTTGTTTTATGAAAACGATCTGGTATATTTCTGAGTGCGTGCCTGTGCTAAGAAGTGAAATCCCCGTGGGATTGTTTGTTCAAGCATTATTGTGCAACGAGGGAGAAACAACCATCGCTTTTCCCGTAAGGTTACGAAATGTTTCTTGGCTGGCCTGTTGCACCGAACGGTTCAGCCAAGAAAGGGAAGGACAATGGCTGTGTGGAGAGAGGTCAGAATGAGGCTGGCCTGTGAAAGAGAATCAACTCTTTTCTTTGAAGTATAATAAGCTAACACAAGTTAGTACATTGTTTCTCAGTGGGTGAGTTGAGCACATCTCCAGAAGACCAGGAAAAGAAGACAACTTCTTAATTTTTGACCTGGCAGCTCCTAATGTCAGGAGCTGTGAATTTCCTAGGGAACAGTCATAGCTCAGTGGCAAAGCATCTGCTTTGAATGCAGAAGGTGCCAGGTTCAATCCCAAGCACCTCAAAGTTGGGCTGGAAGAGACTCCAGCCAGACGCTGTATTTCTGTCTTGCTTCTATAATATTTCCAGCCTTTAACATGCCAGTGTGGTATAGTGGTTAAGAGCGGTGGACTCGTAATCTGGGGAACCGGGTTCGCGTCTCTGCTACTCCACATGCAGCTGCTGGGTGACCTTGGGCCAGTCACACTTCTCTGAAGTCTCTCAGCCCCACTCACCTCACAGAGTGTTTGTTGTGGGGGAGGAAGAAGGGAAAGGAGAATGTTAGACGCTTTGAGACGCCTTCGGGTAGTGATAAAGCAGGATATCAAATCCAAACTCTTCCTCTTCTTCTTCTCTGGGTACCATTTGAGTGAAACAAAAACCTGTTTCTCTCTTGCAGAGACGCACAATACCTGCTTCTGCCTGATCCCTAGCCAGTGCCCGCCAAGTGAGGAGCACCTCTTCTGCCTCAACGTTCGGCACAGAAGGATGACAGCCAACCTCTGCACACTGGGGGCCATGAAATGCTCCAAAATGAACTTTGAAGTAGCGCATGAAGGACGCTGCTTGGACTAAGAGCCTTCGGGGGTCACTGCTGGGTTCGCAGCTTGCGTGGCTGCATTTGTTCTGGGCCTCTACATGCAGCTTGGATTTCAAAGATGGAGCTTTCCAATTCAGGGCTATTTCTTCTCACAGCCCAAATGTGCATGGGGGTTCAAGGCCATACCAATCCTGCTTTCCATTAGCTGACTTTCTCTGGCCATGCGTACAGTGTCCTTCCTTTGAAAGAAGCCAGCTTCTCTACTTACAAGATGCACACAGTCCTAGTGTGGAGTGCCTTTCCTCTCACAAGAAGCCGCTTTATGAAAATCCCATGACAGTGCCTCTCAACATGATCAGAATGCTAAAATATAGAAAATAAAGATAAAAATATTGACTAGTAAGAATTGAGTAAAATTAGGGACAGAGGGCAGTGTCAACCTGAGGCATTTTGCTGTCAGAAGTGGGTCACAACTGATGCCTCCCTACTACAGTTTTATAAACTGTTACTTCACTCTTCAGACACTAGGTTTTGCCTTCTTGCCTTCTATCCCCTTCATACTGCCTCCGGGAGGATGCTGCTTCAACTGCTGCATGTCAGGGCCGGACCTACCAGTTGGCAAAGGTATCCCTCTATGAGTCTAGAGAGAGCTGACATGAGCTGGCAATCTATTCCAGGGGGCAGAACCCTCAGGCTCAGGGCGAAATGTGACCCTCCGGGCCTTTCTGTCTCTCCTCAGGCCACTCCACTCATTGGCTCTGCCTTGCACCCCCTTTGAGTGTTTTTGCCTCCCTGGAAGATCAGTGGTCGGGTTGAGCACATATTCTGCATGCCGAATGTCCAGGTTTGACACTCATCACCTCCAATAGAATGAATCTCAGAACGTAGGCTTGGGAAAGGCCTTGGAGAGTCACCACTTACTGAAGCAGGCAAGACTGGGCTAGACAGCCCAATAGCACGACTTGCTCTAAGGCAGCTCTACAAATTCACAAAGTTGCCGCTGGCTTTCCCTCAGCTGCTTCCTTGTTCCTCAGATGCAGGGCCGGATTTAGGTTTGGTGAGGCCCTAAGCTACTGAAGGTAATGGGGCCCTTTATATGTCCAGCTGTCCTTTGTCAGCAACAAATTGTCGCTGTTTTTTGTGTTGAATATATACCATATGGTAATTTATGGACATAATAGCCATTTGCACATAACAAAATAGGAGCCTACACAAAATAAAACACTGTTGCTGTATGCAGGATTTATTTTATTTGTTTTTATCGTATATTTTGAAAATGTACATCCAGTTGTTTTTTCTTTAATTTTTTGGGGGGCCCCAAGAGAATGGGGCCCAAAGCTATAGCTTGTTTAGCTTATACATAAATCCAGCACTGCTCAGATGCGAGGAATGTTGTATTTGTTTTCCTGCTTATAATGCCACTACTTCTGTCCTATGTTCTAATATTCCTTTCACACAACAGAACCTGTTGCATGCTGTGGCTTTTTGACCGGCATGTCACACTAAATTTCACTCACACCAGTGGGCGTGGTGTGGCCCAACAACGGAAGCCTTTGGACAATGCCTCTACTCCCCTGCCCTTTCCACACATGCCTGCTTCTCTCGTCACCCACGAAAAGGACAGGAAAGAACAGCATGCCAGTATATACCACCCCGAATTCCATCATGTTTACTCTATCAATTTTCTAGGCTAATGAGTTTGCAAACAGATTATTTCCAGAGCCAGTTAACAAGAAAATAAGCACTAAACGTCCATTAGATTCTCAGAAGTGACTCTTACATTGTGCGAAAGATCAAATGCAATGTGGAAATTGAAAGGGAATGTGGGGAAATGGAATGAGCTGCCATGTGAATGCAGCCTTAGATGTAAATTTGACTTCAGAAGCCAACCAAGAGTGTAGGAGGCCACACTCCAGATATGTCTGGATGATGCAAGCTTTCCTCAGCTTCAGAGAACTTCCCTGGGAAGTCCAGAGCTTCAGAAAGTGACAGTTTTAGGGCTATTATGTAATTCTGGTTTCACACAATCCCCACTGGTGCATATTGTGATGGTTAGAATCCTGTCTAATGTAGGTGGCTTGGGGGCTATTTTGTAGTACAATATGTATTTGCCTATTGCCTCGCCATTCTGTGTTCAGCATTGATTGACCATAACCTCGAGTCCGCTTGACATACATTTGGGGAATAAAGTTTCTGTTCTGTTAAAACGTAACTAATACAAATAAACGTCTCATCAGAAAGGCCAACCCAGTTTCTAGTTTTGATAGCCAGCTAAAAGAAAAGAAAAGAATTCAATACTAATTGTGAGTAGACCGAGGGTCTGAATCTGCAAATCTTCTCTTTCTCTTACCAAGTGGATTTGGCATTTTGTGGCTTCCTATACATGGTTTTTGGCCAAGCAGGGTAAGTCTCTTTCTTTGACAGATGCTTGATTCATTTGCATATTGGGCTTTATGTGCATTAATTCAGGGAAATATGCAAATCTATGAATTGTCATGTTGGGGCACAGGAAGATTTATTGAGATCAACAACCTCTTTTGTAAACAAAGGACATCCAAATACCTCTAGAACTGCTCCACAGTGTACATTTAAAGCACATTCAATGCTCTTGACTTCCCCCAAAGAATCGTGGGAGTTGTAGTTTCGTCCTCACAGAGCTGTAGTTCCCAGCACCCTTGACAAACTACAGTTCCCAGGATTCTTTGGGGGAAGTCATGTGCTTTAAACATATGTTGAATGAATATGCTTTAAATGTATATTATGAGAAATGCCCCTAGCAGGGCTTGAAAACGGCCTTCTTTCTGTTGCTTCTGGACACAGAGATTCCGTTTAGTTAAGGTTTTGGTTGTCATCTGTCTGTTTCAAGCGGCAATGCGAGTGCCTCTCTAGGGGTGAAGTTTGGCACCTGCTTGGCTCCAGGAATTGCTGGAAGGAGGCATACTTCTTGTTAGCTGCCCTGAGCCCGGCTTCGGCTGGGGAGGGCGGGATATAAATAAAATTTATTATTATTATTACAAGGTACCATCCAACCATTTTAGGAACTCTACTCTGGATTTGTGTAGGGTTTACTTCTTAGCCTTTCCTTCTGAAAATATCCCACAAGGCAGAAGAGGTTTAGGATCAGCGTTTTCCTAGATGGGTTACCTTCCCAGGTTGATGAGCCCCATTAGCCCCTCACTTCCCTCTACAGTATGTGCACAAACTGCCTTCTTGACCATTGGACCCACTATTGGTCTCATCCGCTCAATCTGCTAGAGCCTGTCTTTGCATGCAGGGGAAGTGCCTAACTCACTGAGGTTCTGAGGCTCATTGGCGACCCTCACTTGGTTTAGCTGGTCAAGCAAAGTTGTTCCTAGCATGTGGCCACTGTAACATGATGACAGATTCTAGGAGCCACAGGAGAGAGCTGAGGGTAACTTGGGGAGCAAAGGTGGACAAACTACCCCAAGAGGAGAAAAACATGAACCCAACAAAGGTACTACCCTTCCCCTAACACCCCATACACCACACTCTCTCTATTTGCAAATGCAACTAGTGAGTACAAACAGAATTGGAGACATCAAGAAACATGGTGGAGATGTCAGCATGCTCAGGGTTTACAACAACACAGCCCAATGAAGACCCTTAAAGGTAAAGGGACCCCTGACTGTTAGGTCCAGTCGCGAATGTCTCTGGGGTTGCGGCACTCATCTCGCTTTATTTGCTGAGGGAGCTGGTGTACAGCTTCCGGGTCATGTGGCCAGCATGACTAAGCCGCTTCTGGCGAACCAGAGCAGTGCACGGAAATGCCGTTTACCTTCCCGCCATTTACCTTCCTTACCTATTTATCTACTTGCACTTTGTTGTGCTTTCAAACTGCTAGGTTGGCAGGAGCAGGGACCGAGCAACAGGAGCTCACCACGTTGCGGGGATTCAAACCGCTGACCTTCTGATTGGAAGCCCTAGGCTCTGTGGTTTAGACCACAGCGCCACCCGTGTCCTTACTGGTGTGTAAAAGATTATCCAGGACATACTATTGGTTCTTGGAAATAGGATAGTGTATTTATTGACTATTCCTACAAGTAAAACAGTGAATTAAATTATTCTTACATTACTACTACTACTACTACTACTTATTTGCATATTCTTTGTAACTGGACGCTTTCAGGCGATGGAGAGAACCAGCTTGGTATTCCTTATCCTACTGAGCCTTGTAATTAGGAAAAGTTTTGGGTGCTACTGTGACCATTACCCATGGAGCTCCTGGTCCAGCTGTTCACAGACTTGTAATCATGGGACGCAAACCAGATCAAGGTTGGTATTAGCAATTACAAGATCTCCTCCCCACCTTTAGAACATCAGAGGGGGAAAAGATCTCACCTTCATTCATAACAAACTCATACTAAATTTCCAGAATTATGCTATAGAAATAATAATCATCATAGAATTGTAGAGTTGGAAGGAATCCACATCTAGTAAAAAGGTAAAGGACCCCTGGATGGTTAAGTCCAGTCAAAGGCGACTATAAGGTTGCGGCGCTCATCTCACTTTCAGGCCAAGGGAGCCGGCATTTGTCCACTGACAGCTTTCTGGGTCATGTGGCCAGCATGACCAAACTGCTTCTGGTACAATGGAACACCGTGATGGAAAACAGAGTGCATGGAAATGCCGTTTACCTTCCCACCATAGTGGTACCTATTTATCTACTTGCAATGGTGTGCTTTTGAGCTGCTAGGTTGGCAGGAGCTGGGACAGAGCAACGGGAGCTCACCCCGTCATGGGGATTCGAACCGCCGACCTTCTGATCGGCAAGCCCAAGAGGCTCAGTGGTTTAGGCCACAGCGCCACCTGCATCCCTTTACCTTTACCATATCTAGTCCAACCCCCCTGCAACACAGGAATCACAGCTAAAGAATCCCTGACAGATGGCCATCCAACCTCTGTTTAAAAACCTCCAGTGAAGGGGAGTCCACCACCTTCCAAGGTAGTCTGTACCGCTATTGAACAGCTCTTACTGTCATGAAGTTCTTAACAGCAATAATTTGAATTTATATAGTCATCCATTCATAATTATTATTTGCTTTGTCTGACAAACCAGAAAGGAGAGGGTTAGGAAAGGAAGCAAAAGCTTCCTACATTAGTTGCTTCCATCAGTAACCAACGCTTTGGCAAGGGCCACATTCAAGAGGGTCCTGGACAAGGAATCCTCTGGGACCACCCCTCCCCAACAGAGCTTTCCAGGGGGCAGTGGAGGGATGGGTGTCATGCAGTAAAGATCCGTGGTGCAGCAATAAAACTTCTAGCACATTTGCAAAGCTAAGCAGGGTCTGGTGAGATTTCAGATTGGATGGGAGACCATGTGTTGAGTTTCCTGCATCGCTGGGGGTTGGACGAGATGACCCTTGGAGTTCCTTCCAGCTCTGCAATTCTACAATTCCATGACATATATAGAACTCTCCCATGGGAAGGGCATCCTGACAGGCCCAGGATTCCTGCCTCATGCTGAGGAGTCCTATGCACATAAGTGGAGAATTGCATAGGGCCCTTTCTCATACTCCCCATGTGACTGGAGGGGGTGGGTGGTCAAGATACTTGTTGCCAGCAAGGGAGGGCCCTGTCCATGCCTGGAATGAATATGACAGGGTTGGGACTGACTGTATGTAAACCCTCCCCTACCATTTCCCTGACATAATAATGATAATAATTTATTATTTATACCCCGCCCATCTGGCTGAGTTTCCCCAGCCACTCTGGGCGGCTCCCAATCAAATGTTAAAAACAGTACAGCATTAAAACTTCCTTGAACAGGGCTGCCTTCAGATGTCTTTTAAAGATAGGATAGCTGCTTATTTCCTTCGCATCTGAGCATCTGAAGGGAAGGTGTTCCACAGAGTGGGCGCCACTACCGAGAAAGCCCTCTGTCTGGTTCCCTGTAACCTCAGTTCTCACAATGAGGGAACCGCCAGAAGGCCCTCGGTGCTGGATCTCAGTGTCCGGGCTGAACGATGGGCTCCTTCAGGTATACAGGACCAAGGCCGTTTAGGGCCATTTAGAATCAGCACTGATTTGCAGCACCTTCATCTTGCAGGGAAAGCAGCTACAATGCCTACTATTATAAGAATTCTTGCGACAGATTGTGCACGTGGAGAGAGACTCGGGCCTGCAACCAGCAAGTCTGCCCCATCAACTGCCAGATCAGTGACTGGGGCTCCTGGTCAGAGTGTGACCCATGTGTTAAAAAGCAAGTAAGCAATTTGACTGCAGGGACACATGAAAAAACGGGAACTCTGTAATCTGCCTTTGTGCCTCAGGCGGCAGACACTGAGGTGCGGGGAGTGGCCAAAGCTGTGAGTACCATGTGGCCTGCCCTATAACCCCTATGCTAGCCCATAGCTGTCAACTTACAGATTTGAAAATAAGGGACCAGCAGCCTCGAAAATAAGGGATCAGCAGCCAAAATCAGGGATTTTCCAAGCACAGGTATGTTCAACTTCTGAGCCCCTCCGAGCCAAAGGCAGAAAGCCCAGCCAGCAGCCAAACGAAGCCTCAAGCGGTGGTTCCCACAGCGCAGCAACCCAGCAAAGGGGATGCAGCAAGGAAAATCACCGTCACCTCTCCGCTGGGAAGCGCTGAGCAAAGGCGAGTCCCCAGGCAATGCGGCCGATTTGATCAGCACAAGGCGTGCTGGCTGGCAGGGAGGGAGGGAGAGGAGCTGCTTCCTTTGAAACCCGGGAAATTTAAGAGACATCATCAATAAGGGACAGCAGCGGGACACGGCGCTGGGATAAGGGAGTTTCCAGCCAATTAAGGGACGATTGACAGCTATGTGCTAGCCTGCTGCCCTCAAGTACAGTGGAAGACACCAGTACTAAAGTAGGGTTCAAATGTCATTCCACTGGCTTCTGTTTCTGCCTTGGGAAAGACCCCCATCTTGCCCTTCGGCTCTGGCAGCAAAATGTTTTGAGCCGGCATCGGCTACACAGTTGTGACTTCCCCTTCCCGGCTCAGCCGAGATCCAACCCGCTGAGCCAAGCCCGGAGGATCTTATACCATACCACTCAACAATCCTGATTGAAGTGAGATGTCCCAGAATTACAGAAGCCAATCCTGGTTTCTGATTTGATCCCAAGGTGTCCCGTTTTTCCAGTGCTCTGGCACGAGTCAGCCCTGCACGTATATGCAGTTGATCGTGAGTCAAATGGACATAGGTGGGAAGATTCCACCCTTGTATTTCCATCTGTTTCAGTTTCGTGTCAGGTCTCTGGTACAGCCATCTCAGTTTGGAGGTCAACCCTGTACTGAGCAGATGACAGATTTCCGGAGATGCTTCCCCACAAAGTTATGCAGGATAGAGGAAGTCAATTGTGGGAACAAGTTCCAGTGTGAAAATGGTATTTTCTGCATTTATACATCTCTCTGTGGGATACAATTGATGGTGTCTATCTATCTATCTATCTATCTATCATCTATCTATCTATCATCTATCTATCTATCTATCTATCTATCTATCTATCTATCTATCATCTATCTATCTATCTATATCTATCTATCATCTATCTATCTATCTATCTATCTATCTATCTATCTATCTCTCTATCTATCTATCTATCTATCATCTATCTATCTATCATCTATCTATCTATCTATCATCTATCTATCTGTATCATCTATCTATCTATTTCTACCTCATGGATTCTGAACCTCAAGGCCTGAGGTCACCAACTTTTCTGGGTGAGAGGACACATCTGGAAATAATAAACTGTTGTGCCCACCACAAAATAACCAATTCACAGAAGAAAAACTGATGATGCTCAGAACCACCACCACTACTCCAAAAAGTATTATTTGTTTTATTTATTTCATAAAATTTATATACTGCTGGATTGTAGAAAATACCTCAAAGCAATTTACGAAAATAAAAAGAAAACAATTATCACTAAAGATTTGCAACCACAATTTAAAACATACAGAAAGCTAAAACTACAACAGGAAAGACTAAAACAAGTTTAAACTCGTACAAACTTTCTAAACATATTTAGCGCCCTCAAAACAAATAAAACAAACAAAAGCAACCCTTTTCCAATTAAAAAAACCACACCTATATATATGGTTGGAACAGGGATTCTATGATGCTGTTTTACTTCAGGGCCTGTCAATTTTGAGTGCTCTTTTGCGGGTTCTTAAACCAGCACATTTCTTCTTGTTGTTAGTATTTTATTATTTATTAAATCTGTATATCGCCCTTCATTTGTGGATCTCAGGGTGGTTCACAACATAAAAATACAATATTTAAAAGCACAAAATACATAATGAAAATAAGAACGAAAAACAACCTCTCTCCCACATATGGTTATGATCTGTTGAAGTAGTCATTAAATACACTGCTGGGCTGTTCAATTAATCCTAGCTAGCACAACTTGAGTTGTGCCGTGAGGGAGGCTTACTCGTACCTGAAAGTCGTCGTGCCTGCTGTTCTTTCTCCGAAACAGGTCGCTGTGTTGCCAGACAACTGAGATGCAATGGAGACAATGACTGTGGAGACAATTCAGATGAAAGGCACTGTGGGAGGATAAAGAACACCTGCCGCTCAACAGTCAAGACCATACCCAGTGTGCAACTCATGGGCCTGGGGTATATTGCTTTCACTTGGGCTTCATAGGGGCAATTTAGGTGAATGTGATGCTACGGGGGGAGCAGTGCTGTGGTGTTTGCCGTTTGTTTGAAAATGTCTGTACAGGGGGAGAGAAAGAGTTAATAGGTAGACCAATAGAAAAGCCAGAGGCGGAGCCTGCCTGTTTATAAAAGGGCTTAGCCCAAGGTTTGGGTTGGTTGGTTTTAGTTGGTTGGTTGGTTGGTTGGTTGGGAAAGCAGCTGGCAGACAGTTGGAAACAGAGAGACAGTTAGTGCAGTTGGTTCTTGTGTGAGGGGAGATAGAAGAGTTAGAGACAGGATAAAAATAAGACTAAGAAGGTAAAGAGTAACAACGTTTTGAATGCAGTTAAAGTTTATTTGTGTCTGCAATAAACTACACTCTTCTTTGTTAACTTAAGAACCTGACTGAGACTAAGTGATTTACTGGGGAAGACCTGGTTGGTGGCAACGGATTAGTGGTGTACGGGTCAATAGTCCGTGAGATGACCGGGGGCTCTGTACAAATGCCACAAGTGCTTATACTGTGTTGTTTATTGTGAGAGCATTTTGGATGCCGTGATCTTGCACGATTTTGCACTGTGCACCAAAATGTCTATTTTGGCTTGCCACACAAGATTGCGGCCCTGAAAAGACAGCGCAAAATTGCGCAAGATCCCAGCAACCAAAATGGCTGCCGTTCTCTTGCGATAAAAAACGGGATGTCTCTGTTTTTCTGGGACACTTGTGGGATATGCTGTATATTTACATAAAAAATTATGAATTAGGGTAATCAAACTTTAAGCAAGGGCCCCACCAGAGCATCCATGAAGGTGAGGCCACCCTGGAGAGCTGAGGTGTTTGTTTTTGTGGTACTTTTTTAGATGACGTGTAACAAATTTGGTGATTTGGTTCAAATTAGGTGCAAGACAGCAACAAAGGCTTTCTATCATTTAAAGGTAATCTAATCTTTATTTGCTTAATCACAACTTTGCTTAATCCACCTTTCGTTCTAGATACCATATTCTGGCAGGAGAGAGCCGAGGAGAAGTCCTGGATTTTTCTTTCTATGGCGGGAGCTGCGTCCTTCTGAAGAGTGAAGACAAAAGGAGCACATTTCGTGTGCCTGCAAACCTTGAGTCTGTCCACTTTCAGGTGGCTTGACAAGGCCTTCTGTAGGACTAGCAACTAAGGTGGCCAGCGAGCCTTCAATCTCTTCGCCTCTGTGCTATACCAGCACTTGTATATAAAATTGTCCAAAATTCTGTAGACTTCTTGTTGTTGGCATCTGTCTGTCTTGTGAGACAGTAAGCCTCCAGGGGTGAAGTCAAATTCTGTATGAATGGTATAAAATTCTGAACAGTACCAATTCATAATATTGTTTTTCTTTGAAATCCATGTTCATTTTCTTTTCTTTTGTAAACAATGGCTTTTTAAAAGTAACTTATCACATAGTTTATATTTAAAGCAATTTGGCAAAGCAACACATTTATTTCACTTGGCTGTATGCCAGAGGCTTTTATTTCCATTGTTCTTCTCCAACCCAAACAGGAATCTTTGGATCTCTCTTGACAGGTGAAGCATCGAGAAGATGACCTGAAAACAAATTATTATACAGATTTAACACCCTTGGTATGTTCTTCTAGCAATATGCAGTATTTCAGGGGACACGGGAAAGATAATTGGGGAATCCCATATTTATGGGGGTCAACGTCAAACACAGAAACTACGGCATCGAGTTCCTTCCACGAAGCCATCAAAGCATCCCACAAAATGGTGAGAATGTGTAGCCCTTTGTGTAGGCTGCTTCCTGTTTATTCATTGTCTGTCTGTTTGCTTTTTAAATAAAAGGTATACACTGCTCGATTGTTTAAAAAGAAAACTCTCAGTGTGGGTTATGAAAAGAGTAAAACAATAAAATTATTGGTAAAGACAGTTAAAAACAGGTATTTAAAACGGTCAAATAATAATTGAAATCAGTGATAAAATAAACACAGATTTAAACACATGCAAATATTTAACATATCTGCATAGGTTTGCTTAAACAAAAATGCTTTTACCTAAAAGTGTAAAGTGTAAAAAAACTTTACCTAAAAGTGTAAAGTTGCCTGCTTGATGTGGCAGGGAGGGACTGCCACATGTAAAAGCTGATTTCTTGCAAGTGTGGAATGACTATTATGTGGCACCTATAACAGTTCCAGTTCTGCAGATCAAAGCAGTCCGGTGAGCATATATGGTGTATGACGATTTCACAGATAAATGGAAGCTCTGTGCTAGACAGCCTTTGCCAACCTGGTGCCCTCCAGAGGTTTTGGACTACAATTCTCATCATCCCCAGACAGCATGGCTGTTGGGAGCTGGGGTCCAGCAAATATCTAGAGGACCACCAGTTTCCCACCCTCAACCAAGTTGTTCATTGTATAGGCCAGAGAGGATAAATAGGGTTGTTGTTTTTAAGGCCGGGGCAGAGGGGTGGGGAAGAGACGACATAATAATTCTCATCATGATCAATCTTTTCCCATTTCCAAGAATTCCAACTTCATTAGGGTCCATAAGGTGATTGCTGTGTCGAATTTCACGGTGAAGCAGTCGGGCTTGCACCTCTCTGGAGTGTTTTTACAGGCCCTCAACAGCCTGCCTCTGGAATACAACTATGCCCTTTACAGCCGGATATTTGATGACTTTGGGACTCATTACTACAAATCTGGCTCACTGGGAGGCAAATACGACCTTCTTTACCAGTACAGTGAAGAGCAGACAAAAAATTCAGGTATGCCTATCTACATCGTGAGACAATGATTGGTACTTTTTCAAGGAACAGAGAATGGAATGGGGAAACATGAGTCTGGGAACATTTCTCTACCCTGGGTTTGTGGAGTTTGCTTGGAATCAAGAATAAAAGAATCAGACTTTAAGACTGCTTTAAGCTGGAAGTGAGATAGCAACTCTGCTTCCAGACTAGTGAAATCCAAATAACATTTTGTAGGAAGTGGTGAGGCTGTTTGCCCCAGGCTCAAACATGGGGTGAAATGGGATGGGGTGATTTTCATGGTTTATTGGAAAAGTGTAAAATACTGCTTTTCGTCTAACCACACTCCCATGTGGGAGGGGGAGAGAAAAATGGATATAAAGGAAATGCTTTTTGGGGGGCAAGAAATGGGTTAAAGTGATAGAGCTGTTTCTTCCAAACCCTCTTAGCTTTAGCAGGGAAGCTAAATTAGAACAACGGGAAAGCTAAATTTCCTGCACAGCCATGAGATACTGGATCTTCCTCTTGAAAAAGGGAAAGAAAGAAAAACCTGATATTCTCATAGTGGTAGAATATTTCAAACGTGCCTTGTGGTTTGAGTGTGAGCTGCTGGCCACAGCATGACAACCACCACTTTCAAGGATCAGATGCCATTGTGCTTGATATCGTGGTTGCTCAGTTCTCCTTTGTGAAATGTCATTTGCTATTTTTGCTGTTGAATGGTGTCTAGGCTTAACCCAGCAACAAATGGAACGCTGTGTGCGAACAGAAACGACAAGAACCTATATTTTCTTCATTAAGGAAACAGATATTCATTACGATTGCGTCAGGAGTAAAATGACCGAGAGCTATGAAGGTAGCTATCCTACCCTAAAGGTAAAGGGACCCCTGACCATTAGGTCCAGTCGTGGCCGACTCTGGGGTTGCGGTGCTCATCTCACTTTACTGGCCGAGGGAGCCGGCGTACAGCTTCCGGGTCATGTGGCCAGCATGACTAAGCCACTTCTGGCAAACCAGAGCAGCACACGGAAATGCCGTTTACCTTCCCGCCGGAGCACTTTGACGTGCTTTTGAACTGCTAGGTTGGCAGGAGCAGGGACCAAGCAATGGGAGCTCACCCCATCACGGGGGTTCGAACCGCCGAACTTCTGATCAGCAAGTCCTAGGCTCTATGGTTTAACCCACAGCGCCACCCGCATCTAGGGCTCCCCATATTCTGCATTCAAGATTCCCAAGACACTAGTCCAAGGGTAGTCAATGTGGTGCCCTCTAGGAGCTGTTGAAATTCAACCTTGGGCAGCATGACCAAATGGTCACAATTGTTGGGAAGTGTAGTCCGAAAGACACCACATTGGTTACCACTGGTCAAGTCTGACCAGTATCTAAACTTTTGCAGGCTGCCTCCCACACTTGGTTCTATAATATCGCCCCAGTGCCCCTTTACCCTATGAAAAGCATTATTCAGAATAGTGGTTTGCATGACCCACTAAGGAAGAAAGTAATACAATAAAATTCAAAACACTAACAATTAACATCAAAGTTTCTGGACGAAAATGTAATCCAAGTTTGAGTTCTGCATCCAGTGGGAGCTAGGACAATTACTAGCCATTGGAACAAGTTGCTCAAACGAGACAGAAAGGGAGGGAGGGAGGGTGGGTGGAATAGGTATTGGTCCCCCTCCAATGGTTTGCGGAGTCAGCTGATCACTTTTTGGCTGTGGGGTCAGCTGACATCACTCAAGTCAGTACTGTAGCTGAGAGGCCACTCTTCCATTATGGATCCTCCTCTAACTGACTGGTTCAAAGCCCAGACCAAGAAGGGCATAGGAAGTAAGGCACCTTTAGTTGGCACCCCCAGTTGGCAGCTGTAACTTCTAGTTCATGACCCTCCCTCATCACCTTACTCTCTCTCTCTCTCTCTCTCTCTCTCTCTCTCTGTGTGTGTGTGTGTGTGTTGCATTTGCTGATTTCATATCCATCTTAGGTTCCATGCTGAAGTCATCTGAACGGTCTATTTCCTTGGTCAAGGGTGGAAGGGCACAGTATGCTGCAGCGCTAGGCTGGGAGAAAAAAGGGTCTTTCCCGGGACAAACTATCTTTACCGACTGGATGGAATCAACCAAGGAAAACCCAGTGGTGGTTGACTTTGAGGTAAGAGATTGAAATATACTCAGAGTCGCAAAGTGATTTCATGCTGTTTATTCAGCTCATAGTGGTGAGGAGGAATGAATGAATGTCCCCTCACAGTATCTGCTTTATATACATTATTTACACAATGGGCTGCACATGATTGGCTAATTCTGGAATTCTACTGTAAGCCAATCAGGTTGTGGATTCACTTATATCTGGAGCATGATTGGGTGGTTCCTGCCAACCAATCATACTGCTGCATTGTTCTAGGACCAATCAGACTGCTGCATTCTGAATCCTATTGTTCTAGGACCAATCAGACTGCTGCATTTTGGATCCTATTGTTCTAGGACCAATCAGACTGCTGCAGTTTGGATCCTATTCAACTCAGTACATAACAGAGATAGAAAGCAAAATAAAGAGTAGATACAAGGAAAACGGGTCTTACTGTGATGGTAAGATACTCACCTCTCCTAGACGAAAAAGAAGAAGTGAGGATTATTATTTTTTCCATTTGCATATGTGCTGATTTATGTAAAATTGTTCCTTGTCTGTGCAAGTCCTGATTCTTCCCATTTCATTTAATCTATGTTGGGGCATCTGGCTGGTCTTCCTCTGAACAGGCAATAGGACTAGACACCTCTTCCAGTGACATGATTCTGTAATTCAACTGCCCTTGTACAGAAAAAGCAGAAAACACAAGAGAAACATTTGTTTTTTCTTGGTTGTATAGAGAAGGGCCAAACAAGACCTAGGGGATTTCACCATGACAACATTTGAGAAACTCTGTGTAATTCCTTCTTAGGTGACCCCCATTTTGGATTTGGTGAAGAACTTCCCATGTGCTGTGACCAAACGCAGGAATCTCAGGAAGGCTTTTTCAGAATATATGGAGAAATACGATCCATGCCGATGTGCCCCATGCCCCAACAATGGTCGCCCTGTTTTATCTGGGACCGAATGCCTGTGTATCTGCAAAGCTGGAACTTACGGTGATAACTGTGAGATACGAGCCCCAGACTACCAGTCAGGTATTCACCATGCATATGGTATCTTGTACCATTTGAGCCTTGGCTACCCATCTGCTACATTTTGTACTAAGTGAAGTAATCATGGGGTCTTCAAAGGCAGCTCCAGGTACAACGCACTGCAGCAGTCTCACCTGGAATGTTGGTGCTAGTTCTAAATGGTTGAGACACAAGCTGGTGAAAGTAAGAGTGAACATATCAGAATGGTTGGCCAGCAACATTTTTTGCTGCCCCATGTAGCTGCAGGACACAGCCTCTGGGGTGTTTCCTGGAGTCCTGTGAAAAGTGCTATCTTGCTGGAGTGCTGGAGGTGAAATAGTTAAACAGGTTACCCAATCAGAACTCAGGGGGGTGGAGTCAGAGGGACTATAAAGCCAGCTCTGGGAGGGGTGAAGGGAGGAGTTCGTTGGGAGTTGGGTGGTTGGTTGGAGTGGGAGTGAATTGGGATAGAGTTTGTGGGTAGGCTGAGTTAGTGTAGTGAAATAAGCTGAGTTAGGAATAGTTAGGGGCTAGGAAGACAAGTAAATATCTGAGAGGTGGTTTAGTGAGTGAGAGCAGGTAGCGGAAGTTATAGGTCTGGATAGGCACCCCATGATTGTAATTGACCGAAATCGTTTATGAAATCACACACTTGTCAAACTGCAATAAATAAACAAAAGTTTATGTTCCAATTTAACCCTGACTGGACTTAGTATTGTACCAGGTGGGGCCTGGGTGGTGGCACTGAGAAATAAAGTGGTGGCACAGGGATCAAAAGATGGTGAAACGTCTGGGGACCCTGTGTGATCGCCACAGGGACAACAGCTGTACACAGTGAAAGAGGTTGCCATCTAAAACCCAGTGTTGCAAGGGACCCCCCTCCCAAAGCATGACTTTGCAGATAGCCATAGAAAATATTGATGCCCAAGGAGCTTCTTGAGTGGAATCTAGACATATAAAAAACATAAAAATGCTTTTTTTAAAAAATGTTTTGATAAATATATTGAATTTGCCATAGCTCACCATCGCCATCTAGTGTCACATTTGTACAATGCTCTTTACAACACTATTAAAATGTTTTATTTGCAGCTTTATAGCTGAGTCCTTGGTGTGTCTGCATAGTCTGTCATATCTGACCTGCTAATGGGGCCATGGAGTAGAAAAGAAGAGCGACAATGGAAAGGCTGAGAATTATTATTTTGTTAGGTTTTCTGCTCCTGATTACACTTGGCTCAAGGCAAACATGTCGCCTGTCACTCTATAGATCTCAGCTTTGAAGTGCTCGCTTTGTTTTTAGAGTTGCTTTATCAATCATTGTTCTAATGGGACCGTGATCTTTTAAAAAACCTGTTTTCGTGCGCCATGTCGCCTTGAGAACACTTGTTGTCGGATGACTAATATACAGATTGGTTGAATGAATGAATCATGGAATGGGCTGTGGAAGTGTTATTGATGGTTTCGGAAAGGGGCAAGACAACATTATTACAAAAGGTGTGCTGAGAGAGAGAGAGAGAGAGAGAGAGAGAGAGAGAGAGAGAACTCAGTGGCTGCATTCAGACATAGGAAGCTGCCTTATGCTAAGCCAGACCTAACTCAGCAATGTCTACAATGTCTGGCAACAGTTCTCCAGAGTTTCAGAAAAGAGGTTTCTCCTGCCTGGGACTGAAGTGGGGATAATTTGCGTGCAAAGCATTTACTCCACCGATCCGCAACCTTTCCTCCAAGGATCTCAAGGGGATGGTACATGCTTCATCCCTCTCCTCGTTTAATCCCCACAACAACCCTGTGTGGTAGGTTAGGTTGAGAGGCAGTGACCTTGGGGGATTTGAACCTGGTCTCCCAGGTCCTCCTAACCACACTGCCACACTGGCTTTCCAGAGCAATAAGCCAGACTGCTTATCATGGCTTACTGGGAATGAGCGCTGTGCTTCTGCAATTTGTCCAGTTTCTAAGGCTTTCCTCCTCCCCTGGCATGAGCAGGGCAAACCATCCAAGAAGCCTTGGTGTCCCATTGCATCTGAACCAGAGATCAGGATTTGTTCCTCCCTTGGAAGTCACAACCAGCAAGTCATCTCTTGAAGTTGGCTAGTGTTAGTGGCCTGTTTGTTGTTGTTGTTGTTGCTGTTGTTGTTGTTGTTTAGTCATTTAGTCATGCCCGACTCTTCTTGACCCCATGGACCAGAGCACGCCAGGCCCTTCTGTCTTCCACTGCCTCCCACAGTTCGGTCAAACTCATGCTGGTAGCTTCGAGAACACTGTCCAACCATCTCATCCTCTGTCGTCCCCTTCTCCTTGTGCCCTCCATCTTTCCCAACATCAGGGTCTTTTCCAGGGAGTCTTCTCTTCTCATGAGGTGGCCAAAGTATTGGAGCCTCAGCTTCACGATCTGTCCTTCCAGTGAGCACTCAGGGCTGATTTCCTTAAGAATGGATCGGTTTGATCTTCTTGCAGTCCATGGGACTCTCAAGAGTCTCCTCCAGCACTATAATTCAAAAGCATCAATTCTTTGGCGATCAGCCTTCTATATGGTCCAGCTCTCACTTCCACACATCACTACTGGGAAAACCATACCTTTAGCTATACGGACCTTTGTTGGCAAGGTGATGTCTCTGCTTTTTAAGATGCTGTCTAGGTTTGCTTTTCTCCCTCAAGAAGCAGGCGTCTTTTAAGTTTGTGGCTGCTGTCACCATCTGCAGTGATCATGGAGCCCAAGAAAGTAAAATCTTTCACTGCCTCCATTTCTTCCCCTTCTATTTGCCAGGAGGTGATGGCCTGTTAGGGTTTGCTTATTCTGCTCACACCAGGGGAGAAGTGAAGCTGGGGTGATCGGGCAATGTGAGAGTACACTTCTGTCTGTTCACACTAAACCATAAAGCAGGAAATTGGTTTTATTAAATATGGATGCAGCCACTGAGTTTGGTAACAGGCTTTCTGTTGATACCAGTGGTCTTTAGATGAGCTCACATCTGCACCTTGTTGTGTTGAATGCTAGTTGCAGTAGATGGTTTCTGGAGCTGCTGGTCTGCATGGAGTTCATGTGATGCATCTTTCAAGAGGAGGAGAACTCGGTTGTGCAACAATCCCCCGCCCACAAGTGGAGGAAAACCTTGTGAAGGTGATGGAGAAGGAGAGGAAGACTGCTATATTTCACTGTTTGAAGACAAGTAAGAATCACATCATCCATGCAGTGCCACCAGTGGACAGAGTCCTTTGCTCAAACTCAAGCTACACATCATACTGTACCCTAAAGTTTGCCCCATCCCCTGATCCTGCAGTGCTGAGTGATAAAGATAAGTGAATGCACCAGAGGGAGTGAATGTGCACTGGATAAAAACAAAGAAGTCCCCTTTCAAAGTCACTGTGTGGTTGCAACCCAAACAGTGCTGGCACTAGCATTTTGGAGCCCTCCCTGAATCTGGAGGAGGTGGGTGGTACATAGGAATGCAGGAAGTTGTTTTATACCAAGTCAAGCCACTGGTCTATCTAGCCCTCCAGATTTTGGGGCTGCAATGCTTATCAGCTCCAGTATGGTAATGGATGATGGGAGTTGTAGTCCAAAATATCTGGTTGGGGAAGGCACTGACTAGAGGTGGCTCTCCAAGGTTTCAGACAAGGGTCTTTCCCAACTGTACCTAGAGATGCTGGGAGCTGGACCTAGGATCTTCTCCATGGACACCCCCACTCGGTTAACACCACCTGGTGTGTACACAAACAGAAACGAATCTGACACTAATGAAGCCATGCTGATGTGGAGGGGGGTGACAGCTTTACTGCACTCAAAGGCTGTAATGTCTTCTCTATTACTCTTGTTTGTTTAATAAGCTCCTAACTCGTGCATTTTCAGAGGGGCTCCTTGCATAAATGACGATGAAGCCGTAAGAGAAGTAGATATGTATCAACCTGAACAAGACTTGGGATGCCTGACTCCAGTACCTCCAGAAAATGGATTCATCAGGGTGAGGAACATTTCACAAACTGCAACAGAAAGGGGTTTTTTTTGGGGGGGAGGGGGTGTCTCAAACCATCCGGCAGAAGGCTTTGGCTCAGGGCACTAATCCTGGAACCGTCTCATGAGAATCGCCTTTTTGAAATAGTTTTGTGAGCATGTACAGATTAAAATGTGCCAGAACTAGTTAGACGTTCACCAAAACCGAAGATGGAGAGACCATTCAGTAGCAACAATTTTAAAAGACCTGGATTAAGAATGTAAGAACATGCTGGATCAGGCCAATGGCCCACCTAGTTAGCATCTTGCTCCCACCTTGCCCCCTCACCCCAGATACCTGTTGGAAACCCACTAATAGGACCCAAGCACAAAAGCACTCTTTCCCCACCCAACCTGTGGTTTCCAGCAACCAGTATTCATAAGCCTTGCTGTCTCCAATCATGGAAGCAGAGCATAGCAATCATTGATAGCCTTAACCTCCATGAATTTGGCCAATACACTTTTGAAACCATTCAGGTTTGTGGCCATCATTACCTCTTGCGGTAGTGTGTAGAGGTGTGTGTGACAACCCAGCTTTGCTCCTAATCTTCTCATTGCTGCTTAGGAAGGACCTGCATGTTATACTTAATTGTGTGTTATGACCTCTCTCCCCCAACACTAGACCTCGGGGTCATCTAGTTTTTGTCATTTAGCCAGTGAATCACCCACTTCATGACTTGTTCTTACCCTGATTGCAGAATGAGAAAACGCACTATTCCGTTGGAGAAGAAGCAGAAGTCGTCTGCCTGAGTGGCTATAACCTTGTTGGGTACCAGTTCCTCAGGTGCCTGCCGGACAAAACATGGAATCAACACGCGGTCGAGTGCCAATGTAAGAATCAGCAGAATAGCTTGAGTGGAAAGTGGGGATGGGGAACCCGTGGCTTTCCAGATATTCCTTGGGACTCCACAACTCCCATCAGCCCCAGGCAGCATGGCCAATGGGCAGATGTGATGCCACCATAGGCCACCAGTATCTAGAGGACCACAGATTCCCTGTCTCTGGTGTAAAGAATAGAAGTTAAGCTCTTTATCATCTACGGGCAGAATCCAACATTGTGGAAGCAGACTCAGACAATGGGTTTTCACATTCCTCCTCTCCACCACCTGCAGCCTCTCATGCACATCCAAAATCTGATCCAGAAGCTGCCCCCCCCCCACTGCAGAGCAGATTTTCGGGCACAGAGGAATGTGAAGTCCCATTGTGTAGGCAGAAGTGTATTCCACACACAGACACACACACACACACACACACACACACACACACACACTTAAGAGCATTGGGTGCAACATTTATCCCAGTTCTCCCATTACATTTTCAGGAAGTGAGATGTTTCCCACCTCCCACCACCCTTCATCCAAAGATCAACTTATTCATTCAGACATCCAAATTTATCTCTTAAACTCCAGTGTCGACTTGTTCCAGACCGCCTGTGTCCAATGATGTCAGAATCACCCCATTTAAATTCCAGTACCGGATTGGGGACATCATCCACCTGAGTTGCCCAGGTGGTCATGTTGTTACTGGCCAAAAGATGTACACCTGTGGGGCTGATCTATCATGGACACCTCCTGTTTTGACATCTCTTACTTGCAAGGAAGGTAAGTCCCTACCAATGCCAGTCTCTGCACTCATGACATTAGGCTTCTTATGTATTCACCATTTACTGTGTTTTCCTTACCCTGTGCTGAAGGCTTAGCAGGGGACAACCACTGGCTCTGAATCAAGCATGCACAAATTGTGAGATGATAAATCAAACACTGTCTACCAGCCAGGATATGGTGTCCCACTCAGGGCTCATTCAGTCCTGCTTGCTAGCCAGCTTGGGCCCGATGGGCTGTCAAACCTTCAATAGGCTGGTGGGCTGTGGGTTGTCCAGGACTGTTCTAAATGGAGATGAAAAACATCATATAAAAATAGCTGTGTTGGGAGGGGGTTGTATATGGTGGTCTTTGTTGACATCCTTAACTTCTGTTCTTCTTCCAGACTAGCTAGGATAATGAAACTTTGCTCACCTACTTGGCAGTCCACCGTGAAGCCTGTAGCTGTGAACGGCCAATATGTGATGCTTGCTTAATTCTTTTTCTTCAGATGGGCAGATGAATTCAAGAGGGAATTGTCCACTTGGACAAAAAGAGGTGGAGTCTCAGTGCATTTGTATATCTGCTGAGGAGGACTGTGAGTAAGTAAGCCTGATGAAGTTAATTCTGACTATAAGACTGGTCTTGTGGCCTGGCGGTTGCTCAGCAATCTTCCTGTAGTTGCAGGACAGCAAAAACAGGAGGGTTGTTGAGCTTCTGGTGGACCACATAATACACGTCTGATGTTGTGCATTCTGCCTCACAGATTATGATCTGCACCAAAGTTTATTTGGTGATAAGAATAGGGGTGTCCTGCAGCTTGTCTTCACTCCATCCTTCGTGCACCCATATTTATTTGTTACTACATTCATATCCTACCTTTTGGGTCCAGCAAATTTTGCATAGCCCTAAATAAACAAACACACACACCACAATCAAAGCTTAATAGTATTAAAAAAAATTAATCAACTGGACCTAATCAAATTAGACAGCAGCAATCAGGTAAAACCAACAGCAAGAAGAAGAAAAGCGACAAAGCAATTTGACAGAAGATGCTTCACAAAGAAAAACAGCCAGGAGGAAAACCATCTCAGATTCTGGGAGGTCACAAAGCTCTCTGAAACAACAATCTGATGTCAAAATGACAAAAGAAACAGGGTAAATGTGTTGATGCTGTTGTTCTAAAGAAGAGGTTGTCAACCTTTTACCTTTTGGGGCCTGTGGGTGCATTGCAAACCTGTGAAACTTTCATAGGCTGCAAAACTGCAACCAATAGACGAATTATTTCAGATCTAATTTCAATATAGAGAGAGGACCCTGCGGGCATCAGGGAAGGCCACGGTGGGCACTTGTGTGCACGTGATCACCACACTGGCGACCTCTGTTAAAGTGTTGATGCCATTGTTCAAAAGGGTCTGCCCAGGGTAAGCCACCAGCATAGACACACACACACACACACACACACACACACACTGTATTTCAAATGCTGTGAACCGCCCTGAGATCTATGGATAAAGGGCAGTATACAAATATAATAAATAAAATAAATAAATATTTTAATGATTCCCTTCAAAGTCCTGACTCCTCCTTATGGTGGCCATAAGCTGATGTTAAAGATAAGATCATAACAAGTGGAACAGGTGGCGGGGGAGCCTGGAGCTCTGTGATCTATGCAGGCATAATTGCACATCAACTTTCTGGAGGACTCTGAAATTCCCAATACCTGCAATCTCATGCTTAAATAAGGACTTTATGGAGAATTAGATGGTTGTGAAGGGAGATGCATTTCTATTCAGTGTAAAATAATAATAATAATAATAATAATAATAATAATAATAATAAAAAATTTATACCCCGCCCATCTGGCTGGGTTTCCCCAGCCACTCTGGGCAGCTTCCAACAAAATATTGAAATACAATAATTATTGTGTAATTGTGAGGTGTGTAAGATGAATGCACCTGTCAAGAGTAATGATTACTTAGTTTTGTCCTAATGATAGATTAAGGGCATGAATTGGAGCCCAACACAAGCTCAGATACGAAGCAGCAAAGTCCTTGGCATCTCTTGAACTCTGGAATAGCTGTGAAAAGCCTGTGTACTGCTCTTTTCAATGTAATTTCTTTAAAGCAGCAAAGGAAGGATGTTCTGGGGATGCATTAGTCTGTTAAAAGGCCACCTCAGAAAAGCAAGAACAAACGGTGGGACCATATTGTATCCCAGCCCTCACCCTTATCTCTTGACAGTCTCTACTCCGAAGAGATCTGTGTGCTAGATGGGGCATCTGAACAAGCCCTTACAAAACCGAGCTGCCAGTATCTGGCTGAAAGGTGCAATGGCTCCGAACGGTTCCATTTCCTCCATTCTGGACCCTGCCGTGATGACACGCCTTTGAACTGGGCCGTTGAGAGGGCAAGCTTTTCAGCAAACAGCACAAAGAAAGAACCTTGTGGATATGATGTGTGCTATGACTGGGAAACATGTTCAGGTAAGTTTCTTGACCTGGAAGGATGAACTTTTTAAACGTAAAATGAAAGGCATGTTGAAAAGAGACAGTTAAGTGTCAAGAGAAAATATACAATTTTAGCTAATACGTAAATTATGAAACACTATAGATGCATGTTTTTATCATCAGAATCAGGGCTGGATTTAGGTTTGATGAGGCCTTACCTTAAGCTACTGAAGGTAATGAGGCCCTTTATATGTCCAACTGTCCTTTGTCAACAACAAATTGTCGCTGTTTTTTGTGTTGAATATATGCTATATGGTAATTTATGGACCTAATAGGTATCTAAAGCCATTTGCACATAACAAATAGGAGCCTACACAACACAAAACACTGTTGCTGTATGTAGGTTTTATTTTATTTGTTTTTTATCTTATATTTTGGAAAAGTATGTCCAGGTGTTTTTTCCTTTATTTTTTTTGGGGGGGGGCCAAGAGAGTGATGCCCTGAGCTATAGCTTGTTTAGCTTATACGTAAATCCATGACTGGTCAGAATATAAATCCAAGTAATCACAGTGTGTGTGTGTGTGTGTGTGTGTAACATATGCACGCATATAGTAACAATTAATTGTATTAATTGATTATCACAATAACACTAATTTTCCTGTTGCTGTTTGGTCAAATTAGCTTGCAACTTAAAGTTTGCCTTTGCATCCAGTTCCTACAAACTGTGGTTTGTCCACAATCCAGGATTGCAAACCGTGAGTTTGGAACCCTGAACAATTAGAGTTGTAGAATCTGAGGTTGCCTCTGGTTAGGCAACTACACATGTGAAGCCTACTCCCTGCAGACGTTTGTGCAGTAAACTTGAGAATCCAGGAAGGAGAACGTGATGTCAGGGTGGGACTAATTGCTGCAGGCCCACTCCTTGCCTCTCTGCCATTTGATATGGGATATATTAATCCCCATATGGGGCTATGAGTCCCCATATGGCTCTCTTCCTTTAAATTCCTGGAAGTTTACCTTAATGAAAACATCACTTGGAAAAAACAATTTAACTCAGGTGGTTAGGAAGGCCCAACAGAGACTCCATTTTCTCAGGGTCTTGCGAAAGAACAATGTTAAACAACAATTGATGACCTCCTTCTAAAAAGGTAAAGGGACCCCTGACCGTTAGGTCCAGTCACGGACGACTCTGGGGTTGCGGCGCTCATCTTGCTTTACTAGCCGAGGGAGCCAGCATACAGCTTCCGGGTCAGCATGTCTAAGCCGCATCTGGCGAACCAGAGCAGCACACAGAAACACCGTTTACCTTCCCGCTGCAGCGGTACCTATTTATCTACTTGCACTTGGACGTGCTTTTGAACTGCTAGGTTGGCAGGAGCTGGGACAGAGCAAAGGGAGCTCACCCCGTCGTGGGGATTCGACCTGTGACCTTTCGATTGGCAATCCCTAGGCTCAGTGGTTTAGACCAGTGTTCTCCAACCTTGGGCCTCCAGCTGTTTTTGGACTACAATTCCCATCATCCTTGACCACTGGTCTTGCTAGCGAGGGATGATGGGAGTTGTAGTCCAAAAGCAGCTGGAGGCCCAAGGTTGGGGAACACTGGTTTAGACCACAGCACCACCTTTCTACCGGACCACAATAGAAAGTGTCCTCTCATATTGTATCACAGTGTGGTACGTTGGCTTGACAGCCACAGACAGAAAGTCTTTACAAAGGGTGGTGAACACAGCACATCATATCATGGGCTGTCCCCTGAGCCTGCTAGATGACATCACAAGGGATCGTTGCCTTAGGAGAGCGAGAAAAATTCTCAGGGACGATTCACACCCCGGCCAGCGCCTCTTTAATCTTCTACCCTCGAGCAGGAGATATAGAAGTATAATCAGTTGTACCAACAGGCTAAAAAACAGTTTCTATCCGTGGGCTGTTAGGCTGCTGAATGGAAAATAATATAGTGCAACTGACTTTCGGGGTTGGTGTGTTGTGCAACAAGCACACAGAGTGCAATGAGATTGAGTGTTTGTGTTGTGGGGGAGGCTCAGTTAATTTCACTGTACACAGGTTGTACATTGACAATAAAGGTATTATTATTATTATTACCGTCTTCAATGGATCCCCTTGCAAAGCACATTAATCTAACCTGGAGGTGGTAAGAGATTAACCCCCTCTAGCCACTGCTGTCACTTGGGCATATAAAAGTGCTCTCACCTTGTCAAGCTTGGTCCAAAAGTCACCTGCCTTTTGATTTGTCTGTTTGCTAGTGGGCGATCAACCTACAACTATTGAAATAATTTTGCTAATGCCTCTGCACTCCTCCACATACTTCCTGAGAGGTCAGTGGTACTGAAATCTAGAGGGCTTATTACTGAGTAGGAAAAAAATGTGGAGAGGGTCATGCTGTTTCATTTCCAAGACATTTCAAAATCATATTCTTAAATGAGGGGGGGGGAAACATGTGTGAGATCCATGTTTATTTATGGATTTCAGGGGGAAAGTGGCTGCAAGAAAATGCCTTTTTGGTTAGTACGTAGATCTCTGCAAAAACGAAGCCTTGTGTCAATGTTTGTTATGCAACTTGTTGTTCACTGTGCAACAGGGTGATAACAATTGTGGGTTTTCTCGTAAATTGCCTTGGCTGAGAACACATGAATAAGTTTTCTGCCAGGAAAAAGATGGTTTGTCTGGTTAAATTCTCCCTTCTCCCCCCTCCCCCAAGACGATCATCTTCCTTTTAGCCAGAAGCAGAAGCAGAAACCACTCTAGACGCTTTCACACCTGAAGCAAAACCGCACTCGCTCATCCTTCCAATTTGAATGAGAACTATTTTTCTTTATGAAAATAACATATAGTGATTGGAAGCAGAGAAATAATATTCCCTCTGCAGCTACAATCTGACTGTTACAGGGCAAGGCAGTCCTATGTAGAAGAGCTTGGTCTCAGTACTGTCATTAGACTGTTTCATTGATGGAAGCAACTTCCAGTTGCATCAGAAGAGATTAGAAAAACAAAACATTATACATTATTTACAAGTGGTGGTTCAAAATATTGACAAGGGAGGTGACACCTGATTTAAAGCAGTTAGTGCTGATGATTTCGCATTAGGAGAGCGAGCAGACACAGTGCTGCCTCCTCCAAATGTAGACACATATTAGAAAGCTCTAGTTATGGGGCTGTATCCAACTGAGCCATAGAGTCAGGGCCGGCCTACCCATAAGGCAAGGTGAGGCAACTGCTTCAGGTGGCAAGATTCAGCGGGGCAGCCAATCCCAATGTCAATCTTTCTTCCCAACCCCCCTGTTCTTGATGTAGCTCTTCCGTCAACCCTTCTTCCCTGGACGGGAGGAGGAGCCATTCTGGGGTCTGCCCGAGGTTCCAAAATGTTGTGGGCCGGCCCTGCTCAGAGTAGACCCACTGAAATTAATTGACAACTGAGTTGAAATTAGTTGACCTTCAGTGAGTCTACTCTGAGTAAGACTAATGTCTGATACAGCCATGTTTTGTAGCAGATGAGAGTTTGCTGTTTTGCCTGTACTCGTAGTTTGCAGTCCTGGTTTGTAGCCAAACAAACCATTTCTGCTGGATTTCTCTCTCTCTCCTTCTCCCAGTTTAGGGTCATAGCAGAGGCCAGGTGAACACCAGGCACTTACTGATACGACAGAGGTCACATCCCCAAAAGCAAGGCCATAGCAAGGCAAGTCAGGAGGGAGCTACCATGTTCCAACCAGGGCAAAAAGGCAGCTTGTCAGCACCCTGGAGAGCTCACAGGGAAGTATTCACTCAGAGTTATTGCCCCAACACCTTAGTGAGTTCTTATGAAGGCTGGCTGGCCTCAATTTCCTATTTACCCTGCCCCTTCTGAGGAACCATATTTTCATTTAAAGAGCTGTTGCCCTATTCTGACTTCTATGGCATGGAGGTGCTAAGAGACCCCCGGGTATAGGGTGGTATATAAATCCAAATAATAATAATAATAACGGAATTGGAGGGCTGTACTCTGGCCTGGAAGGGTCTGTTAAGACCTGATAATCTGACGTTGGATTATCTGGGAGGAGGGAAAAGCGATTGCCTCAGCTCCTTCTGAGTCTGCCTCTGAGTCAGATGGAGGATTGTTGTCAGAGTATAACAGGTTTGGGTGCAAAAGCAAACTACGGTTTGTCACAAGCTATGCTCAGACTTTGTTATTAGTATTGCTGTTATTTTTGCACCATGTGCAGCGAGAAGAGGGAGGGAGTGTAGGACCCTGAAGCTTGTGCTGGCTTACTCTTGTCATGTCAGATTGCAGTGAGGGCATTGTGTCTGAATGGCCCCAAAGGCAAAATCCCAAGTTCTATTAAAAACTTTCTGCTAATGGAGGTGCAACTGATTTATTCCAGAAATAGGTGATGTGTATTTTAGCTGGTATTCCTAAATTAACCACCACTGCTGGCGTTGCAATTGAATGCCCTCAATGTGTCAAAATGAATGTGTGATATATGCTTGGAAGGAGGCCTTGTCATGCAAAAGGAGCTTACGGACACCATTTCCATTATTATGTTATAATCAATTCGAAGATCATATTTGACGTGGTGTAATCCCCTATTTTTTACACTTTATATAGTGTGTAGGGTACCACTGAGCCTTGGGCTTGCCAATCAAAAGGTCGGCGGTTCGAATCCCCGCGACGGGGTGAGCTCCCGTTGCTCGGTCCCAGCTCCTGCCAACCTAGCAGTTCAAAAACACGCCAAAAATTGCAAGTAGATTAATAGGTACCACTCTGGCGGGAAGGTAAACAGTGTTTCTGTGTGCTGCTGTGGTGTCAGTGTTCCATTGCGCCAGAAGTGATCATGCTGGCCACATGACCCGGGAAAACTGTCTGTGGAGTGGACAAATGCTGGCTCCCTCGGCCTGTAAAGCGAGATGAGTGCCGCAACCCCAGAGTCGTTCGCGACTGGACTTAACTGTCAGGGGTCCCTTTACCTTTACCTCTCATGGAGGACACTGTGCTCCTTGGAGTAATTTGTCCACCTTTGGTTCTCAACCTGCACTCAGCATTCTCCTGTGGCTCCTAGAAGCTGTCAGCATGCAACAGCAGCCACACCCCGGGAATGGTTTTGACTGGCCAGCTAAACCAGGTGAGGATAGCCGATGGGTCTCAAACCCTCAGTGAGTTAGGACTTCTCCCTGTATGCAAAGACAGGCTCTGGAGGATGGAGCAGACGAAACCAGTAGTAGGTCCAGCAGTCAAGAAGGCTGTTTCTACACATACTAGAGGGGAGTGAGGAGCATATGGAGCTCATCAACTCTGAGTACCATTTGATGGAAAAGCAGATATAAGTTAAACCAATAACTAAGCAACAGCAAGAAAAGACTGTTGCTTCTTCTTTTTTTTAACTTTCCTGCTTGTGGGTTTCCTATAAGCATCTGGTTGGCCGCTGTAGAAAACAGGATGATGCACTGTATAAACCTTTGATCAGGTCGTGGAGAACCTTTGGCCTGAAAGATGCTGCTGAACTACAACTCCCATCATCCCAGGCCATCAGCCATGTTTGTTGGGGATGATGTCATTGTATTTCAGCAGCATCTGGGGGCCAGAAAGTGATCCACCCCTGCTCTGAACAAGCAAACAGAAATCATGCTCAGCTGACCCGAAGCCATTTCCCATTCACAGAAACGGAATCACGGTGTACCTGCTTGCTTCCAAACCAGTGCCCAAAGGATGAGGGCCACCTTTACTGCATCCAGACCAGAAGAGGGCGTTCAAAGAGGACATACACCCTCTGTGCATTGGGGGCCATGAAATGCACCAAGATGAGGGTGGAATCCTTTCATCCTGGGAACTGCTTGCCTTAAAATAGACGTCAAAACTCATCTCCTTATGGACAGACATATTTCGGTAGCATGGTATATTCAGAATAAATATCAATGGACGTTAGTACTTTGGTATCAATATATGACAATCACTGAAGTAAGGAGTGCTTTACATATGTCCTAAGAGTACAGCATTGCTGAAGATTTCAGAACTGTCTTTTTCAACCATTCATTAGGTGGAATGGGTGTGTGTGATGAAATGAATCCCTCCCCAAAAATATTGAGGGATATGAGATGGAGTTGCCATTTACCTTACTTAAACTTAGGATGTAGCTAAAGTTTTTCTTTCTTCCTTTAAGCTCAATGCTCTCTCTCTGCTGCTTCCCACTGGCCACATTCCCTTTACAGTCGTACCTTGGAAGTCAAACGGAATTTGTTCTGGAAGTCCGTTCAACTTCCAAAACATTCAGAAACCAAAGCATGGCTCCTGCAGCCCGTTGGAAGCTGTGCCGGATGTTCGGCTTCCGAAAATCATTCGCAAACTGGAACACTCACTTTTGATCGTTCGGGAGCCAAGGCGTTTGAGATCCAAGGTACGACTGTACTGTCTTAAGAGTAAGGCTACATCATGTTGCATCACCCCCAAGGCATTCTGGGAAGTTAATTTATATCTCACCTTTCCTCCCAAAGGAGCCCAGGGTGGCAAACAACAAGTTATAAAACAATTCCAAGGGGATTATGAACAGGAATCACACCAAAGCCTTTTTTAAAAAAACAAACAAACACAACAACCATTATTTATTGATACAAGATAAGTCATGATCTTTGAGTATTTCAGGATGGCTGACAAAGTCTGGCTCTGTACAGTCCATCTGCTTGCTTTAAGACAATATGAAATAAGTGTTCTGGGTTATTGCTGGCTTGAGACAGCTAAAGACCTACTAAGCAAAATGTACTACCATACTCTAACACAGTCATCTTCAACTTCTCCAAACCCAGTTTAAGCATCAACTTGCAGCAGAAGGGTCCTCTAGTAATCTCAGTCATGGACTTCCTGTATGTCCAACTTTCTTTGTTTTCCTCTTTCACTCTCTTTCTTCTCGGTTTCCCCACCCAACTTCTCCCTCTTTCCTCTCTTAAAAGACAGCAAACCTTCCAATAAATAAGCCAGTTAAATGGTGGAGTTGCCACCTGTGTGATCAGCCATATTGGTCAGTTGACGTCCAAGTGCTCTAGAATCTGGCATAGTCAAGAAGCAGAGCTAACTGTGAGCCTATGGAGATATTCTTGGGCATTTATTAAATTTATATCTGAACCTTCCTCCCAAAGGAGACCAGAGAAGAAGAGAGGGGAGGCCTGGTTTTCCATGGGTGAGTCAGTAAGTGCAGAGAACAATTTAATAGCACATCACTAGTTTCCTCAGATGCCCTTCTTTACTTTCTCCCATACCAATGAACAGCTGCCATTTACCACCACAGGAAAAAGTAAAGTGCCATACTTAAGTACACATCTGAAGTATGAATAAAATCTATCCTGTGTTTGACACTGGGTGGGCTGCTCCTCTATGACAGCCATCGGGGGGGGATGCACTCCCCCCTATATGTCCTTGAAATAAACAAGCCTTCTCTTCCCCTATCACCTACAAAGTCCTCATCCCACCATTCTCCTGACCCTTTACTTTTTTATTTTATTTAGAAGAACATATAAACTGCTTAATCAAATGATTCCTAAGCAGGGTAGATAAAACAAAATAAAACAATTCTCAATAATATACAAATGTAATCAACAAAAACCAACAAGTATACATAACTGAGTTATATGCCCCAGAGAGACTTGGCCAAAGGTTGCAGCAGTAATGTAATACAGTGTATAACACACTGGAAAGCCGAGTGGTTATCCTAGTGCAATAAGCAAACATAGACTAGGGATTTTGTACATCGCATGGTCTTATGCTAACAACAGTGATGTTCTCCCCCTGACACTTGAGGATGCCAGCCTCGCATTCAGTCATGGTCTGCTGCGCGACCCTTCCTTCCACTTCAACGCAAATGCTTATTCCTGTGTCACCGCATTGTCCAGCTTCTTTGCACATGCACTGGTTGGTTGGATCTAAACAACCGCCACAAATGAGAAAAATTAAACAATAGTGAATGAGACAGTAATTCACCGAACGACCTGGATTAACAAGCAGCTACAGGAAGACCAAAAGAAGCCAACTTCGCAGGCGTTCCTTTTATCCTCCCCAGCAAGGTTTGGGGCTGGTTTGGGGAAGCTCAGCCGCTCAGGCAGATGATATACAGCCTCAGCGGGACTCAACCATCTCCCAGAGTCTCTTGGAGACAGCTGCTTCTGCAAGGAGGAGGGGGGCCTGATGTTTAAACACTGCACCTCTCCTTATCTCAGCTAGATGCCTCTCTCCCACTTTATTGATACAAGATAAGTCAAGACCTTTGAGTATTTCAGGTTGGCTGACAAAGTCTGGCTCTGTACAGTCCATCTGCTTGCTTTAAGACAATATGAAATAAGTGTTGTGTTACTGCTGGCTTGAGACAGCTAAAGACCTACCAAACAAAATGCACTGCCATACTCTAACACAGTCATCTTCAACTTCTTCAAAACCACTCTAAGCTTCAACTTGCAGCAGAGGGGTCTTCTGGTCATCTCAATCATGGAACTCCAAATCTTTAACCATATACTGTATGTCCAACTTTCTCTGTTTTCCTCTTTCAGTCTCTTTCTTCTCTCAGCTTTTCTCGCAGTTTCCCCACCCAACCTCTCCCTCTTTCCTCTCTCAAAAGACAGCAAACCTTTCAGTAAATAAGCCAGTTAAATGGTGGAGTTGCCACCTGTGTGATCAGCCATATTAGTCAGTTGACGTCCAAGTGCTCTAGAATCTGGCATAGTCACACAGCCCACTCCTAAGTTCTGCACGGAGGGGGGGGCATGGCGTTGGGCACCACAGGGGTCGGTAGGGCGGCATGGGAATCTCCAATGCGGCACAGCAACTTTGATTTCCTAAAAAAAAAGCTCAGTAACTTTGCACCGCCCCAGGTGCTGATTTAAAGATCACTCAGCAAATATCAGGCAGAGTGCATTATCTCCTGAAATGATCAGCAAACAAACCTGGCAGGCCACTTCCTGCAGCTTGCCAGGACAGATCTAGCCCAGAGCCACCCCTGCTTTGAAGTGCAGGGTTGCAGTTAAGTTTTGGTTTTGCACAAATTGCCAGTGTATGTGTGTAAGAGAGGGAGCAATCTAGAGTGAAATTCATGTGGGGTACAAGGAGCCATCAATGAATTACATGGGTGCAGTGGGTGTTTTGTGTCATATTCTATCTTATTACTGTTGTAAGCTGAGATGGACAGATAATTTATTACGGTCAAAGACCAGCTTACATAACATAACACAATAAAAACAGAGTTCATAAAGATAAAATATACAATCGGAGCAGATTGCAGCAATAGCTCATGTGTTAAAATTGTTGTAAGCTGTATTTTTTCTGCTGCTCAGTACGTTGTTCAGCCTTGGGTAAGTTTTACTCATCAAAGCATCCTGGAAATATTTTAAAATAAATAATTCTTTAACACCCTCCCCTTCTATGCTGAGCCTGCAATACGAGAATGGGCCTTCTCTGCAGTGGCTCCCAGTCTGTGGAATGCTCTCCCCAGGGAAGATCGCCTGGTGCCTTCACTATACACCTTTAGGCACCAGGCAAAAATGTTCCTTTTTAACCAGGCCTTTGCCAACCTGATCTACATCCTATACTCTTTTTAAAATGCTGGCTCTTTTAAGGGTTTTTTTTTATTGGGTTGCTGTTTGTATTTTGATTTTATGTATGTGATCCTTCATGTCAACCACCCTGAGACCTTCGGGTATAGAGCAGTATAGAAATAAAACAACAACAACAACAACTCCCTTACCTGTACATACTAGGGTCCAATCAGGCAACTGGGTTTTAAATGAAAAACACCCGCTTCTATAAAGTGAACATAATTTGTAGTTTGGTTCAAAGAATGTTCCCTAGAACCCTGCAGTGCGGGTGTACTGGTATTCCTCAGCAAGCAAATCAATGAGAAAAGTAAGTTTGAAGACCACCTTTGTACACTTCATCCTATAGCTAACCTTTGCTCTCATCTCTGGTAACAAATCATAATTCTCCTTCTCCATAGTTCTGAAGCTCTCTGCCAGAAACAGAGGAAATGTCCCAGCTAACTCTGGGGAGGGTAACCTTAAGATAGTAAAGGTAAAGGAACCCCTGACCATTAGGTCCAGTCATGGACAACTCTGGGGTTGCAGTACTCATCTCGCTTTACTGGCCGAGGGAGCTGGCGTACAGCTTCTGGGTCATGTGGCCAGCATGACTAAGCTGCTTCTGGCAAACCAGAGCAGTGTACAGAAACGCTGTTTACCTTCCCACCAGAGTGGTACCTATTTATCTACTTGCACTTTGACGTGCTTTCGAACTGCTAGGTTGGCAGGAGAGGGACCGAGCAACGGGAGCTCACCCCGTCGCGGGGATTCGAACCGCCGACCTTGATTGGCAAGCCCTAGGCTCTGTGATTTAACCCACAATGCCACCTGCGTCCCAACCCTAAGATAACTCTGCACTAAATCTAGAGGGTCAACCACATTTTTTTTTATTCAATCCAAGCTTGTTCCTGCTATTCCCAGTAAATCACATTTAGAAGTACCAGGGTGGGGTGGGAAGCAAGTGCACCCACAAATTGAATTATCTGGTCAGGAATTTGGGTGCAGAAGGATGTTGGGGAAACCTCTTACCATGGCATGTCTCCCACAGCTGGCATGAGCCACAAGGTCTTGTGGATGCAGCAGGAGTCCTGCAGGTTTCCTTGCTGACCAAAGCATATTGCCTGCCCATGCACTCCAATGCATGTAGCTTGCAGATGGTTAGCCATGTGCTTCTCTTGGTTCTTTGGTCTGTAGCACAGATGTCCAGGGAAGAGCTGGGAGGAAAAGCAAGAAATCACACTATTGACAGGGGACTGAAATTTACAGCAGGAATCTGCAGCCTTCCAAGATGTTGTTTGACACCAACTCCCATCAGCCCCAACAAGAGTAGCAAATGGTGAGGGATTTTTTTATTTTTTTGAATTTATACCTCGTAAACAGAACACATTCTAAAAACCAACAAAGCAAAAACATTTCAAAACAGTTAAAATATTCCGAAAAGAATTAAAAACCTACAAGTTAAAACACCCTAAAAGCAGTTGTGGTTAAAAACAATGATCCCAGGGTTGGCAGGAACAGTATTCTTCAGTCACCAAATGCCTGAGTAAACACGGATGTTTTCAAATCCCTCCTGAAAGTTGATAAGGAGGGCATTTCACAATTGGGGGACCACCACTGGAAAGGCCCTGTGCTAAGTCTGCTCCAACCAGCATGATGGGAGTTGTAGTCCAACAAAAACTGAAAGGTGACAGGTTACCTATCCCTGCTTTACGGGGACAGCCTGCACAATTTGTGACCCACAAAGCCAGATGCCTCCCATCAACCAAAATTCTCTACAGTCCACACAGCAAAATAATGATGTGTGGACAGTTCAGTATAAACCCATCAATGACATGTTGCAGAATATACCCACACAAAAAATACACCCAGCAGTCTGGAGGGGCCCTTAGGAATAAACTTAAAAGAAGAATGTCAGGCTGGGCATACATTACTTGACAGAGATTGCCAGTATCACAGAACAAATTCTCCAGAGCTTCAGTGGAAAAAGGGAATCAAATTATTTACTACTTATCTGACTAGCATCCCCCAAATAAAAACCATCCATTTTTATTTCCCATGCTCACTTGCCTTTGTTAGAAAAAGGTCCCTGCAGGATCTAAGGTAACTCGCTGCCACACTTCCAAATCTCCAGAATATATGTTTTTGTCTCCTTTTCTCTCCCTGTTTTACACAACCAAAGCCCTCTTTCCCCTTTCTGTTCTTTTAGCCAAGCTATCTCTCTACTAATACCAAACGACAGCTCCATCAAGGCAGGTAAAAAGATGAAAAGGACTAAAGTGGGACAGGGCTAAGAAAACGGTATTTTATTGCTAGCAAAGCTCGCTTTATTTCTCCAAAGCTTTCTAATCTGTCATGGGCTCATGCCCTTGGAGGGTTTAGCTTTCTAACAGAAATGAGATACCTATGGCAACTCACCCACATTCATACGGCATCTTACACACACATTTTGCCTCTTGGGCTTTCTCCCATGGCTGGCATTCAGGGGCAGCTGGCCCAGTATCTGTGCTGGGAACTGAGGAGAAAGAAGAAACAGAAGATCTAGAATGGAATAAGCAGACAGGCCAGAGATTATCTTGATAGCCCTGGCAGAGCCGACAATGTTCCTTCCTACTTTGTTTTCTCTGGAGTTGGGTGGCGAGGCATTTCCTCTCCCTCGATCTCAGTGCCAGCAGCGGCAATTTTATTATCGAGTCTCCGCAGCCATACACGGTGACATGGCTTCTCGAAGCGCTCTCCCCTCCTGACAATCCCCAGTCACAAAATGAGCTTGGCGCCTGGCTAATTTCGAAGGATGCCCTTTTAACTCTGTTAGCATGTTCGGTAAGACCTCGACACCATCCAAGCATTATGTGGGTTCGGCAGGAAGGGCCACATTTCAGTGGCAGGACATCTGCTTTGCATGCAGAAGGCCTCAGGTTCAATCTCCAAATTTGGGCTGGGAGTGTGATCCCTGCTTGAAACCCTGGAGAGCTGCTGGCAGTCAGTGTAGACAATGATATCTTTTATTTATTTCATAAAATTTATGCACCGCTTGATTGTAAAAAAAAAAAAATCACCTAAAAGCAGTTTACTAAAGAGTTAAAACAATAAAACGATCCCCGAGGAAACAAAAATTGATGCAAAACTTTTGAAAAGTTAAAACAACAATAGGGCTAAAAAGCAGACCAAAACGCACATTAACTTCCTACATCTCTTGATAGGCTTGTCAAAACAATAGTATATTATTATTATTAATGATAATAAGAATAAGAATACCCCATCCATCTGGCTGGGTTTCCCCAGCCACTCTGGGCTGCTCCCAACTGAATATTAAAAACACAATACAGCATTAAACATTAAAAACATTAAAGAGGGGTGCCTTCAGATGTCTTCTAAAAGTCAGATAGTTGCTTATTTCCTTGATATCTGATGGGAGGGCGTTCCACAGGGTGGGAGCCACCACCAAGAAGGCCCTCTGCCTGGTTCCCTGTAACCTCACTTCTCGCAGTGAGGGAACCGCCAGAAAGCCCTCAGAGCTGGACCTCAGTGTCCAGGCAGAATGACGGGGGTGGAGATGCTCCTTCAAGTTGTGTTGTCAGCAGGTGCCAAAAAGAGCACAGTGAAGGTGCCTGCCTGATTTCTATAGGCAGGGAGTTTCAAAGGGTAGATGCAACCACCCTAAAAGATTGAATTCTCGCAAATGTGGAAAGTGTGTTTTGTGGTACCTGTGTCAATTCCGCTGATCGAAGCAGCCAAGGAGGCACATATGGGGCAAGGCGATCTCACAGGTAAACTGGCTCCCCGGTTGTTAAGGCCTTTCTATATTGATAGTAACACCTTGAGCTTGGCCCAGCTGCAAATCAACGCAATGAACAAGATGGAGTCTGACTCGCTATAAGGCAGCATTCTAGGTTCCTCTCAGTTGATGGGCTTTGCTGGAAGGAAAGCCGTTTGGGAATGGGGCCTCAGTTTCCCTCTCTTTCCCTGGGCTGGGAGCAAGTGTGGAAGAAGAACAGCCAGCCAGCTCAAAACAAACAATGGTCTGATTTGCTTTCTGCAAGAATCCAAAGAAATGGCACTGGTGGCCCTGCTAGAAACCTGATGGGAAAGGAAAATCGGCTGCGAATGCTAATGCTGTGCACCTTCTAGCCTACGCTCAGCCTGTAAACAAAACCATCTATCAGAAAGACGCCATAAGACTCCGGTGACCTTTGCTCCAAGAAGAGATGCATGCCGAGTCCCCACTCCTGAGATTTCTTGGAGATTGGGGGCGCACATAGCAATACAAAAGAACAACCACCAAAGGACCAGGAAAAGAAACTGCACAAATTTGATGCTTGACGACTGGCCTGTTTGTGGCCTTTTCTGTTACTGAACCTCCGGTCCTGAGTTATTTCTACTTGAAATGTAATCCCAATCCATCAAAACATAATTAAAATCCTCCCCCTTTGCAGCCTCTGGAGCGACTAGACCTGTCTTTTCCCTCTGGTTTTACAATGAGGGGGAAATCTATTGATTTTTTTCCCTTCACAGTACCGTGACTCAAAAAGGCCAATTATGTTTACTTTAGAATCTCTCACAACACAGTTAATGCAGCCCATTCATTTTTAATATACCTGTTTTAAGACAACTCATTTCTTTTGTCCACCTTTTTGTGAACTTTTTTAAAAAAGGCATTCTCTCCCCATCCTTCTCCTCTCACACTGTGCAACTTACCAGTGCAAAGGAACATGGAATGTTTGGGGGGGGGGCGTCCAAGGGATGCCATAGCTGGGACTGAGAACATGGGTGCTATGGTGTGTTGTTGCTGCACAATTTAGTAATGCTGGGAACCAGAGGAAATGAAGTTCCCTTGGACCCTTGGATGCTGCAGCAAGTGCCCACTATAATGCTCTGAAACTCAACCTTCTCCCATTGAAAATGAGGGAAAGAGAAGAGTTAAGCCTACCAGCTGACTCCAAATTGGTGGCATTACTATTATTATTATTATTATCATCATCCCACCCAGGGCTTTTTTCAGGGGGAACTCACAGGAACTCAAAGGAACAGTACATTTCTGAGCACAATTCAAAGTGTTGATGCTGACCTTTAAAGCCCTAAATGGCCTCGGTCCTGTATACCTGAAGGAGCGTCTCCACCCCCATCATTCTGCCCAGACACTGAGGTCCAGCGCCGAGGGCCTTCTGGCGGTTCCCTCACTGCGAGAAGTCAAGTTACAGGGAACCAGGCAGAGAGCCTTCTCGGTAGTGGCACCCGCCCTGTGGAACTTCCTCCCACCAGATGTCAAAGAGAAAAACAACTACCAGATTTTAGAAGACATCTGAAGGCAGCACTGTTTAGGGAAGCTTTTAATGTTTGATGGATCACTGTATTTTAATATTTTGTTGGAAGTCGCCCAGAGTGGCTGGGGAAGCCCAGCCAGATGGGCGGGGTATAAATTATTATTAATTATTATTATTATTATTATTATTATTACTCAGTTCCAGCACCTCTCAGGTGAGCACCATTGCCATTCTAAGAGAACAAAGGAGGTGTTCACAGTGAGTTCTGGCATCTCTTTTTCTAGAAAAACAACACTGATCCCACCCTTCCTAATAGCAGGAAGCAGCTCTTGCACACAGGCAAAAGTGACAAGACTTGCCTTCCTTCAAATGGGAGAAGACTCTCTGAAATCCAGTTAATGTCTCTGCACCCAGTGAATAGCTTTTGCGGTGCAGGGTGTTGTTAAATGGCTGAAACTGATCTGGTCTTAACATGCTCAGTTAAGTTTGGGTAGTGGAATGCTTCTCTGGAGGCCCACAGGAGCTGCTCTGAAGTTTCCAAAGAAAGATCAGGCTTCAAGTGCACCAAAAAAATTGCCCTAGAACTACGTACCTCTCCTCCGGCACTGGATATTGTTGACGTTAGGAGACCACTTCAGGGTGGGTTCGCACAAAAGGACAGCTGCTCCTTCCAACTGCGTGTCTTCTGGGCACGACAGCTTTACCTTCTCTCCAATCTGATACAACGGTTTCACTGGGTCTGCACTCAGTCCTCCTTCCAACGCAGGCAAAACACAAGCCGTTTCTAAGGAATAAAGAGGAGAAGCAAGCTGTGGGGGCTGGTTCATTAGGGTGAACATTAAGGCCCTGCCCCAAAGATAAACTGGGCAAGGGAGAGCCGTGTCAGCTATAGCCAGAGCTCCTTGGAGGGAGGGAAGAATGAAAACACATTTGTATCCCTAGCCCTTGAGGGCTGTGAGGTGAAAACAAATGCTCCCTCTCAGCAGTCACCTAGAAGAAGAAGAAGAAGAAGAAGAAGAAGAAGAAGAGGAGGAGGAGGAGGAGGAGTTTGGATTTGATATCCCGCTTTATCACTACCCGAAGTAGTCTCAAAGCGGCTAACCTTCTCCTTTCCCTTCCTCCCCCACAACAAACACTCTGTGAGGTGAGTTGGGCTGAGAGACTTCAGAGAAGTGTGACTAGCCCAAGGTCACCCAGTAGCTGCATGTGGAGGAGTGGGGAAGCAAACCCGGTTCACCAGATTACGAATCTACTGCTCTTAAACACTACACCACACTATTGTTACTCCTTTCCTCATCTCCTTCGGCAATGGTCTTGAACAGCTGCATGACAGAAATTTAAGAATGGCATCTTTTCCTGGCATAGAATGACCACTCTCCACATCAGATACGCACAGCACCCCTGATCCTACATGACTCCTGGCGGAGCGCTCCTGGACCGCCTCCCCAAGTCGCAAACCTTGAGGTTCCCACCAAACCTCCGTTCAAAGAGCCAATCACGACTGGGGAGGCAGAGCCAGGTGAGTGGAACAATAAGGGTTGGGTCCACTCTTTAAGCATAAAAGGGGCGGAGCTGACATGGGAACTCTCAGTCAGCTCCAGAGCTTCCCCCGCCCTACCCGCCCTTCGTTTAGGCCTTTTATTGCAGGTTAACTTCTTCTTTAGGGATGCGGGTGGCACTGTGGGTTAAACCACAGAGCCTAGGACTTGCCGATCAGAAGGTCAGCGGTTCGAATCCCCGCGACGGGGTGAGCTCCCGTTGCTCGGTCCCTGCTCCTGCCAACCTAGCAGTTCGAAAGCACGTCAAAGTGCAAGTAGATAAATAGGTACCGCTCCGGCGGGAAGGTAAGCGGCGTTTCCGTGCGCTGCTCTGGCTTGCCAGAAGCGGCTTAGTCATGCTGGCCACATGACCCAGAAGCTGTACGCCAGCTCCCTCGGCCAATAAAGCGAGATGAGCGCCACAACCCCAGAGTCGGCCACGACTGGACCTAATGGTCAGGGGATCCCTTTACCTTTAACTACTTCTTTACAGGTATGCAGGCACTGCTACAGTCTTTTTTATTTTTTATATTAATGTTTATTTTTTTAAAAAAATATATTTTTATTAACAATTTCAACATGCACACTGTCAAAACATATCATATTCATTATTTCCCCCTTTCCCCCCTTCAAACCCTCCCTCCCCCCTAAAGACTTCCCTCAGCTCCTCTCTCTGATTTCTCAGCACATATTGTTCTCTGCATGTTATAAAATTATACATATCCTTACATTATCTATCTATCTATCTATCTATCTATCTATCTATCTATCATGTTATCAACCAATAAATTTGTGCATGTTTATTCAAAACCTGCCAAGGGGTCCAGTTCATTTTGCTGTCTTTTTAGATAATTTGTAAAAAGCTCCCATTCTTCCTTAAAGTCACAGTTGTCCTTGTCCCGCAGTTTGTATGTCAGTTTAGCCAGTTCTGCATAGCTCATCAAGGCACTGCTACAGTCTTACAATGGTTGCTGTTGAAGGACAGGGAAGGAATTTCCCTGCATTGGCAGGTTTTGCCTTCCCCGTAGCAAATCGTCACAACTTTGGCGGTTATAGGCCTTGGGCGGAATCCTTTAGTCTATCTTACCTAAATGGGTAGGGGGTGTGAAGCGTTGACACATGCCCCCCCCCGGCGGCAGTGATCCCAGGGTTCCCTGTTAAAGGGGTTGTTTTGAGGGGAGTCACTGGCCATGCGCTGAAAGGTTGTCAGTGCACTCCCCTGTGTTGCGGTGAAATAGGGGGCAGGCTCTCTGCTTAAACATATGTCTTCCAGAGCCAGCCCAGTCCCCAGACAGATTGGCTAACCCTGATGTGCCCCAGATCCCTGGCCGGGGACTGGGAGGGATAAACGACCAATGCCTAAGCCAAGGTCTTCCTACATCTGAATCTTTAATAAAGTTGTGGCCAATTTTAATCCCATAACACATTGTCACGAGTCGTTATTCTACCCGGGTGTCGCCTGGGGTCGGGGGGTGGGTCTCCGCCTGGGCACACAAATGTAAATGGTGAATTGTACTTTGCAGCCAGGCTTACAAATACATACTCTGGCAGCTCATCTGTCCAATGGTCCACCTCAAGCCTTCGCCACAGGTCACCACTGGGTCCCCGACAACAGCATATCCACTATTGCAGGTGTAAATGATGCTCTTCCCCACAGGATAGGATGAATCGGCATCCTAAAAAGTAGAAAAATTGAGGGTCACTGAGTGGAAGGATGCCTCTCTATTCTTACATGCTTGAATAATTCTTACATAATTATTCGAAATATACAGTGTTATAGAATTATATATTTGCATTTTTGAATGATCAGCATCGTGGCCCAGGACATGGATATTTCTGCCTAGGTAAACTTGTTTACTGCCTAAATAAACCAGTGAACCAGCAATGAAATCCATATATAGTGGTACTTCGGGTTAAGAACTTAATTCGTTCTGGAGGTCCATTCTTAACCTGAAACTGTTCTTAACCTGAGGTACCACTTTAGCTAATGGGGCCTCCCGCTGCCACTGCACCGCCGGAGCATGATTTCTGTTCTCATCCTGAAGCAAAGTTCTTAACCCGAGGTACTATTTCTGGGTTAGCGGAGTCTGTAACCTGAAGCGTCTGTAACCCGAGGTACCACTGTAGTACAATCAAAGTACAAACATATGGACTCAGAAGTTAAGTTCCACTGATTTCAATGGGGCTTACTCCTGGGCAAGTGGGAATTACAGGTGGCCTTCAGATCCTGTTTGGATTATTACAACTTCCATCAGCCCTGACTGTTGCCCATGATGGCTGATGGAAATTGTAGTTCCACAACATCTGGAGCTTACCGCATGGGCTACCTTAGAGGTACACAGAACTGCAACCTAAATTTTACTACTGTACTCTTATGTATGCAGAAAACCTGCATGAGGTGGGAATTCTATTGTGCTTCACTTACCTGCACATATCCATTTTCCAAGGGAGGAGGTGGTGGGCAGGACTCTGTGCCCAGCGTAGACACATCAAAGCAGTGTGGTTCTATTGAACTATAAAGCAAAACATTTTGATTATAATTTATTTCAGAGTTCAAGAGATTTGTCACCTTTCATTTGAAAACACTTTACTTCTCAGAGGGGTCTGTTTCTGCAAGGGCATTAAACTTCTATCAAATTTAAACTATCAGCATCTGGAGAGGGACACAAACACACTCACAGAGAAAAAGCAGCTAATGGATGCTCACTAACTTTTGTCCCTTTCTTGTCCCAGCCTAAATGAAATGCTCCAAATCCTTGCATGAAAAAAGTTAGTTTGAGCTAACTTTTCCCAGGTCACAAATAATAAATACTTTTTCCAGGTCACAAAAATTATCTAATGAGATTGAAAAATTGCAACTTAAAAAAAGTGTTTACCATATTTTTCGCCCTATAGGGTGCACCGGCCCATAGGATGCACCTCATTTTGGGGGGGGGGGGGGGAATGAATAAAAAATAATAATTTCCCCTTCATTTTTGGAGGGGAGAAAGTGCGTCCTATAGGGTGAAAAATACGGTATATCCTGATCATACAACTGGATTTTCCAACCAGAACTGTGCTTGCCCAACTTCTGCAATGTTGCCATTTCAGGTCCTCCCAAACCATTTGTTGAAGGCACTGAAAATTTTCATCTTAAACACTTGGTAGACATTTGTGGTCAACAACAACAACAAGGACTTTATTTGCGTAGCCAACAGGCCATAGCATCAAAGGACAAACATGATAATCCAGCTTTTACCTAGGGTTTTAATAGGCCATAATATTATACGACATTTGTGGTGGTTTCAGAACTCCAAGCCATGCACCCAGCACCAAAACTGGGTCTCCCTGTCTCCATGTTGTTTTATAATTATTCTTACTACTTTATGAGCACAAAGTAAAAATGGTAGGATCTGTGGCAAAATCAACACAGAATGCCTGTAATACAACATAAGAAATAAAAGAAGCAATTGAAATACCATTAAAAGCCAACAGGCATATTCAGTGTGATGGGTGTGCTGTCTTCTGTCTTCAACCACAAATCCACAGATGCACTGTAGACCACTTGAATGAACCTTGTGGATCACTGGTGGTCCAAAGATCACTGTTTGAGAACCACTTCACTACACCATGTATATGGGCTGACCTCCAGATGTTGTAGGATGACAACTCCCATCAGACTCATCTAGCATGACCAGTGGTCAGGCATAATGGGAACTGTAGCTCATCAACTTCAGGAGAGCAATACATTGACTCTCTCTTCAATGTATAATTTGCAACAAGTCTCAGGTGACTCCAGGACTTGCCAAACCATATTTCCTCTTAGCAAGTATCATTTCCACCTACCGAAAATGTTGCAAATCCTCATCCTCACACTGGCGGCTTTCAGCTGCTTCTCCGATGCAGGACCTTCCACCACCACTGGGACTGGGATTATTACAGCTTCGACTTCTTGATTTCCTTCCTCCTGTACAAGAACTCCATGAGGACCAGCAGCTCCAGCTTCCATCAATGACTCCTTCATAATGGCAGGAAAGGTCATGTATCATTTTTCAGTGGATCAGACACAGGATACTATGCAACTCACCGTCACAAGATATTCACCTGCACCCTCCTCCCTCTGGACAATATTAGAAAATTTGATATATTTGATTACCCTTAAGGAGTGAGGGCAAACTGCACCCTTGTCTATGCACCAGCTTTCAATATCAGCTGCTCCCCTTCTTAGAGGTGAAAATAGCTAAGCCGTTAACTATTACAGTGGCCCTACAGTTCACACATTGTTGCAACTGCACAGAAGACCAACTGAGATCATTTGGCAGAGCCCTAGGTGATTTGCAGTAAATCAGCAAGAGTTCATGACTCCCAGTTGTTTGACAACTGCAAGTAAGGAGGGGGCAGAAATCCTGATGTGCTGATTCCTTATCTCTCAGCACCAGTGTTCCTCACACATAAATTATGGGTACATAATTGCTTGCTGTTGACTAAAGGCTCATCCAGACTTCCTTTTGCACCATGCTTTCTAGGCACAGATCAGCACTTAAAAGCACTTTTTTGTCCTAGTACTTTCCCCAGGAAACCTGCATTTTACTGCTGAATCAGAGCAAATGGCAATTCACAGAAAAGCTGACTGTTGTCCCCCCTGCCCTGGTGAATCGTAATCCCGATTCCCAGCTTTATTTTTTTCCCCAAAGAGCAAGCTTCCAGGAGTTGTATAACCTGAGAAATAAGAGGAAATGCACAGGCACTATTCTCGTTGTTGTTGTTGTTGTGAGAAACTGGCCTGCTCCCCTATTTGGTGTTTTGCTTTAAAAAATCCTGTGGATGCCTATGGAAAGCAGATGTGTACCTTCCAGCATGTGACTTCCAGAATGTGGTGGGTTATTATCTCCAGCTCCTCAGCTATCATTTTTGCATCAGACTCTCTTCCCCCTGAACCACTCTTTTGCTTCCAGGTTCAGTTGAAACCAGGTTTACTAGAACTAGGTTTGGTTGAAACCAGGTTTACCTTGAGGTTCTAGTAAAAGAAATGCAAGTTACAGTAGATCCTGCAAGCCTGCCTCTGGCGTTGAAGAGGCCAGAGACAAGAGTTGGTCCTTTTGCACTTTAAGGACCTATCCACACTTTCGCTTAACCCATGCCTAGAAAGCATGAGTCTGGGTGGTTTTCCACTTGACCCATGCTTTGTAGGGAGAGGTCCAAGTGGTATTGCCTTTGCCCCACTGCCCCCCCAAACCCCACTTTTTAGCACTAAATCAGAACGAAAAGGTAACTGGCAGAAAACCCCATTGCTGTTTGCTCCAAGTCAGCACTAAATATCACAGGCTTCCTCAACCTCGGCCCCCCAGATGTTCTGAGACTATAATTCCCAACATCCCTGACCACTGGTACTGCTAGCTAGGGATCATGGAACTTGTAGGCCGAGGTTGAGGAAGCCTGAAATATCAGGTTTCCCTGGGGGTGGGTCAGCAGCAGGAGAAATGTAGTGCGGATAAGCCCTAAGTAACTTCAAATCACAGTAACATCATGCATGCCTGTGTGTGTGTGCATTTGGGGGAGGGCCTGTAGTGTCCACACATTGCACTACCTGCTTTAAACACCTCCACTCTAAAACAGGAGAGAAATTACTTGCCTGGCTGGTCTTGCACAAGAGTTCCCAGTTCACAAGCTGCTCCAAAAGTATACGGTTTGCAGAAGCATAGGCACTGAGTTTCCACAACAGCCGGCTCACCGCCATTTCGACACGGGCGGCATTTGCAGGGATCGTTTTCGCTCAGGTACTCTTCGATGGCTCGTTTCAGGTGATGCCTTTTGACGGATGCACAAGGTACCTCCTTCACCAGCTCATACAGTGGTGTGAGCTATATATATATATAATTAACATGTCCGACTGTTTGTTTGTTTTCAAAGAACATTACTTTTTTCTTACATTCTACTTGGCTCCCCATTTTTTCTCCATGAGGCGGGAATTGCACTCAAAAATTATTCAAAGGGAGAGAAGATGAAATTCACGTGTGGGGTGCAGTGTTTTTGTTGAATTTCCCCTGCTCTTGAGTAAGGTGCACATGTTTCAATTAAAACCCAGGAGAAGACACCTGGAGGCAATTCCTCCCATGGTTGTTGTTTTTTTAATCAGTAAGTGTGGACAGCTGGGGAGGCTGCACAGTGCTGGTCTGATCTTTATTAGAAAGCAGAAACACCCCCCCCCCATGCCTAGCCACCTTGCAATGATGAGGGGTGCGCTCAAAACCCCTGAAATTTTAAAGGAATTCTCAACTGCCCTGAGAATTAGGCAGGGGAAAAAATGAAACCTATTTTCTTTTCAGGGGAAGAAAACTTCTGTAAAATTGGAGGCCAAATTTTGGCACAGTATTAATTCTACTCTTGCCTCAAGAAACTAGGAGCAATGTTCAACACAGCCAACATTAATGCTTGTCAGTCCTGTGTGATTAACATTCCTGTAAAAATCAGTGGGACCTAAATGACCTTTATTTGTTACAATCATGATAATAGGGCTTCCAGGTGGTATTTCACTCAAGAGGTGGATAGGTTCAGACCTGCTTAAGAGTGACAGAGAATCTGAGCATCCTCAGACTATTCCTTGGACATCAGAGTGGAAAACTTCTATTGTTTATTTTTATTTTTATTTTTATTTTTAACTTTGCCTTTTGCCATATTTCTAGAGCAACTTCCAAAAGGACAGCAGCAAAATTAACAGATGAAAGACAACAATAATGACTAAACAGCCCAAAATAATCAGTAGTTAAAACTATTTTAATTGCCAGTGGAATCCCTTTAAGAATTAAAATGGCATGTGGCGTGCAAGATGCAGCGTGTACATCTCAACCTGGTTCACATTCTTTTTTTCTTTGCATAGTCTAAAGCAAGTCCATCTTTTGGCAGATAAAATAAAAAAATTCCTTCCAGTAGCACCTTAGAGGCCAACTAAGTTAGTTATTGGTATGAGCTTTTGTGTGCATGCACACTTCTTCAGATACACTTTTCATGTGCGTGCACATCAAAGCTCATACCAGGGAGAAGAGTCGGTGAAAGAAGACTGGAAGAAATTTAAAGACTATTTACAGAAATATTGTAAAATTAATGAATCTTAGAAGGATGTTGGATAGAAACTAAGTGGTTTCCAGCTGTAATGCTTTAAGAGATACGAAAAAAGGTTCACAAATGGGTAAAAGCTTAATGGTAAGGATTTGCTGAACTAACAAACTGAACTGGAATACAAAAAAGGGAGGTACGAGGAGGTCCGGGGAAATAAGTGTAAGGAAGATATGCTATGGAAAATTAATGTGTTTTTTAATTGTTTTTATTTTGTATGTTTCTTTTTATCTTTCATTTCTTTGTTATATCTTAAAAACTTTATTTTTATTTTTTGTTTTTGTGTAATTCTTGTATTATTTGAAATTTTAATAAATATCATTAAAAAAACAACAACAAAGCTCATACCAATAACTAACTTAGTTGGTGTCTAAGGTGCTACTGGAAGGAATTTTTTTATTTTGTTTCGACTACAGCAGACCAACATGGCTACCTACCTGTAACTAGAATTTTCGCAGATACTTCATGAAAAAAGTGGACCGTGTTTTCAGGCGAATAAGTATTGACCTGTGCATCTGTTGAGGTTTTGTCTTGGGGGGGGGGGTGTTTCATTCATTAGATGAAGTTAGCCAGTCACCCAGGATAATGTTTGCTGTGTGATGCCTATACCTAACCAAACTTGCTCACGTGGGCTACACAGCTGGCAAGCATTGTGCACATGAATCTTAATTATGCCAAATGCAATAACGCTGAATTGCTTTGCTTAACTCTGACATCTTGAAATTTCTGCTTACTCACTGGATCTGAGCAAACTAGATGCTCAGACTGAGTATAGGGACCTTAATTAACTTGCAAACAAGGTACAATGCTCACAGGGATTTCTGCTTTTATTTGATTTATTTGACTTAGCAAGCTCAGCAGCAACTTCCTTTCACTTGAATAGCATTTTTTGGGGAAACTGCAATGAAGGAGAAAAAGAAAGGAGATTTTTTTTGATTTTTAAAAAAGTGGGCATGAGTAACTTATACTAAATGGAAGTCCTGTCTAGATCTGGGTGGCAGTAGCCATGCCAGGGACAGTGATGGTAGAGCTGTTTCAGGATATATGGAGTGGTATTGAACTGAAGGCATAAGCCTCCCTCATGATGCCTTCCAGTAGGAGTCCTCCTTTTGCACTTATAAGAAGCCAATAGACATTCTCAGATGGTCACGACTCAAGGATGCTCAACATCATGCCCACTGCCTTGCTCCTGATGCCCAATCATTGATTGTTCCTTTGTAAAAACAGAGCCTCTGCATGCACACATGATATCCACATAAGCTCTCTGTGTGTGATGAGTGAAGCCTGCATTTTGCAGTGCACCAGATCACACTCAGGGATGAGGGAGAAATTTGGTTCAGTTCGCATTAACTGCGAACCGATCTAATTTGCAACCCCCAAACCAAGATGCAAATCGAAACCAAACTATCCTTTGAAATTTGCACGTCTCTGAACTTTGCGATGCCATTCTCCAACCAAATAATATGTAGAAAAATGCACATGTCTGGGGGGAAGTGTGCATAAAATTGTGAGCATTCTTTAAAAAATAATAATGCAAAAATGCATTATATTAGGAGAAATTGCTTGCAGAAATGTGTCTATTAGGCAAACTTAGGCATACAAAAATGTTTACATTGGGATAAATGCACTAAAACACTGATTAATTTTTGGCAGAACATATAAAGAGGCATTTTGTGGAGAACTGAATGTAAGACTGGAAAAATGAGAGTAGCTGAAACAGTTGCATCTATCTCTAGGGTTCATGCAGCATGCAAGTGGTATGTGTGTAAGCTCTGTGCAGAAGATGAGATCAACATTTGAAGGTTGGAAACAATGACAAAAAGCATGATAAGAACATAAGAATAGCCCTGCTGGGTCAATGCAATGGTCCATCTAGTCCAGCATCCTGTTCTCACAGGGGCTGAACAGCTAAAAGAAGGATTCTAGCACAAGAGCTCTCTCTCCTCCTCCTCTGGCTTCCAGCAATTGGTATTCAGAAGCATATTCCCACTTCATGTGCTGAAAATCCCTGGCGTTTAACTGTGTGAGAATGATTCATCTAATAAAAAAAATAAATCACACAAATCAGAGTTTTACCTTTTGCTTAATGACTCTAGGAGAATAGGACACCGATCTAGCCCAGAAGGAGTATCGTTGCGTATTTGCCACAGGATCATTTATGTCCATGTAGCTTAGCCCAGCTACAGCTCCGGGACTTCCTCCCTCTACTAACGGGTCAGCTCGAATCTGATTGCTTCTGGTACCTGGAAGCACAAAAAGAGCACAGCATTTTAAAAACAAGCGTTTTATATTGTCAAACAGTTGTGTCGTGGCACGTACAGCTGACATCTAAATGGACTTAAGAACATATAAATTAAGTACAGTTGTACCTTGGATCCTGAACGCCTTGGTACTCAGATGTTTTGGCTCCAAAAAGCTGCAAACCCAGAAGTGAGTGTTCCAGTTTGCGAATGTTCTTTGGAACCCAAACGTCCGACGGGGCTTCTGATTGGCTGCAGGAGCTTTCTGCAGCCAATCAGAAGCCGAGATTTGGTTTCCGAATGTTTTGGAAGTGGGACGGACTTCCGGAACGGATTCCGTTCGACTTCCAAGGTACGACTGTATAGTATAAGAACATAAAAGAAGAGCCTTCTGGATCAGGCCAGTGGCTGACCTAGTCAAGCAACCTATTCTCACAGTGGCCAATGAGAGGTTTATAGAAAACCTACAAGCAGGACTCAAGCGCAAGAGCCCTCTTCCCTAATGTGGCGCCTGATATTCAGAAGCATGGCTGCCTCTGACCTTGGAGACAGAGCACAGCCATCTCCATGAATGTTCCTAACCCTCTTTGTAAAGCCATCCAAGTGTTAGAATTCCTGCTCCATGATTGCAGTCATGGGATTGTTGTCTTTCACATGATGGTGTATGTTTTGACTCCACAGAGTGGGAAGTGACGGAGACAGGATGTTTGTGTTACTGCGTTCCATGAAGTGGGACTATTGTCCTTTGTTTTCTCTCTCTTTGCTGTCTGATGCTAGAGAGAGAGGGAGCCATGTTGCAGTGCTCTGTGTGTGTTTATATGTAAATAAAGTAGATTAGCCAAAATGCTGAGTTGCTGGGGTTCTGTTATGCAACTGCACAAACTCTGTGGATCCCTAAGTGTGCCGGTGTCTGTTGGCATCGGTCGCTGTGATGTTTGGGCTGAAGAAAGCTTATGAAGCTCCTGAACGATCTATCAGGAGGGAGGGAACATGCCAGTCAGGCATGTGTCTCTACCAGGGTCGTACTCGAGCGTAGGCTGAACTCCTGACACCAGGTTGGGGGCCATCATTGGGTCAGGGCTGGTTCAGCTGCAGGTCAGCACAGAGACTCGGAGACAAGCAGTCAAGTTGATTTTTTGCTCAATGAAACAGAATACAAACAGAGAAACGTACGGCAAGACTGGCCTCAGTTAAGCAGTTGCCAGAGCCTCGCACTTCCCCCTGCATCTCCTCCTCATCCACCTGTTTCCCCAGCAGTCTTAAACTCCTTCAGAGAAGGGCCCCCATGTGCTCTTTGCTCTGCCTCTTTGTGCCCTTGGAGACAAGGGAGCTGCGAAGTTGAATACAGTAAGACCGGCAGGGTCCTGTTTGCTTTAGTGAAACATTCCAATCGGTTAAGCCGGACGACTGCTATTGATCAGTAAGCCTCTCCAAGAACACACACACAACTATTTACCTGAAGATTGCCGCAGCAGTTCATCTAGTTTGTTGCATTCTGTTTTCTTCTTCTTTACAAACACAAAATTCCACCCTGATGAAGTGCATTTGTGCATGTCCAGCATGCTCAAACCTAGGCCAAGAAATGGGCATTAACCTTGATGATCAATGAACGATCGATGCAATCATTTCCAATGTGCAGGAAAATGTCCCACAGAACTGGGTCCCAAGGTAGCTTGGAACTTCTTAAGCAAGATGGATTTATTTACTGATTTGCTTGTTTATTAAGAGCTGCACCCCACCTTTCTGCCTAAGCGAAAGGCTTCAAGGCAGCCTACACATTTTTTTAAGGTCTCAAACAGAACTGTAAAGGAACCATCAACAGGTGACTCCAGTCTCTGGTTCCATCAAGGCCAAGCACAACTTGCCAGAAATCAGCTGGCAAGCAGAGATGAAGATGCTGACATCACCTATATTAGTAGATGAAGACGCAGATGAATAGCCATTTAGATGGGTAGTGTCACAACCTACATAGACTAGCTGCATGAATCTTTTACCATCTTGGGGGAGGAAGGCTAACAAAAGAGGTAAGTATCCCAGACTCTGGAAGAGGGAGAGGAAATCAGGTAAAAATGGTGAGAGACAGCAGCATCCAAAGGAAGGTGGGAGGAGAAAAACAGGTTTGGATATACCAGTGGCAGCCTGTAACAGGAGATCTGTGGATCATACAGCTAATAGGGGTAAGAAACAGGATCAACGCCAAGGACTCCAGTGATTTAAAGGGGGTCTGAGCTCTTGTAGCAACAACTCCAACCAGTATATTCTGAAGTAAGAGTATAGTCGCATTCTGAGGGTCCTCTGGGGGTGGGAGGGAGTGGGAAAACAGAGAGTGAATTTAATGGCTGATACACCGCTGTGGGTTAAACCACAGAGCCTAGGACTTGCTGATCAGAACGTTGGCGGTTCGAATCCCCGTGACGGGGATTCGACGGGGGTGAGCTCCCGTTGCTCGGTCCCTGCTCCTGCCCACCTAGCAGTTCGAAAGCATGTCAAAGTGCAAGTAGATAAATAGGTACCGCTATGGCGGGAAGGTAAACGGCAGTTCCGTGCGCTGCTCTGGTTCGCCAGAAGTGGCTTAGTCATGCTGGCCACATGACCCGGAAGCTGTACGCCGGCTCCCTTGGCCAATAAAGCGAGATGAGCGCCGCAACTCCAGAGTGGGTCACGACTGGATCTAATGGTCAGGGGTCCCCTTTACCTTACACCATTGTATCCCACCGGCAAAACAGCGACAGTCTGGAAGTGTTCTAGAACTAGATTCTACTCTTGCTTACTAGGTTAAGGGCTCCTCCGCATTTCATATAAACAGAGAATAATGTTTTGGGGTTTCTCTGCTACTTGCATGCAAGAATAGAATGCATTTTATTCCCAAACTCACTCCTTTATACTGCAGTTGGCGCTGTGGTCTAAACCGCAGAGCCTAGGGCTTGCCGATCAGAAGGTTGGTGGTTCGAATCTCTGTGACGGGGTGAGCTCCTGTTGCTTGGTCCCTGCTCCTGCCCACCTAGCAGTTCGAAAACATGTCATACGTGCAAGTAGATAAATAGGTACAGCTGCGGCGGGAAGGTAAACGGCGTTTCCGTGCACTGCTGTGGCTTCACCAGAAGCAGTTTAGTCATGCTGGCCACATGACCCAGAAGCTGTATGCCGGCTCCCTCGGCCAGTTAAGCGAGATGACTGCCACAACCCCAGAATTGTCTGCGACTGGACCTAATGGTCAGGGGTCCCTTTATCTTTACCTCACTCCTTTACTATTTGGGAATGAGTGCACCGGTACACTACCTTGTGCTTTTGCACTGTCTGAAGCAACATGAAACAGAACTTTGTAATGTCCTCCCAAAGATCCAGAGTGCAAGAAATGTGTTCCGAAACGTTCAATCAGCCTTTGGTATGCATTATATTCATAGAAGGTGGGAAGGTTAGCAAGCTCTTTCCAGAAGGGCTCAGCAAGATTTAGAAGTTCCGGCTGTTTATTGATGAACTGAGCAACTTCCACACTGTTTTCGATAACCATGAGCAGATTACTCTAGGAAAGCAAAAAATATATAGAACTCAGGCAGTTGTTTTACAATAGTAGGAAAATGTTTATAAAAAGAGCAATTTACAGCTGATATCTCCTGGATAAAGAATTCTTTATTAACTGCTGAATTCCACATGCTGGTTAGCTATTTGGTGTCAGAGTTCAGCAAACAGGGAAATACTGAAATTTCAAACTCCCCAATCCAGTAATGCAGAGGTTTTCAACCTTTTTGGGTCCACGGCTCCCTTGACCAACTACATTATTTCTGCAGCACCCCTGTGGGGTTCAGGAGCTCTGTTACATCACCCCTTGCCTGCAGAGCTGGCAGCCTCTCACTCTTTTCGAACATCCTTCCTTGTGGAATGTTTCCTCAGCCTCCTCTCCTCTCTGCTCTGCTTGGTCTCTGAGTCTCTGAGCTGCTTCACCTGCCCCAAGGCCGCCTCAGCTCCTGACAACCAGCACCCCCTGGCCAGCCCCAGAGGCACCATTTACTGTGGAGTCTGTAGCCAGGGCTGCTGCAACAAACAGCTGTGCAAGCCTTTGAGAGGCAGAGATGCAAGAGGGCATCAGAGAAGGGAGGGAAGGAAAGAGGGCCAGCGTTGTCCACAGCATCCCTGACCATCATTCAAGGCACCCCAGGGTGCCACGGCACACTGGTTGAAAACCACTGCAGTAATGGATGGTGAGGGATGGGGAAGAAATTCAGTTCTATTCACATTTTGACATGAATTTGATGTGCAAAACAGAACGCAAATCAAAGCACAGTGATCCTTTAAATTTTGCACGTTTCCAACTTACGATATGCATGCATAACTGTGTATATTAATAGACACTCTGTATTAAAGCACACAAATAGTGAAAATAACATTAAAAATGCATTAAATTTGGGGAAATTGCTTGCAAGAAATTACGCAGAACACTGGGTACCTTTGAATGGCTATTTTCAATTGTTTTTTCTTCTTCCCGGCGGTAATTTTTTCCAGTTGCAAGCCTCTCTGTGTGTTTTCTATATGCCCAGGAACTGTTGTAAAATTCAGCGCTGAAGTCATTCTGAATGGTCACCTATTAAAAAGAAGCAAAAGGTATCTATATATAAAATTCTCTGGAAATAAATAAAATATTGGCAATTATATTGTTTCTCAGCCCAGACATTAGGTACCTCCATGCTAGCTATTTTCTTGAGGAAAGGTACAAATTTAACTCATGCCACCCAAAATTGTGTGTGAAACATTAAACCTAAAAATCCACAAACTACACAAAATTTAGTGTATTATAAAGCACCTGTCCCCCGCACAAGCAATTCTGTCGTGACTGCCAGATACATGCTTTCTCTTTAAAGTTATTGTGCTGTACCGCAGGTTCTTCAGAGTTGCCTTTCCTCTGTTCCTTCCAGGCAAAGCCCACAATTTAAAGCTCTGTCTCCAAGCCCCTCTCTTTGCTCTGGAGCTTTCCCCACAAAAACCGCTTTTTAAAGCTCAATTGGAGTAAACATCCATCCACGGAAAACCAAAATTGACTGCTCCGATTCAGCTTTAAAGAGTGGGTTTTAGTGGGGAAAGCCAAGGTTAAAAAACCACTCGGAGACGGAGCATTTGTGGACCTCTGCCTAGAAAGTGTGGACAAATGCTGTGTCCATGCAGTATAGCTGAACCTGAACCCTAAAGATAATGTACATTCTTGCTTCCCGCAACACACCTTTGCATTTAAAAAAAACGTTGTTCAGCTTGTATTTTTAAGCAAACCAACCTAATTCACATCACCTGGACTAATCACTGGTTCATAAAATAATTATGCTATGGGTTTCACACATTCTACATTGCAATACAGTTCTCAGCTTTAAAAACATACCCAAAATGCATATTGCAGAATAAAGTGCTTTTTAAAATGTGTGCATTGAGATAAAACATTTATATTTGTATAAAGGTAAAGGTACCCCTGCCCGTACGGGCCAGTCTTGACAGACTCTTGGGTTGTACGCTCATCTCACTCTAGAGGCCGGGAGCCAGCGCTGTCCACAGACACTTCCGAGTCACGTGGCCAGCGTGACAAGCTGCATCTGGTGAGCCAGCGCAGCACACAGAACGCCGTTTACCTTCCCGCTAGTAAGCGGTCCCTATTTATCTACTTGCACCCGGGGGTGCTTTCGAACTGCTAGGTTGGCAGGCGCTGGGACCGAGTGACGGGAGCGCACCCTGCTGCGGGGATTCGAACCGCCGACCTTTCAATCGGCAAGTCCTAGGCGCTGAGGCTTTTACCCACAGCGCCACCCGGGTCCCCTTATATTTGTATACCTATTATTATTATGATTATTATTTGTATACCACCCAATACCCGTAGATATTAGGGCGATTCACAACATAAAAAAAACAAAAAACAGAATCCATAATAAAAATAAAAAACGTGATGAGTATATTTTAAGTTTTTCGGTCCTTTTTAAATTGAGAAAAAGAGCTGGCATAGACTTGTGAATGAACACATGAAAAATGGACTCTGACTGGAAGCAGACTGAGCCACCCATGAAAAAGACTGTATACTAGTGGTAGGGAATTTGCTTGCATGCAGAAGGTCCCAGATTCAGGTGTCAGCATGTTCATGTGGAGCCCTGCTTGAAATCATGGACAGCAGCTGCCAGTCAGTGTAGAACAAAGAGAACTAGATGAGCCAACGGGCTGGCTCAGTATAGGACAGCTTCTTATGTTCCTGTCTAGAAGCAGTTTGCAGTGTGGGACAAAACCACTACACTAGTTTCCATACAGGTGCGTTGCTACTGGTCGTCGGGAGGAACATAGCGGAAGTAGTTCAACAAGGTGCAAATGCAACAGCTGAGCCAATCCAGCTCTCTTGCCAGTGTGTTTGCACTGCACCAAACTCTTCGCCTTGCTTGATAGGCAACAGAGACCCAGCTGCCAGGATGCTAAAGTTCTGCGCCCCCCCCCCCAGCCAGTGGGCTGCTTCTGTTCCTATCCTCAGATGATACTGTGACTGAAAAACAAGCAATCGAACACACCTGGAATGTGTAAGCAAGGACACTGTCACTCAGCCGATAATATTCTCTTTGGTCTCCACTGAACACTTTTCTGCATTGGCCGCCAAAGCTCTTAGTATGGATGACTCCACCTCTGCTCTCACCCGTAAGAGCGTCAAAGCTGCAACCAATCAGAGTCAGGACACAGACTGCAAAGTTCACAGGATTTAGAAACATCAGTTGTTAACTAAATGTTAGCATACATCAGCAGACTACTTCCAAAACTAAATTATGCAAAGAACAGGGCACTCTGTAATAAGATTTTGTACTGGCAGAGCTACGATGCAAATCCCTGCCATTGCAAGTTACATCAGGGAAAATAAAACAAAATGTTTCCCCTGGAGTGTGTCAACAGAAAAGAGCAAGCACCTGATAATTCTAATGCATTTTATCTCTATGGCAACTGCCCCTGCTATGTTACATTTCTAGGTAAAATTAATGCAACTTGACAAACAACAATGGTCAATCCCCTCGCATCTTTTTTCTCCTCCTGTGTTCAGCCTGAATTGAGGTCACCAGCAAGGCCACGGGGACACATAAAGCCTGTAATTTATTTGCTTTGAAATAATCACCTGCCATTTATGCTGAAGTTCTGGTAAATCCACCGAGAGCTAAGGAATAGCAGCAGTAGTTCATTGTGACCGTTCCTATGAGCCATTGCAGGGAGGTGCTAGAGTATACCTCACCCACCTGCAACATAGGGATTATTATATTGGCCTACCCCACAAGTGTTTTGTAAGAACAGCTGTGGCAATTATTGTACATTGTTCAACTCTGCCCCCTCCTATGACATCACATGCGTGACGTCTGATGTCCTGATGTCTCGGTGGGCCCCCACAATCAACTTGAGAAGATGGCGCTTCTGGTCAGAAGTCTACATTGTCATGCAAGGCCCATGCCTCTGGAGCTCTGGGGCCTCCTGGCCTTGCTGTAGCTGCTCAAGCAAGCAGTGACAAGAGCAGCAGTAGCAACCTCTTTGTGCCTTGCAGGGCCGTCTTTACCCAGTGGTGCAAGGGGTGTGGGGCACCCAGGCACTGAATTCTGGGGAGTACCTACTGTACAGTGGTACCTCGGGTTACAGACGCTTCAGGTTACAGACTCCGCTAACCCAGAAATAGTACCTCGGGTTAAGAACTTTGCTTCAGGATGAGAACAGAAATCACGCAGCAGCGGTGCGGCGGCAGCAGCAGGCCCCATTAGCTAAAGTGGTGCTTCAGGCTAAGGGCAGTTTCAGGTTAAGAACAGACCTCCAGAACGAATTAAGTTCTTAACCCAAGGTACCACTGTATACCCTTTCGATCAGCGACAGTGAAAAGCAATGGAGCGAAAGTCTCCATCGCTCTGTTATTCTGTAGCATCAAATATTCCCGACAAGTCAGGAAACAAAAGCAGTCGCCCCCCTCCCCACTGCATTGTTGTTACAAGTGAGCGATTCCCCCCTAAAAAAAGGTCAACTTTGGCTTCCCCTCCCAAAAAAAGCTCAATAAAAGTTAATTTGGGGGCGCTGAGCGAATCTTTGCACCCTGGCGGCGCATATGCTAAAGTCGGCCCAGGTGCCTTGTTCTCTTTTTGAGGAAGGCAAGGAAGGTAAGGCTCAGTGGGAGAGACAGGGAAATGGGCAGTAGCAACAACAATGGCAAGAAAGAAATGGTCTTTGTGCTCTGGGAGGAGGGCTCCTTAAGAGCAATTCCCTCCCTAAGGACCTCTCAAAACAGATGCCAAATGGCCTGTCCGAGAAGTAACTACAACGCTCATGAAAAGATAACCTTCTCGCTTCATATGGCCACAAGACAATTGATGCGAAATGCTTTGAAGACCTGAAACTACATAAACGCTTTGCCCTGTATAGAAGCTAAATGTTGTTGTGACTCATAGATAACCATCAAAATGAATAAGAACGACAAAGAACTCACCCTGCTCCTGTAAGCTCTACATTAGGAGGCGGCTTCAAAGGTGGCTTGGTGTTTTCACACACCGTCTTGATCTCATCGCATTGGTCCTCATCAGCGCCATCTTCCTCACAGTCGTGATCTCCATTGCACACCAAGGATTTGCTAATGCACTGCCCTATGGCCATAAAGACAGGTAACATAGGAATGATGAAGAAACTCTTGCACCCCCCTAGAGAACAGAACTGATTCCTCTGAGACTCCTCCTCCATCATGGAAAGGTGGGGCCCCTACATGACTCTCTCATGGATCACCTACCACAACGCCCCAAAATAACTCACTTGGTACTTATGGAGGCCCCTGTCCTCTCCTGTCCTTTCCTTTATTTTATATTTTGTTGGGTTTTTCTTTTCTTTGACAATGCTGGGCTGAGCAGAAAGCAAAGCTTCAGCCTTCAAATGTCCTCTTTCTTTCCTTTTTGTTTTATGTTTGGGAATGGATCAGCAGATTTTTGCCATTTTTTTGTGGCTTTGTGGATGGACATGTTTCTCCAAGCGTCTTGGAATTTCCTTTCTGTGAAATGGGTTGCTTTGGTTTGGTATTTGGAACTGAAAGCCGGCCCCCACCTCCCATTAAGTTTTTGGGTTAGTTATTTGTCCTTTGTGACAAGGCACAAATCTCCTTGGCAGGCCCTTTAGGGGCTTTCTGGAAACCTCAGGTTGTATATATGTGTAAATAAAACCATATATCCTAAAGACATCAAGTCTCCATTAACCTTCCTTCCAAGGAAACTGTACCCTGGGTAAGCACTGGAACTCCTGGGGTCTCTCAAAGCTCAGAGATTGGGGTGCAGGCAACAATATTTATGTGCCGTTACCTGATGCCTGAGAGTTCTGTTATTTACCAGTGTATAAGTCACTTACTGTGAGTCCCTCTAGAGACCCTGCATAAAGAACTCTCTCTGTGTGTGTGTGTATATGAATAGTAAAAATCATAATAAAGAGTTACACTTGCATTCCCATATCTCCCCCTTTTTGGTCCTATCAGATTCTGCTGTGGAACAGTCATAGAATAATAGAATTATAGAGTTGGAAAGGACAATGAACAGGTCAGTTGGATTCCTGAAGCAACGTACCCGATGAACATCTAAAACGATTGCCACATCCATCTTCTGTTGGACACCCTCTCGTAGGAACACAAGGACGGGATTCAAAGGAACTTCCTGGACATGGCTGTCCTCCAAACTGCCCATAAACTGCTACGGTCCGTCTGCGAATCTAAATCCAAAAAGCAATCCTTTAGGTTAGAGGTAGGTTCTGGTAGTGCTCTCAGGGGCAAGGCAGATGATATGTTAGCTCTGAATTTGTGCCCTTTGAAGAAAGGAGAATGTCACAAATTTCCTGTGGAGGCAGGTAGTTCAATGCTGGGCCTTTTTGCCTCTATTTCTATCATCTGCCGCTCTCAGTGGTCAGATGTAGGGTCATGAACTTCATCCCCAAAGTGCAGTCCTAATTGCGTCACTGGCAACATCACATGTGCACCTGTCTGCAGAACAAGCTGCTGTTATAAGGCGTGGGAGTAGGATCTGGTTTAAAAGTTGGCAACCCTACCCCATGTGTGTTTTATACTGCCGCATATTCAAAACTGTTGTATTTGGGTAAGAGAGACCCAGTTTCAAATTGTCACTCAAGCAGAAATCCTTATTAAGTTTCCCTGCGTTGGTTACTGAAGGCCAAAAACTCTGTATTGCTAGACCACATGTTATGGTGTGGGAGTTTGCTTAAAGAGAAAATTAACTAATAATCTGGTAAGGAAACTTGGATTGTTCACTGGCGCTGCCTTAACCGAGAAACATTTCAGCTACTCAGGCAATGAATCTTGTAAAAGTAACCAGCGAAGAATATAAACACGGAAATAATTTGCATTTTAATTTGAGAGTTATTGTTGTGGGGAAAACAGGCGGTTCTATTTGGCCACATCAGCAGCAAATGAAAAACAGCAGTTTGGTTTATAGGCTGTCTGTTCCTGAATTTATATATCCTCTGCTAGAGAACTCAGATGCGAGGAAATTAATCAATATAGGAAAGCTAAAGTAGTGTAGTTTAGCTAGCTGAGGTTGCAATCCTATACCTTGGGAGTAAGCGCCATTGAGCACAATGCGACTTGTGCCTGCATAGGCACGCATAGGATTGCCCTGTGAGGCAGCAATCCTATGCACATGTGGTCCCACTTAACTCAGTAGGATTTACTTATGAGTAAAGATAAATAAGATTGAGGTGTGAAATACAGTGGTAACTCGGGTTACATACACTTCAGGTTACAGACTCCACTAACCCAGAAATAGTGCTTCAGGTTAAGAACTTTGCTTCAGGATGAGAACAGAAATCGTGCTCCGGTGGCGCAGCAGCAGTGGGAGGCCCCATTAGCTAAAGTGGTGCTTCAGGTTAAGAACAGTTTCAGGTTAAGTACGGACCTCCGGAACGAATTAAGTACTTAACCTGAGGTACCACTGTATAGGGTGTTTCAGGTGGGATTCAATCATATACAGTGCTACCTCAGTTTTTGAACGTAATCTGTTCCAGAAGTCCCTTCGAGTTCTGAAACGTTTGAAAACCGAAAACTGAAAGCGGAAGCCTCAAAATGGAAGCCTCAGTATGGAGAACTCAGTATGTTCGAAAACTGAGGCATTTACTTCCGGGTTTTTGGCGTTTGAGTTCCAAAATGTTCGACTACGGAGGTGTTTGAAAACCGAGGTACCACTGTACTGGCAAATTAACTTTGCACAGTTAGAGATGCCTTGTAGGGAAAGATACACTGGAAAGTGTGGGATAACACTTGCTCTGCCACAATCACAGCATCATAGATCTGGAAGAGGCCACAAGGGCCATCCAATCCAACCCCCTGCAATGCCATAGCTATCAACATTTCCCTTTTTTTAAGGGAAATTCCCTTATTCTGAATAAGGGAAAAGGGAAAAGTTGACAGCTATGTGCAATGCAGGAATCTCTTTGCCCAACATGGGGCTCGAACCCACGACCTTGAGATTAAAGAGTCTCATGCTGTAACAACTGAGCTACCCATCACACAATGTTGTCTAATCTTCCCACAAACAAATCAGAATGAATGTTCAAATAGCCAGCATCATTTAACCTTCCCAAGTTAAAATAAATGAATGAATGCTCATAAACAGGACTTCTGGTTGCACCTGTAGTGATTGGAGAAGAATGACTTTAAGCAATGATTGCAGAAGAAGATCTAGGGCAGCAGTTCCCAATCTTTCTCTTCACAGACCCCTTGCAAATGGCAGAGTGTCTTCTTGCTGGACCCTGTAATGGTTTTTCTGCCCAATGTAGCAATTTTAATGTATTGTGGTAGTACGATACTAAGTGTATTTTTATTTCCCCCCCCAATTATATATTGTATTTCATTGTATTGCAACTTAACGTGTAATTGTGGATTCATATTGCCATGAAATACAATACAGTGGTACCTCGCAAGACGAATGCCTCGCAAGACGAAAAACTCGCAAGACGAAAGAGTTTTCCGTTTTTTGAGTTGCTTCACAAGACGAATTTCCCTATGGGCTTGCTTCGCAAGATGAAAACGTCTTGCAAGTTTGTTTCCTTTTTCTTAAAACCCAGGGTGCATTGCTTGAAGAGGTGCAGTTGCGACTTGACCGTGCTTCGCAAGACGAAAAATTCACAAGACGAAAAAACTCGCAGAACGAATTAATTTCGTCTTGCGAGGCACCACTGTATAAGAAATAAAAGAAACAACAAAAATACAATCAAACACCAATTTAATATGATGGATATACCACCTCCCATCTTAAACCACAAATCCACAGATACATTTTAGGTCACCTGCTGGCCTGAAGACCACAGTTTGGGAGCCCCTTATCTAGGGCACGATCCTCTGGAAAGTTCTCCTGTGCAAACCCTTTTGAAATAACAGGCTGCGCAGAAGCTCAGCAGTGTTGCTGTGCAGTTCCCATTCCAAGGCACTTGAGCAGGAGAACTTCCCAAACGATTGTGCCCTAGACCAAGGGTGGGCAATCTACTGGTAGATCTTTGGGAGATCTGCAGTAGATTGGCCAGGGTTTCCAATTTTTTAGTCGTTTAACAGTAATAACAAAATGATTTTCCCATCTCAACTAGACTGCTGAAATGAAGGAAAGCTAAAATGATTTCCCATGAAAGGGTTAAGCTGAGTTCTATCCTGGAGCTGAAAATAAATCCCCTAGGGTTCAGAATGTACTTCAAAGCACCGTGTGTGTGTGTGTGTGTGTGTGTGTGTGTATGTGTCATTAAAATTTTAAGTATATGCTATTTGCACCTGGTTCTGGTTGGTAGATACTGGAGTATTAATAAAAGAACTAAGTGCATCACGCAAGTCTGCCCATTCCTGTCCTAGATCTTCATCCGTAACCATCACTTAAAATCAACAAATTACCTCTATAATGCAATTATTTCATGATTATTAATAAACATATGATCCTCAAAATATTGGGTAACAAAATATTGGGTAATATTGGGTAAAATATTGGGCAACAAGATTGCTGTTGTTATTATTATTACTACCCGAGTAGCGTACAAATGGCACACATTTATACTGTACCTGAGCCTTAGTACAGCCATCACATTCTGACCAAGGACCAAATGGATTCCAGCTGCAATCGACTGGAGAAGCCCTGTTGGATTTTATATGGGGAGAAAGAAAAATGTTGTCAGGGTTTCAACATTGGGAGAAGGACCATAGGCCCAATGGTAAAGAACATGCAGAAGTTCCCAGGTTCAATCACAAGCATCTGCAGGAAGGTCTCGGAAAGATTCCCATTTGATCTTGTAATTGTCTGTTTTGAAAAGTTGTTGATTTCCTCCATAACAATGTAATCTTGAGGAATCCCAGAGTTAGTGGATGGCCTGCATCTCAATCATCCTGTTCAGCACTGCCCCTTCCAACCTAGTCCCTATATAAACTATGAGTTATAGTCAGTCCCGCTCAGAGCAGATCCAGGTAACAAACCTAAGTTAATCATGTCCATTAACATCAGTGGGACTACTCTGAGAAGGAGTAGCATTGGCTGCAACCCTGTGCTGCTACTGCCCTATGAACATTTCCTTGGGAGAAAGTTCTGAGTAAATGTGGTTAAGATTCCTGAATGGGGTAACTGTGCCCCTGAAGGACCAGGTGCGCAGCCTGGGAGTCATTCTGGACTCACAGCTGTCCATGGAGGTGCAGGTCAATTCTGTGTCCAGGGCAGCTGTTTACCAGCTCCATCTGGTACGCAGGCTGAGACCCTACCTGCCAGTGGATTGTCTCACCAGAGTGGTGCATGCTCTAGTTATCTCCCGCTTGGACTACTGCAATGCACTCTATGTGGGGCTACCTTTGAAGGTGACCCGGAAACTACAACTAATCCAGAATGCGGCAGCTAGACTGGTGACTGGGAGCGGCTACCGAGACCATGTAACACCGGTTTTGAAAGGCCTACATTGGCTCCCAGCATGTTTCCGAGCACAATTCAAAGTGTTGGTGCTGACCTTTAAAGCCCTAAATGGCCTCGGTCCAGTATACCTGAAGGAGCGTCTCCACCCCCATCGTTCAGCCCAGACACTGAGGTACAGCGCTGAGGGCCTTCTGGTGGTTCCCTCGCTTGAAGAAGCCAAGTTACTGGGAACCAGGCAGAGAGCCTTCTTGGTAGTGGCACCTGCCCTGTGGAACGCCCTCCCACCAGATGTCAAAGAGAAAAACAACTACCAGACTTTTAGAAGACATCTGAAGGCAGCCCTGTTTAGGGAAGCTTTTAATGTTTAATAGACTGTTGTATTTTAATAGTTTGTTGGAAGCCACTCAGAATGGCTGGGGAAACCCAGCCAGATGGGCGGGGTATAAATAATAAATTATTATTATTATTATTATTATTATTATTATTATTATTATTAGGCTGCACATCTTGCTGATGAGAGGCTCATGCATATGGTCATATGATGCCAATAGTAAGCTTCCTGTGCATCCATCAATTCTTCCTTGTCGTAGGACGTTCTCCTCCAAATCACTGCCTTCCCACACTTTCTTCTTCCTCAATCCAGATTTTCTCATTCCCTCTCCTTTTGGAGTATCCCTGGTAAGAGAAAATCCAGACTGATGTAGGAGAAAGTGTGGGAAGGCAGTGATTTGGAGGAGAAAGTCCTACGGACAACAGAGAATTAATGGAGGTGCAGGAAGATTCCTATCCCCACTATAAGACTGCATTGAGAAATGCCATTTGCTCTTCTTGCCTTGCTGCTGGGCTGCTCCAGTTCTCTGCTTGCCTGGCCACAGCTCTTCCCCCTTCTATTACTGCACAAGGCCATGCTTTTTATGTAGCAGATCATATGGAAGTTTGAAGCAGCACAGCCAGTGGTTGCTGCAGCTTCACCAGCAATTGATTTTACAAAAGTACAGCGGTACCTCAGGTTAAGTACTTAATTCGTTCCGGAGGTCCGTTCTTAACCTGAAACTGTTCTTAACCTGAAGCACCACTTTAGCTAATGGGGCCTCCTGCTGCTGCCGCGCTGCCGGAGCCCGATTTCTGTTCTTATCCTGAAGCAAAGTTCTTAGCCTGAAGCAATATTTATGGGTTAGCGGAGTCTGTAACCTGAAGCGTATGTAACCCGAGGTGCCACTGTACAGCAGCGCTTCCTGGCATTGGGAAATGTGCAGCAAGTATCAAAGCATGTTTACTCTGAAGAAACTGAAGTGGTACCACTTGTTCTGCTTTTACAGTCACAGCTTCTGCCAAATAATCTTGGGAACTGTGGTTTGTTTGCAGGGAATTGTAGGTCTCCTGACAAATCTCAGCACCCTTAAAAGCTATTGTTCCCAGGATTATTTGGAGGGAGCCGTGACTGCTAAAGTAGTATAAGTGTAGATGTGATCTGTTAGGGATGTTGGAGTGAGAAGATATGGTCTACAAGGTCTCCTCCAACTCTATGGTTCTATGATTCTATCTTAATATGAAAAATCTCATATGGAGATTGCACATGCAATAGCTATGGGGTTCTTTCCCCCCCACAGAGCTTTTGCAGGGTGGTGGAAATCACAGATTTGAATTTCTAATTTTTGTGCAGCCGTCAGTGTCCAGGACTTCTACCTTTAACAATTGCATTAAAAGCAGGAATTCTGTTTGTGATTCCACCCCCTCCCTTGCAATAGCCTTTGTCTACCTGTTTATACCAGCTGAATTTCTGCCTATCGTGCAGCTGTTAAATGCACAGGAGCCCTACCAGAGAGAGAAAAAAGTTGGCAACCTAGATAAGAAGAAGGAAAGATCACTCTCAATCCTAAACTTATACTAGCTACTCAAGCCCTACCGCTGAACAGGGGAAAATACATGCTGAATATATATGCTCATCCTTTTTCAAAGTGCCAAAGAACCGCTCACCTTGAAAAAGCAGGAAAGGAGCCCACAATTGCCATCAGAACGAATGTTCCAAGGGCCTAAAAAGAAGGAAGGGAAGGCTTGGATTATTGTTTGGCTCACATGATTTTCCAAGTATAACAGCATAAGCCTAACCATGCCTACTCAGAAGCAACTTGTATTGACTGCAAGGGAGCTAAATCCCAGGTAAATGGGGTTAGGATCGCATCCAAATCAGGCAGAACTCAAAGGCAAGAAGCTGTGAAAGTCGTGTGGCTGAATTTAAAGGTTCCAGTTATTGCCACTCACCATGTCCCCATCGACACTCCCCCCCCCTTACATCCTGGTAGTTCTGCATCCATATGCCTTGCATAAATGAATATTGCATTAGACTTGGGTTTCATCTGCAGAAATTGGCTCAATGATTGCCTTACCTTCATGTTGGGAGAAATGCTCAAGCTACACGGCAACTAGCAGCGAAGAAAACATTCCTCCTCTGGGAGAAGAAGGCAATTTAGAACCAGGAGGAGCCGTCGTCAGTCTGTCTGTCTCAAAACTTCTGGCGACTAAGCCTGCCTGGCGGTTCTGCTTTTTCTTTCACAAGAGAGGCCTTAAGCAATACGGAGGAATGTTAACAATAACCCATCTCCTCTCCTCTAGGGACACTAACAGCCTGTTCCTGTAACTGCCCAAGTATCTTAAAATAGTAGGAACTAGATTATAAAACAAAGCTTGGCTTGGAGTGGAATATAGCCCTGGTGATTTTTTTTTTAAGAGTCTAGTAAGCTGCCTTGCAACATGTCAGACTGTTTATCCATTTAGACCAGCGTTGTCTACGACTTTGACTGGCATCTGCTTTCTGGGCCCTTTAGGGGAGTAGCACAGTGGCAGAGCATCTTCTTGGTATGCAGATCTCAGGTTCAATCCCCAGCACCTCTGGGTAGGGCTGGGAATGTCCCCTGCCTGCAATTCTGGAGAGTCACTGCCAGAAAGTGTAAAGGTAAAGGGACCCCTGACCATTAGGTCCAGTCGTGGCCGACTCTGGGGTTGCGGCGCTCATTTCGCTTTATTGGCCAAGGGAACCGGTGTACAGCTTCCGGGACATGTGGCCAGCATGACTAAGCCACTTCTGGCGAACCAAAGCAGGGCACGGAAATGCCGCCAGAGTGGTACCTATTTATCTACTTGCACTCTGACGTGCTTTCAAACTGCTAGGTTGGCAGGAGCAGGGACCGAGCAATGGGAGCTCACCCCATCACAGGGATTCAAACCGCCGACCTTCTGATCGGCAAGTCCTAGGCTCTGTGGTTTAACCCACAGCGCCACACGCGTCCGCCAGAAAGTGTAGGCAACGCTAAACTAGTGGGACCAATAGTCTGATTCAGTATCAGAACATCCCCTCCAAGTGCCCTGATTTTCCAGGCATAGTCCCGGAATTATGAAAGCTTCTGATTTGATCCGCCAGTGCTGCTGCCACTGAGCTCGGGGTGGAGGATGAGCCAGAGTTTGCCCATAGTGGCAGCAGTAGTGAGAGAGGATCCCATTGCCTCTCCATGGCCTGGTGCTAATTTAGACATAGAGATGCAAAGATAGATATAACCCTGAAGCTTCCTGCTAGGAATTATGGGTAATGAAATCCCCCAAAAAGTTCAGGAGAGTCTTTATGTATGTTACAGTTGCTGCCAGAATCCTAATCGCAAAAGGCTGGAAGGGAGAAGATATCCCATCTAAATCAGACTGGTAAAACAAAATAAGAGAGTACACTGAACTGGTGAGATTATCAGCAAGGCTAAGAGACGTTACAGATGAAAAAATTATCAGAGAGTGGGATACATACAGAGTCTATGTAAAAGAACATTGTCAAAAGATCAGTCCGTTGGCAGGTCTTGATGGAGCTTCAATGTGCAATTAGGATAATTTTATAAAATAAAACTGATAGTAAGTTAAATAACATGGAGAAAGTAAAGTCTAAGTGTGTATTTAAGGAATTTAATTCGGGAAGACAAGGGGAAGATCAGAATCCTTGTATAATTTAATCACAAATGTATACACAAAGCAAGTATGAATAATTGTTTATTTTTTATTTCTCATTTTGCCTATAACATCTATTGTACATTTTTGTTACAAAGTTTTCAACCAATAAAAGCATATATACATATAAAAAACAAAAAACAAAGTTAGATATAATCACTAGGATTTTCAGTTGAAACACAACACATAGTGGGGAGGATTTGTGAGAAGGTCTTCAATCAAGGTGACTAAGGCTGTTTTGGTACTGAAACTCTGATTGGTTTAGATAACCTGCTTCCTCTAGGGAGGACTTCAAGAGGGGCTGCATCATCACCTTTTTCAAAGTGGCAGGAATAACTTCCTCCCATAGTGTGGCATTAACCACTCCCTCGATCCATCCTGTCAAGCACCTCTTACTAGATTTAACCAGCCATGATGGGCAGGCAGTCAGGTTCACAATTACAGGCCTCTTGCTCACATTGCCAGGCTGCAACAACATCCACAGTCTGTAACTTGGCAGTGCTCCATTGCTGTCCAACAAGCCTGAACTAATTTTGGCATCGTTCAGCATTGTTGTTGTTTAGTCGTTTAGTCATGTCTGACTCTTCGTGGCCCCATGGACTAGAGCACACCAGGCACTCCTGTCTTCCACTGCCTCCCGCAGTTTGGTCAAACTCATGCTGGTAGCTTCGAGAACACCGTCCAACCATCTCATCCTCGTCGTCCCCTTCTCCTTGTGCCCTCAATCTTTCCCAACATCAGGGTCTTTTCCAGGGAGTCTTCTCTTCTCATGAGGTGGCCAAAGTACTGGAGCCTCAGCTTCAGGATCTGTCCTTCCAGTGAGCATTCAAGGCTGATTTCCTTGAGTATGGATAGGTTTGATCTTCTTGCAGTCCATGGGACTCTCAAGAGTCTCCTCCAGCACCATAATTCAAAAGCATCAATTCTTCGGCGATCAGCCTTCTTTATGGTCCAGCTCTCACTTTCATACATCACTACTGGGAAAACCATAGCTTTAAATATATAGACCTTTATTGGCAAGGTGATGTCTCTGCTTTTCAAGATGCTGTCTAGGTTTGTCATTGCTTTTCTCCCAAGAAGCTTTCAGCACAGTTCCAAGCAATTTTGACTTCAAAGTGCTTCGCAAATCTTGTAGAAAAGGTATAATCTTTTCAGGACCAAGTATTCCTTCGGACAATGATAGGACTGAACAGTCTTCTCCAACCTGGTGCCCTCCATACATTTTGAACTACAACTTCCATCAGTTCTGGCTTGCACAGTGGTTGGAGAAAGTTGTGCTAGTATTTCTGCCTGGACAACGGAACAGCTGAGGAACTTCGAGCTACGGAACAAAGAACCAAGGAAAAGAAAAAGTGAGGAAGATGAGGCAATATGGTGCCATGAGCTTCAGCCTTCCTCAAACTTTTTTGTTCAGTGCAGTAAGTAATTAAAACTTGCTGCACAAATAGACAGTACTGGAACTGAATGTCTAGGGACTAATGGGATGTTTCTACTTGGGTCCCTTCAGGCTACTTCCATCTGTCGTCTAGAACAAAACAAGATACTGCCTAAGAAAGCTTTAATTCTTCTTCCTAAAGCATTGTAGCATTCCAAAGAGTCTATTATATTTCCTTATGAGTTTTGGCTTTCTATGCAACAGATATTCAGGTTCCTCCTTAAATTTCAAATGGCTTTGGAGCATAACAACATCACACTCATTAAAATTGATTTTAAGTCATGGATTTTAAGAGGTCCTCTGATCTCGATCTGAAGATTGCAGCTGACAGACAACCTAACTCATCCCTTGATGCACCATCCCTGTTAATGTCCAAATATTCTCCCTCTCCATTCATTATCTGTTATGTTCCCAGATGCCAATCCTTTCTCTCTATTACTTCTACAGATGGTGATGGTCAAATTACGGCTGGCAAGAGAGAGAGAGAGAACATCGGGCTGATATGTTCTTAGCTTGGGAAATTGGCTGTCAGCGAGAGCTTCTGGACTTTCTTCTGTTAGCAAATGTCATTTACTTTTTCTAATTAGCTGTAATTAGCTGGCTCCAAAGTTCTTAAGGTATTTATCACATTTCAGGGACTAATAGAATGAGCCTAGGGACGTGCCTTTTGGAAATGTGTCAAATGACAGTGTTCGGCTATTTTCTGCAGCACAAATGGTTCTTTCCCAGGGGGCTTAATGGAAGCAAACTTTCATAGGAGCCTAATCAACCTTCTGTTGCCTCCAAGGAAAACAAAGGATTTATTTGCACATTCATGCAGCAGGTTCTATACAACATCATCCGCTGTGGACACAGGGTCGCTGAAATTAAGATATGAGTTGCAGAACCATTCCTTAAGCTCTCAACCTTAAAAGTGCAATTTCAGCAACTAACAGTACCAGTTCTGGATTTCAGATGGTAAAGAATACCCAGAATTGGCAATGAAGTAATCGTCCACCTGCAGCATTTGGTGTCATCTGTCTTTGTGAGCAGGGTTCTCAACAATAGTGATCCTCAAAACTAACCCGCCACAAAACCCCTTATGTTTAGTAGTAAGAAATGAGTCACGAGGTAGCCTTTCTAATATGACCCCTCCGTGGAATGAAATCTGGAAGAACAAACATGCCCAGATGCCTCACTAAAACCCTTCAGAATATTTGTATCTTGTAGGATTCAACTTTAAAGAAATAGTGGGGTGTCTGACTTCACCATTCTCTTTCATTTGACTTCACTTTAATTTCAATTTCCCTGCTGACCTTTTGAAAATCACAGTAGTTACAATCACTTATTCCCTCCCACCCTCTCAACCCCCAAAATAATTGGGCGATGCTAGCGGTTAACTGGAGGCATACTGACCTCTAGTGGCAATCTGTGTTTGTGTTGTGCACATTAAGCCTGCACAATGTAACTAGCAGAGCACCAGTTGCTTGACAACAGTCGTATTTTGGCAATCTAAGGCAAGCAGCGGAACCAAGAATTTTATCAATCCCTGATGAGCGCCATACATGACTGTGCTTGATTTTGTGGGCCTCAGCCCTGCTGGCCTCTGCTTGCCTCCAGCAATACAGGATTCCTAAAACTGATGTGGAGTTCCCAATTTCACCCACTGAACATGCAGGCAGGCCTAAGTGCCACTAGGTGGATTCTTGCCTGCAGCAGCCACCCAAGCCTCACTGTTGGGGTTCAGCATCCACAGAAGTCAAAGCTGGTCCTGCCACCATTTCATGAAGGCATCGGGCCCAATTGTTGCACCAGTTTCAGGCTGTTTTGGGGAAGGGACATAGCTCAGTGGGGGAGCCTCTGCTTTAAGTGCAAAAGGTCCTGGGCTCGATCCCTGGCATTTCAAGGTAGGGCTGAGAGAGACATGCCTGAAACCCCAAATGGGCTGCTGCAAGTCAGTGTAGTCAATACTGAACTAGATAAGGGGTCAGCAAACATTTTCAACAGGGGGGCGGTCCACTGTCTCTCAGACCTTGTGGGGGGGCTGGACTATATTTTTTTGGGGGGGGGGGGAGAATGAAGGAATTCCTATGCCCCGCAAATAACCCAGAGATGCATTTCAAATAAAAGGACACATTCTACTCATGTAAAAACACCAGGCAGGCACCAAAATAACCCAGAGATGGATTTTAAATAAAAGGACACATTCTACTCATGTAAAAACACGTTAATTCCCGGACCGTCCACACGCTGGATTTAGAAGGCGATTGGGCTGGATCCTGCCCCTGGGCCTTAGTTTGCCTACTCATAAACTAGATCATGGGTAGGCAAACTAAGGCCCGGGGACCGGATCTGGCCCAATCGCCTTCTAAATCCGGCCCGCGGATGGTCCAGGAATCTACATGAGTAGAATGTGTCCTTTTATTTAAAATGCATCTCTGGGTTATTTGTGGGGCATAGGAATTCATTCATCATTCCCCCCCCCCCAAAAAAAAATATAGTCCAGCCCCCCACAAGGTCTGAGGGACAGTGGACCGCCCCCTGCTGAAAACGTTTGCTGACCCCTGAACTAGATAGATCACTCGTCTGAATCTGCTCCTATAAGTGGGGCAGTGATTTGCCTTCACCTTCCTGTTCATGTTCTGCCCCAGGAAGCACACTAGGCCTCTGGTAATGACAGAATGCCTTCTAAATGCTTTATTTTTTAATATACCGTATTTTCGCTCTATAAGACGCACCAGACCACAAGACACACCTAGTTTTTGGAGGAGGAAAACAAGAAAAAAAAATATTCTGAATCTCAGAAGCCAGAACAGCAAGAGGGATCGCTGTGCAGCGAAAGCAGCAATCCTTCTTGCTGTTCTGGCTTCTGTGATATCTGCGCAGTCTGCATTCGCTCCATAAGACGCACAAACATTTCCCCTTACTTTTTAGGAGGGAAAAAGTGAGTCTTATAGAGCAAAAATACGGTATATATATATATGCAGAGTAAAACTTTAGGCAATGTAATAGAGAAGAGGTTGTAGCAATGCATTAGAATTGGGATGTTGGGAAAGCAAGCTCCTGTTTTCATCTATGAAATTAGATACTGCACAACATAAATTGAGCCAACAAAAAAGTATTCACTTTTCAACTCTCAGGATTACGTTCCAAATGGAGGTTTACAGTGCAGCCCTATGGTATGTTCACAGAAGTCCCACTGTGTTAAATGGGCTTACTCTGGAGTACTGTTGCGAGTTTTCGTTTAAATTGTTCTGTAATGTAACAGCAAAACCAGCATTTGCTAGAATCGGGATCTGTGGGTAAGCCTTACTGAAAACAGCACAGAGTAAACTCGTAGAGGGTTGTGCTGCAAGGCGTTCCGTGCAAGAGTTTTGCAGGTGGTCCATTTATTTCATAAAATTTATACACTGCTGGGCGGGGTGAGAGAGAAAAAACACACATCTCAAAACCCAACAAAGAAAAAATTACAATTGTTTAAAAACGTACAAGCAAGTTATCGAATCCTGTGACCCATTAAAATTCACGGCAGAATTTCTAAGTATCTGGGCCGTTTGCTTTTAGATCCCCTCCAAAAAAAGAAAAAGGAATTTCCAACTCTGTGTCCGCTGCCGCCTCCAGGGGTTGTAGCGTCGTTATACTATTATTTGTAAGTTACTATTTGCAAGGGATGCTGAGTAGCGCAAAGAGAACTCTGAGACTCAGTCCCGCCCCCACTGACGTCACTTCCCCTGCCGGTCCCGAGCCCTTTCCTCGTGTCACCCTTTTCCCCTTCCGCTCCCCCTCCGCATGCCTATTCAAGGGAGCCTATTAAGCGGTTGCGCTTCCTTCGCCGGAAGCCGCGGCGAGGATATTGCGGAAGTCGGAGGCGGAGCCAGCCCTCTTTCGTTGTGGCGGCTGAAGGAAGATGGTGAGTGCGGGATTGGGGGCGGCGGGGAATCCTTTGCCATCCGTCGCCGTTTAGGGCCCTGCGGCCGGGGCCGCGTAGGGAAGCGTTTCCCCGGAGACTGCTAAAGACGGGGAGCCGTGTATTTTTGGCCGCGTCCCGCAGGCGTTGCGGCCGCTCAGCCGCCGGAGCCTCGAGTCCCATAGCGCGAAAAGAGCGCAGGGAGCTGCTACAAGGAGGCCCGGTTGGGCCTACCAGCGCGCTCCGTCTGTCTCGGCAGCGCCACGGGTTGGTTGGGCGGAGGTTAGAGGGAGAGCCGTGCAGAGGCCCGGGCCTGGCTCGGGTCACCTCCCAGCTCGAGCCACGACCCGTAGTCTTGTTTCTAGCGTTGCTTTAAGGCGAGGAATGGGAGTGACTAAACGTGTGGCTGCAAAGTTGATGGGTTGCAAGTATACTAGCGTGTTAGGCTAGCATGTGTTTGCTCTGATTTCTGGAGTGAAAGATGCTACTGGACTGAGAAGGATGCAGAATGCTCGGGTTTCTTAATAAATAAAATCACCTTAAAGTACTGTAGAAAAATGAAAGCTCTTGGTTCTTTTAATATATATCGCATACATCATGTTGGATAGCTTATGTGTGCGAGTGTACACATGGGTCCCCTAATACTGATGCTTTGGCCAGTTGGTATTAAAATGCCTAAGGGTGTCTCAGCGAACTTTGTGAATGTTCGAAAATGCTTTACAGCCAGATCCTACCCATGTATACTCAGATTAAAACCTCAGTTTCAATGGGGCAGAGGCCTCAGGGATCGCATCACTATAATATTTTATTGGGTTTTGTTGGTATACCAACTGAATCGAACACAACCATAGCAATGGAAAGGTGAACTAAAAAACAAAAAGGTTGGCAAAAGGGTAAGGGGCTTTGGGCACCTTCTGAGGGAGGCTGGCACCCCTCGTTCTTAGAGGGATTTGAAAGTCATTTAAAATCTGAAATGCGTTGTCATTTTGAGTGAAAAGCATGCCTTTCATTTAATAATAAGGTAGTGCTGGAAAAGAGCACAGAAAATTGACAGTGCCTGTAAACCCACCATAAATTTTCTGTAGTTTTTGTCATTCAGTGGAAATGAGAGATTTGTGGTTTCATTTTAGAAATGTTTCACGTCCTTTGTATGGTTAAGCCTTCACCAATCTGGTGTCCTCCTAATTTGTTGGACTGCAACTCCTATTTCCTTCAGTCATGACAGCTGTATTGTGCTGGTATGGGATGATGAGCATGTATATAGTACATTTCAAGGAAACATTCAAAAAGATCCTAGTAATCCCAACAGTGGGCCAGCATTGTTTCTGTCTTGCTGGGGCAAAGACTGAGGGAGAATTGCTTTTCTGAAACCACAAAGTGAATGGCATAGCAGAGATGGGAGCTGAATATCTTGTAGTTCACACTCTTCATATGCTGTAACAACCCAATAACTTTTGTCCTTATACTATGTATGCAAAGTACACTTGGTTTTTTTCTATAAAACACTTGTTGCTCGTTAATGCTTTATCAAAGTGTAGGATTAAGAATGTTTTACATCTGTTTATTCTAATAATGTAACACTGCATATTATTATAATCATAGCATTTGCATAAACATTTCCATTTATGTTTTAGACGAAAGGAACATCCTCCTTTGGAAAGCGTCGCAATAAGACGCACACTTTGTGCCGTCGATGTGGGTCCAAGGCCTATCATCTCCAGAAGTCCACCTGTGGAAAATGTGGATATCCTGCTAAGCGCAAGAGAAAGTGTAAGTGCAGAACTTCCCAAATGCAGGAACATATCTGACTTTCACATGACTGGTTCTGTGATACCTTGCTGCTTTGAGTTCCATGGTGTTGCACTATATAAATGCAAATACATAGTTTATTGTGAAAATATTTTGCCTGAGAAAAACTGTGTAGCCAGTTTAATATAACTTTGGATTTTATGACTTGTAGCTATAGGCAATCAGAGGTTTCATGCAGGCAAGTGACTGGGCTGAGGAAGGAGTAACAGGTTGTGCTCTCCTTTTTCTGCTTTGATAGCAATTCAGTGTAGAAATTCAGGCTACTAGCTTGAGCACACTAGTAAAAATGGGCAGGCTAATTACCTGTGTGTGTGTGTCACAGTTTTAACATATGTGGAGAACAAAAAGTTTTCACATTTTCTGAGATTGCTATTCATATTTTCCACCCTTGGCCTTTTCAAAGAGAGGCAGCGTGGGTAGAGTGGTTAAAGTGTAGGGACTAGTATTGAAGTCAACAAGGTTTGAATCCTTACTCAAGCCATGTGTTTCACTGGCTGACATCGGGCCAATCACTCTCTGTGCCTTATCTGTGAGCATAAAAATGGGCAGTAGAACCCGTGGAGGAAAGCTGATACGCAGATCAAATAAACTTGCTTCTTGATTGTAATGCATCACATAATCTCCTTTTTTTGTATTCTAGATAACTGGAGTGCTAAGGCCAAGAGGCGCAATACTACCGGAACTGGCCGTATGAGGCATCTGAAAAAGGTCTACCGCAGATTCAGGTACAGTAGAGTATCCTTACTGTTACAGATAATGTGTTCTGGAATGCAATGCGGGTTATTTAATGCAAGATCCATATGAATATATGCTGTAAGCTACCATGGTGGGTTTTCTTTTTAAAGGGCAGGGTATAAATATTAATAAATTAGAAGTAATGAGTTCTAGCTAACAAGATTAATGTGCCTGTTAGTCATGTCCATTACAACAGTAATTGGTAATAAAGCAATTATATCTCTTAAATGAGATTAAGCGTCACTGAACTCAGTGAGACTTTCTCCTTAGTAAACTTGTGTAGGATTGCACTGTAAATAGTCTTAACCTGGCAGTGTATTCTAAACAAATAGCAGCCCCAATGGCTGATATATTTACAGCAGTGCATCTTGAAGTCCATTATACTGTTGAAAACACTACCAGGGTTTTTTAATCTCACTGCTTTAACCCCCATCCCCTAACACACACACACACACACACGCGCAATGTATATACTTGAGACTGAGGATTAAAGTTCACTCATCTGACAAAGCTGATGCTAGTCCATGAAGATTTATGACATAATAAATTGGTTAGTCTTTAAGACAGGTTTGTATTGCAACAAACACAGCTACCTCTCTGGGGGGGTGTGGAAACATTAAAGGGCACTTTAAAACGTTCAGCATGTTGAGAAGTGTTTATTCATTTTAGAAGCTTATCTATGATGCCTACAAAAAACAAAAGTCTGAACATCTGAGTTCATAAGTGATTTCATTTTTTAACTGAGATAAGCTGATTAAAAAGAACACTAAAATCAGTTAAATGGAAAAGTTCGCTCTAGAACACTTGTAGTAATCACTAACTCCACTTCGTCTTGTATACACAGGAATGGATTCCGTGAAGGAACAGCGCCAAAGCCCAAGAGAGCTGCTGTTGCAGCATCCAGCTCATCCTAAGGACTCAAATGTGTTTTTAAAATAAATGGCCTGAACTGCTAAGAACGCTTGTCATCTTTACATGTTCCTCAGTATCTCCTCTTCCACATTGAGACCTTTGTTCAAGCTTGGTTGTTCAGATAGTTCCTGATGGAAAGTAATCTGAAATTTGATGAGATAAATATATAAAATCTCATGTTCAAATATACAACACCCCCCCCAAAAAAAAACAACAACACACACCCAAAACCTTAGTACTGGTTGTGTGAAGCTTCATTTTGGTGGTATGGTACAGTTGGATATGTTGAAGATGTGTCATGAGAAAACTTGCTCCAGAAATTTATAACATAAAGAATACGTTTTATTGGAGTGTCCACAACTAGCTTTGTATATTCACATATAGAAGATGGTAATTTAGGCTGTAATCCTTAAAGTGCTTGGTAAAATTCTCCACCTGCTCCAAAGCAGTCCCAGTGCTGCACCAAAATGAAATTGTTCCAGGAATGTTCTGAAGTGCAATACTGCATAAAGAAGATCACAACTGTACTTTAATGTGGTTAGCAATGGTAAACAAAAACTCAAAGTGCATAGAAAAAAATGCACCTTTTCCCGATGCCAAATATTTACTAAGGTTCTTGTTTCCTTGAGCGCTTGTTTTATCACTTTGCTTTGTTGGTCTTTACAACAAGCATTGCTTTATTGTTGCAAAGGGGAAAGACTTGATTTGACAAACATCTCAGCATTTTGGGCTTACCTTCAACATAGCCATGTCAGGTTTCATTTTACTTAGGACTTCCAAATAATGGGATTATATCCACCGAGGTCTTGCCCGAGGTTTGAAATTGGCACATCAAGTGGGGGCTTTCACATCTGAAATTTATTGAAACATTCCTCTGCAAGTTCACTAGTAAAACAGTACTAGGAACAGCTTCATTTTGGTTTAATAGAGGTGGAGCTGCCTTTGTAGTCTTGACCTAAACCATCATACATTTTAGCCTGTACAAGTATTTATTACAATTCAAATGTCGAATTTGTCAGAGAGCATGTGCCCTTTATTATACTGCCGAGTTGCCAGTATATAGTGAATTAAAATAAGGCATATTATGAGATGTTCAGTGTTTGGTATTCTTGACGTAGCGGCGTAGACCCTTTGAAATCGAAATACTTGAGTGTCAGAGATTCTACTACAAGTATGACTAACATTGGATATCACTGTATTTGCATTTAATATACTGCCAAAGTTGTCCATTGTAAGGGTAAAGGTCCAATAAAGTAAGGATTGTGCTATATATGATAGTATTACATGGCCAAAGTTTTGGGCCACGTGGGCAAATTTGGAATTTTGAGAGCACTGTGAGCATTGACTTCTTTGCTGTCTCCACATTGGTCTCCAACACACACAAACCCAAGATACCAGAACATAGCATTGGGCAAAAAAATTAGGTTTACAAGGCAGGTTGCTCTGAGTATTAACTGCTGTAGTTAATACTAAGCACTAACATGAAATGCTATATTCTCTATAATGTACAGAACCAGATTTTTGATAGCTTCAAGAAAAAACTTTTAAAAAATTTCAGCATAACTGGGACTTTGCACATTCAACAACTCTGGACTACAGAGCTTAAAAGCAACACTTAAGAAAAGTAGCAAAATGCATATTTCTCAGTAATTATGGATTACCTTCTAGATCATTTGTTGGTATAAGATCTGACAGTGTCTGGTCATTGGCGGGCACAGTGAAGTAGGGCCTTGGTGAGATCTGCTCTGTAAAGTATGCCATCTGGTATCAAATTCTGCCATAGCTCAAAGGGGGTCCATCTCTGGTTCTAGTCCGAAAGCCTGCAAAGCTGCTGCTAGTCAGTGCACGCAGTACTGATTGATGCTCCAGTTAATGCTTAGGCATGTAAAAGATGGGTTTGAGCATACCTAATTGGGAGGAGAGACCACAGTTCAGCAGCAAATGCATTTTTTTCAGTGGAGTTGTAAATCAGATGCAGAAGGTCCCCATCCAGCAGCCATTTTTGCAGACAATCTCCCACCACCTGCATGCAGGTCAATGGAGGTGTGTGCACTTGTTCTTGGGATACTCCCAGTATTTTGTGATTCACTATGTGCCCTCCCCACCATGTACCACTGCAGCAGTTATTTTGTCCCACACCGCAGAAACTGTGGTCATGTCCACATTTTAAGAAATTCTAGCTGTATCCACAAACCACAAGGCTGTAGTTCCAAAGGCTCCCTTGCACCTTTACGAAGGAGCACTGCTGCCAGAATTGGAGAAAATACTTCATTTGTGTTGCTGATTACATGAGTTGAATTTGATGAGGTGGCTGCTGTTTCGTTATAGGCATGGGTGAATCGTAGCCAGTGATTTGCAATAATGCGAATAAAGCCAGACCCAATACCAGGTACTCATTTGATTGTTCTTTCCAGAGAATGTTATCTCTTTGTTTTGTTGCAGTGCTGACTACTCACCTGCGCTAATGCAGGTTTGGCATATTAATGCTGCAATCCTATGCATGCACACTTAAAACATCTACCTTTTAATACAGGGCAACATATTTTTGAGTAACCTTGGAGGGAATCCAGCCTCTCTCTGTGTGAAATAGTGGGTGTGTTTTTATAACGGAAGAGAAGGAGAACTGTGAGTCAGCCTTTCTTCCGCCTATTGCACCTCCCTTGATCTGGCCCCTGGCCAGGTTCATTTCTGAAGAGAGAATCTCTTCTCTGTGTGTCTGTGTTTGAGCTATTCTGGAATACATTTAGTAACTCTTAAAAACTGATTACTGCCAGGTATTTTAATCTTAGCGTGGCCTGCAAAAATTAGACAGGTAAATATCTTCCTATCTGCCAGGAAATGTTTGAATATGTTTGAACCAGTGGTCAGCATCACCAGTCTAAAAAGGATAACAAGGAGGGATCCAGTCTAACATCTCTTGGGAGGGAATTCCACAATATTGGAGCAGACACTACCAACCATGCCTACGGCTCACCTCACTCGATGACTGGGGGCAGAGCACGTCCAGAATGGTTAGAAGTCAGTGGGCAGCCTTATTCACCATGAATCTGCCTAATCCACTTTGAAAGCCATGCAAGGTGGTGGCGGTCAACCCACCCATGAGGGAAGGTAAGAGAACTGCCTTGGGCAGCAGGATTCACTGTGGCAGCAGATTCAGCCTCCAAGGAATGCAGATCTTAGTCCTGATGTAGATCTTCACTCCCCACTTCTTCCCTGGCACAGGGTGGGAGAGGGACACTTTTGTGGTTTGACTCAGGTGCCAAGATGTCTTGGGCCAGCCCTGCCATCACTATATTCTGTGGGAGCGAGTCCCATAGGGCAACGTGCTGCACGAAGGAGTGGATTTATTACGGTCTTTTAGTTGTGCATGTGCTGAAGCAGACTATATATATGCACACACATATACCACATATCATAGAATTGGAAGGGATCTCAAGGGTCATCTAGTCCAGGGATCTCAACTAGATCATAAATGACAGAAGGCAATTATATGCCTTTCCCCACCACCATGCACTCAAGTCGGTTCATTGCCCAGGAACCGAATTGTTGAGCTTAATTAAAAGGCTTGCGATCCAAATAGCATCTACCTGCGAAACAAGTCCCCTTGAATTCAACCAGGCTCACTCTAGACTTTCTGTCGTTTCCTAATTTCCCAAACAGGAAATTACATACCCTCCAACATTTCACCAATGATAATAGGGACTTCCCATTCCATAATGATAATTATACTATTTATCCCCACCACCACATCTTACTGGGTTGCCCCAGCCACTCTGTGCAGCTTCCAACATACATAAAAACATAATAAAACATTACAAAAAAACACAAACACTGATTGCCATCAGTCGTCTGGGGGGTCGGATAACTCCATACCTTCCAACATTTCTGCAATGAAAATAGGGACATAAAGCGGGACGTTCCGGGATCCTATCAGAAACCGGGGCGGCTTCTCTAAATCGGGGACGTCCCTGGAAAACGGGGACACTTGGAGGGTCTGGGATTATTTGGAATAATGATCCCCCCGAGGCCTGCCTTCCTATGTCTCCCCACCCGCCTCCCGCCCCTAGGTAAAAGCGGAGTAAAAGCAAGAAGCCGCGGAGTCTCGCTTCTGGGCTTTCGAGGCGGGCGGGCGCTTGTGTGGTTGAGGCTCCTCGCACCCCGCACAGCCTCGCCTGAGCTCCTCTCTCCTATTGGCGAGGAGGGAGGGCGCCGGGCCGCCTCGCTCCCCCGCTCCCTTGTGCGCAGGCTCGGCTCTCGGCGCAAGATGGCGGCGGCGGATAAACAGAAACATGAGCACGGGCGGGTGAAGATAGGGCACTACATCTTGGGGGACACGCTGGGCGTGGGCACCTTCGGCAAAGTCAAGGGTGAGCGCGGGGCAGGGAGGGCGGAGGCGGCAGCGGAGTGGACCCCCTTCCCGGATCATTTGGGGTCAGGGTGGCGGGGGAAAGGGGCTGTGTCCTTTCCACCCCAAAGGCTGCTGGCGCCTTTTCCTAACGGGGAGAATTTTTTGGGGGGTGGGAGAGGCGATGGTGGGAGGGGGCGTTGCTTAGTAACCTGGGGAGGGGTTGCATCAGTGGTAGCTTTGCCCCCCCCTCCCCAGTTTTGCAAAACGGGGCTCTCGTTTTTTGGGGGGACGGGAGGTAGGGAAGAAGGTAGGTTGATTGCACCTTTCGGTCTTCCAGCTAAATATCAGGATTGGGTGTGAAAAGACCCACCCCCCCAAAAAAAATCTGCCTGCAAAACCTCCCAGCAACCCATATCTTATGGCTCTGCTAATGCAAGATGGTCTGTCTATGTTGCCTATCCGGATGCAAGTTCACTTCTATAGAAGGGAGGGTGTAGGATTGCAAGGCTTAACCGCGCAGGGCAGCCCCAAACCTGTGCATGTTTACTCAGAGGTAAGAGCTCAGTCAGTTCAGTGCGGCTCTGCTCCCAGAGTTTGGGATTTGTGTCCTGACAACCTGATCCTTAACAAACTTACTCGCTCAGGACACAAGGTCCCATTGAATTCATTTGGGTTTCTGGGTTGCAGGCAGCCTTGCAGTTGCAATCCACTGCACTTTATAGACGGAAGTAAGCCCAACTGACTCTGATATGACTTGCTTTCAATAAGTGGTATGTTCATTTATGGCTTGGATGACTCACAGGAGTGTCAGCTTGTGTTTTTTCCTAATTAGTTGATGTGGAGCAAAAGTGTGTAGTTTTGTGAACTCACCTTCAGACTTCTTTTCTGTTACTGTCACCTTGCAATCCCTCCTGCTGCTTGCAGCCAGGGCTAAGTTCCTTGTTCTTGCCCTAACCAGTTTCAACCAGTCCAGGGCTGCATGTTTTTTTTTTCCTCCTCCCATTCCCCATAAGCAGCTTTTGCTGAGATCTGTCCTGAAAGTGATATGTTAAAATAAGAGTGTTGGTAAATATGGGCAGGTAGAGAATTGTGCTCTGTCTGGAAAACTTTGCAGCAGTAATCAACAGTCTAAATTCTTTCTAAAAAGAACAGGCTAGTTATGAGTGCTAAAGCCAAGGTGATTGATGTGTATACATGGAATCTCAAGTTCATGGTGTTCTTACTAAAAGCTGGCAAGGGTGGAATTTGTTTCTCTGTTACTTCTTGCAAAAAAAATAAATCCCTCTAAAATCACCATTGGAGATATTGCTAATGGGGTCTTGGATCTTACAAGCCAATCTTAATCATGTTTACTTAGATGCAAGTCTCAGGGGCTTCACAAAAGAAATGACTTGGAGGAATAAACAAAACAGATACAGATACCACAGTAATTAACTCAGCATCATAAAATAATTATGCACATTAAAGTAATAAAGACAAGATAGGTAGTTGTACATTTAAAACTAGCTGAAATAAATGAGTATTTGGTTTGTCTTCAGAATCCTAATAGTTTTGTAGTCTGACAGACTCACTTTGGGAACATATTCTAAAATTATGGTGTTGCCAGAAAGTGTCCAGCCTCATCATCCACTTGTAACAATTAGACAATGATTTGGCCCTTGGGATTGTACTTCAGACTCCTTTGCTCCTTCTTTGCATGCTTCAGTTCCCTCCCTTGCTTCCTGGTTCCTGCTTTTGCATTTCAGCCAGGTGAGCTAGAAGTCATAGTGAGGGTGGGGATCCGGAACATAGGAGTGAGAGTGTGATCCCAAGGAATGGCCCCAACAGCCAGACCATGGTTAGCTGTTCATCAAGGTCATGGATTAACCCAGGCATTGCTTTATTTTGATAAAAATTAACTTTATTGCATCACATTCCTCTTTCTTCAAATTGTGGGTGGAGTGATTTGCTTTCCTCCTCAAGGGTGTTTTCAAGTGGAAACATGGAGAGATTCTCTTCCTATAAGGCTAATCAGAGGATATTTTGTTGTCCCTTGATAGCTTTTCATAACATATTACCTCTTGAATTTTGACTCTCAAGGTAGCTTTCTGTAATGCTGGTTGGCTTGGGCTGGCCCTTATTTAACCTCCCGTTAGGATGATACCTGGAGCAGTGCTCCTCCTGAAGCTCATATGGGGGAAAACGTTTCCTCAAATATAGTGGCCCTGCTGATTTCATGCTCTGAAGGTAATCTGAGCTAGTATCTTGAATTAGTCAGTCAAAGTGTAGGTGATCCAAAGTGATAATCACCTGGTTCATACATCACTTTAAACCACAGTTAAGCTTAACTACGGCTTAAAGCATGCTGGTGTACATAGGGGAAAAATTGCTGCCTTTTCATTCCTCCATTGCTCCTGTGCTATCAAGAATTAAGCCATGTCTTGGGTTAATATATCCAAACCCAGGGTCATGGTTTGTTTGACAGAGACTAACCATGTGCATTGGTTCAGACTTCTAAGCCAAACAGTGGCTTAGCTCTCAGTTGCATGGCAACCATAAGGTTAGCTATATTTAAAAGTGATGTGCTAACGAGAGCAGTGTGTCTTCTTTGCATGATTCCGGCAAGCAATTGGATGGTAGAATTTTGTATCTATTTGCACCTCGGGTAGAGAGCACTACCTCTACAGGAATAGATCTTGGAGGTTGCAAGAGCCTAAGTGACTGTGGCAAACCATTTTCTTCAGGGACTGGTGGCAGACTGCTTACCAGATGCAACTGAATAAATCTTGCACAATTGCACATTAAAGTTTTGTTTGCATTAGTAAGTAGTTGTGATCTGTTGGCACCTACTATCTGACAAGAAGAGCTTTCCGCACAGCAGATGATCACTCTTCATTTGCGGGGACAGTGTAGAGGAAGATACTCTTTACTGTTTGTCCAAATGTTCTGTCTTGAAAAAGATAAGGTGCAGATACCTTTTCCAACTGCTTGCTAAAATGACTTATTGACCTACTCTGCAGAAGGTTCTGCATGTATTTGCAAGTGGCATTAAAAAGCTGTTAATGGATCTTCTTGCTGTTGCTAAATTGCACAGAAATATTCAAAACAGTAATTTGCTCTTTATTATGTTTGGTTTTTGGACTTGACAGTAAACTTTGAACTGGTACTGTTTTGTCGCTGAGTGCTGACTGGCTTTCTAGTCTGTCTGACAAAGTTCTGTGTCACTTGTTCAGAAAGCATTGGCCAAATAAATGGCATTGCCTAATTTGGACCCGTGTGCTAAAGTGGAATACTTTGTAATCAGTGCTGTGCTAACGGAAGAGTAGACATTAAGACTGTATAATGTGTATCAACCAAGTTTAGGAGCTAATGAATTGTGATTTTCTAGAGGATCTTGTAAGGCAATTGCTAAAAGTAATAATTGTGATGGATTAGGTGATTATCGAAGATGAACATAAAATCAATGTCCTAACCCAGGTTGTTTCTTTTCTTTCTCATTCAGTACTTGCTGTGTATCTGCAATGTGCTGTAGCTACTCTAGTCAACAAGGCCTTGCAGCTTGAACCTCCCATGCACATTTATGTAGAAATTTGGAGAAGTTTGATGACACTTATTTCCAAGAAGGTGTGCATAGGGTTGCAGACTTAGAATAGTGTTTTGCAACCTATTTTCAGTCTTTTCATGAAGTTACTAAAAGCAGGTATCCATTTGTATTCCGGATATATGCAGGTGGGATTAGTTTGATGCCATTAATAAGTCAAATTGGTAGACCTGTTTTAAAACAAACAGAACTGGAACAATGTCTGTCACATGCCCGCCTTGTAGCTTTTAAAATTTATTTTAAAGGTGGTATAAGCTGTTAATGCAAACCTCAGTGGAGAAATGATCTCTCTTGCAGCAATTGCTCTGTGGGCAGTTCGAAGAAATATATTAAGCATCTGCTGTTTTGCTTACTGCTGTCTGAGACAGGATTTTCAGTCGGATGAATCACTAAATGTACAAATCAAAATGCCAATTTCAAATGCTGTTCCACCATCTCTGACTAATACTAGCAGTGCTGAATTGACATAAGAGGGGAGAACGTTGGTGTGGTAATAACTGGGCAAGTTGTTAGTTCTCTTGTGTAAAGGATCACTGAGGGGGCCTTTCTGAAATGTAAGTGTGTGTTGAGGTCATGCATACATGTATGTGTTTGTGGAACTTTTTAGCCTGTCTTTTCCAGCAGGCTTTCAAGCATTTTTATTTTGGGGCTTGAACAGCTGATGGAATCAGAATCATCACGTGAATATTTGGATAGCATGTAGCAGATGCTTTGTTCTTTTCCTGTGTATCTTCACAGGAAATTGCAGCCCAATTACATCTGGGTGAGGTCTTGTTCCGTCTTGCAGAGAAGAAAGCAGTTATCGGCAAGGAAATAATTTTCTCCCACATTGCACAACCGTTTTAATTCAGGTCTTCCCTAAAATGAGAATTTCACTGTCAACCCAGCCCGTGTTAATTAGAGCTTGGCAATTACTTAAGTTCTTTGGCCCCAAACTAAATCTTTAGGAGCACTGAGCACCTTCAGGGAGGTGTTCAGGGAGTTTTTAGTCCTGTTGGGCCTTGCATGACCGTTATATAGCACTATATTCGCTTACAGACTTAGAAACTTGGATAGAAAATTATTCGCCACATGGCTCCTGGAACCTAGGTTACGGGCGCAAAAACAGAAAGTCTAGTCGCCATTTTGTCCTTTTTACAAGATTGACTCGGGCTGTGGCAGGGGGAGCGGTTCTTCACTGCACTGCAGTGTTCCTACTTTGGAGTTGGACAGGGAGGCATTTCTGACCACTGACCACTGGTCCTGTCAGCTAGGGATGATGGGAGTTGTAGTCCCAAAACATCTGGAGGGCCGAGTTTGCCTATGCTTGAGCTAGAATCAGGCATGTCCAAAGTCCGTTTCAGGGGCCTAATCCGGCCCCTGCGTCAGTTTATTTCCAACTTTGGGGTAAAATCATAAAAAAGCTCAACAACTTCAGTCCAAAAAAAGGTTAACAACTTTGGTTGGCCCTTGAGTCGGCCCTCATGGCCCTTCACTTCATCAAATCTGGCCCTCTTTGAAAAAAGTTTGGACACCACTGAGCTAGATGGACAAATGATCTGACTTGCTATGGCAACTTCCTGTGTTCCTAGCAGCCTCAGAACATAACTGGTAATAAAGTATGTTTTAAAGACAAGATCATCTTCCTTCTGAGTCTATTATTTTCTGTTCTGTACTCCATATCGGAGGTGGCCAGCTTAAAGTCTGCAGGCCATAAAGTGCCTGAAATAACTTTATGAGGCTCCCAGCAGTCCTGCCAAATTTGATTCAAGGTGTGGTTTAAGGTCCCCCCCCCCTTCTCTCTCACAGAAAAAGGAGCAATGCTCAGTTAAGACAAGGGACAGCAGCAGATCTACTTGGTGAGCAGAGCTTTGGGGAGGGACTTTTGATCCTTTGCAATCCTGTTGATGATCTCTCAGTAGGGTGTCTGCATTACGTTCCTGTGAAGTTACTTCTGGTTGTATCAGTTTTGCTCAAGACCCTTATCATATGCGTGTGGGTTGGTTATTTAAACCCTGTGCTCGAGGGTAGCACATCCCCTGAGAGTTCAGAAGCTGCCTATCTGTTCCGTCCCCTCTATACTAAAAGCGATTACAGTTCTTGGAATAATGGTCCTCATGTGATACCATCCACATCCAAGAGGGAAGTGTCAGCAGGTTTGGGGAGCCCTGAGATTTGCAGAAGTACACGTCTGGGTTGGGGAAAGGGGCCCTGTATGGTTCAAATGTGCTCAGTGGACATGGAATACTGACTGCTTATACGGGGCAGGGTGGGGAAAAAATGGGAGGAAGGGGAATAGAGTGGAATATCCCGGACCGGCATGTTGTATACGGCAAAATTTTGTTGCACATCCCATTTGTCTTCTGTAAAGTGTTTGCCTGGTGGGTAGATGCTATCTCCTGCTGGTGCTTTCACACACAGCCTGAACCTGTGCATATTTACCTGGAGGTGAATCCCACATGTGTACATGTGAGTGTAACTTTTTGTAGAAACGTGGAGTCCGTCCTCACCCCAAACTTCCAAAGGTTTCACATTGTGAAATAAGCTTAGAACCCACTGGGGCAGAAAAGAAAATAATCTGATTATTTTATTGCCCTGCTAATCCCTCAGCATGTCAGCTTTCACAGCGGATGAATTGTAGATGTTAAGGAAATAAATGTTTATAGACCTGAAGGTGATGGTCTCTATTCCATTTGGTAGGGAGGCTTGTTCCAGGAGGGTACATGATACTTACCTTTCCTGTTGTATCTCAGTTTCATTGCAACATCCTCCCTAGAGGACTCTACCTTGCCCTTAGGGAAATGACAGAAGCCAATGCATTTTGCCCGACCTTTGAAATTATTGACATTTTAGCTGCTAGTTTTAGAGTGAGCTGATAGCCTGATAATAATGATCGTTGTTACTGGTTTTAGTGTATGTGTTTATAGTCTCTACACTGCCCTGGGCGGTTGCATAACTGGTAAGGTGATCTATAAAATTTAAAAATAATAATAACCTGCTTGAGTTGCTGAAGAACCGTAGCTCACATAGAAATCCTGACTGGCTAATCCATTTTTTCCCCTCCCAAAGGCCTCTTGCTATCATCGTTTATAGCATGCTGTGCTGTATGTTTTATGTTTCATAACAGTGCAAGACCTAGTCTTCTCAAGGCTACTATTTTGACCCGGGACAACGGTACTGCTATGTTTTGTGGTTCTTGAATCATATTCTGCCCACGCTTTGTTATGAGAAACAATACTCATGTTCTAGGATTTCTGTTTTCTCATCTAGTTGTTACGCACAGCTTTTAAACTTTTGTTGAAATTGGGCTTTGTTGTGCAGGCCATGTGCCAGGCTAAACATATTCTCCAGAGCATCATAGAATCGTGGAATTGCAGAGTTGGAAGGGACCACGAGGGTCATCTAGTCCAAGCCCCTGAAATGCACAAATCTTTTGCCCAATGTGGGTCTAGAAACCCACAACCGTAAGATTAAGAGTCTTATGCTGTACCAACTGAGCCATCCCAGTATCAAATCAGACTTTGTTACTGTGTTTTATGTATGGTATGATGAACTGGGAGTAATGTGAATACAGTTCAATGCTAACTTTCTTCCTCTGTTTAAACTTGGACATAGTACCTCTGAAAACTGGCTGTCATAATTCAGTCCTCAGAATCTGCAACTCTCTGGTTCAACCCACCTTAATCCAGGTTTAGGCCATTTTAAACCACTTGATTCATGTTTTTAAATAGGTGGTGCCCACGGTGAGCTACTAAAAAAACACAAAACACCTTCCTGGTGGGCAGGCTTCAAAATCTTCCCTGCTTGTCCAAATCTGTTAGACAGCAATCTGAATCCCATTTACCTGGGAGTAAGCCATGGTGAATTCAGTGAGACTGACATCTGAGTGGACATAGTTAGAATTGCAGCCTGTCAGTATACACCAAATGACCAGCACAGGCATTTGAGACCAGGCAGGCTAGTAAAAGTGAAAACAACGACTAGTAACCTTTTGTGAACTTATTAGGCACGCTAGCTGAACTTGCTTCACTTTGGTAGTTAGAATTTTGCATCTGAGTATCTTGTGTTCTGATTTTAGAGAAAAGCTGTGTTTTGTGTCCTTGCTTTGTGTGGGAAATAACTTGATGGGATAAGGAAAGAAAGTCTGCTTTGCCTTTTCTTCCTTTCCCACAGAAACCAAGGCAATGCTATGAACTCTTCAAGCTTGCTTTGAACTTTGCAATTCAGTCCCAGAGGTGGAAGCAGCCAACTGTCTGTCGCCAATGAATTTTTCGTCGGGTCCTTTGAACACTTTCTGCTTACCAGAGATTCTTGTTCTCTCTCTTTGTATTAAAAGCATGCAATTTAGCAAATTTAGTTTGGCTGCCTGGCTTTTCTTCAGGTTTTCCAGAAACTGAACAATAAAGCTAAATTGCTTTCTGTTTGAGAAACTGTAAGAAGAAATTGTGAAGGTGAAGAGGGAGGAGATACCAATGATCAAAGAGTGACTAGGCACCAAGAGATGTGTTTTTTCCCTTCCTTGTTAGCAGTTCTCTCCCCCTCCCAATAATATTTTATTAAGGTTTTTTCATAATACAGTACAAGAAAAAGTAACCTAAATAGAAAGAGAAAGAGAAAATAAAATGCAGAGTCCTCTCTTAAAGGTCGATCTTAACCCTTGTCTCACATAGAAAGGGGTGAGCTTTCCTTTCTTCTCCCAATCGCCCACCCTGGGAGATCTTCCCTTCTCTGCCCCTCATAAAGGGTCCTTCACCAACCATCCATCACCTTCCTGTGTATATAATCCCAATAAAACTCTCAGAGTAGAGGACACCAAGAAAAACAAGGGCGGGAGAGAGATGAAGGAATATAAAAAGAATAGAAGCAAAAGGGAAAACAGAAAGAGAGACAAAAAGGACTTCTGATTTTCCATCTGTCAAAGCGTATTAGCAGTTCTGTATAGAAAAAGATATTCCTTTGCAAACGTTTCACAGTCACCCTTGGGAAAAAAGCTGCTTATTGATTTTAAGGCATTCTCTATTTATCTAAATATTTGACTATGCTCTGGCAGTTGCAGCTTCATTTACCAGTGCAGATAATCCATGTAGCATATTTTTCATGTGATCATGTCATAACTTCCTCATACATTTTCTCTCTTGGGATAGGGAGGCCAAGTGCAAATGATTTTTTTTTTTAAATCAGGGGCGTTTGCAGAGGAAATGAGTGACTTATCTCAGGACTTGATAGTAGGTCCTCTAGAGAGTGATCTTGTCTGTAAATTAGGCTGCGCCATACAGCTCCTACCAATAAACTAGAGAGCCCAGCAAGAGATCAAAGTTTGTGGTTGGTTTGCTGCTGTTCACGCTTAAGGGAGAAGCAAAAGGGGAAAATCGGCATTCACAGTAAACGATTGTCCACTGCAAACCAGAGTTTACTGTCCATAGTTTACAGTGATGTGCAAATGGGGCATATGAGCTTTGTAGCTCTAAATTTCAGTTAGACAAATGTTTTTAAATCTTTATTGTGATATGCGTGAATTCTAATTGTGGTATACATTTTGCGTGAGCCTCTATTATAAGGTGTTGATTAACATACAAGGCTTTGGGACTTTTTTTGTATCGCAAACAGACACACAAAATATATACACCTCCATGCCAAACACTTGGATGCGTGCATGTGTTCTCAAACGGGAAAATTGAATTGGTTTTATGTTTGACTTGTTAGCGTTCGTACTCTTTATTAGGGAGGGGCCATAGCACAACCGTGGAGCGTATGCTGTGCATGCAGAATGTCTCTCCTTCAGTCCCTAGGTTAAAAAGGGATCGGGCAGCTCAGCCTCCCAATGTTTTGGATGATGGCCTCCACCAGCCCCAGCCAGCATGGTCAAAGGTCAGGGATAATGGGAGTTTTCATCCAAAACATTTGGAAGATACCATGCTAAGGGTGGCGGAGGCAAGTGTTGATATAAAAAATCTCTTGACTGAGATCCTGCAGGGTTTCTGTCAGTCGGAGAAGGCACCTGCTGGACACATAGCAATCTTAACATCAGGTTGTTCAGAATTGATTGTAGCCTTTCTTTTCCTATTCTTTTCTAGTAGAATATTTATCAAATAGGTCTTGCGGTTGAATAGAATCTAGCAATATCTTGGGGTTGGGAGAGAATGCTGCACATTTGATGTTTTGGGGAGACTTTCAACATGTAGAATAGGTACCGAAAGTTAGGTCAACCTTATCTTCCATTGAAATCAGCAGGAACCCTATCCCCGTTTGAAACATTGAATTCAATGGAAAACAAGCACATCTAAGTACCATGTTCTGTGTGTCCTTGAAAACCACAGTACTTCAGGTAGAACCTGTTTGTTCTTTGAGTGTTTGCCAAATGTGGGTAAGCTTTGGAGCATTTGCTTTCATACATGATACAGGGTTTTATGTAGAGGAAAATTTAATCTGAAAGGCATCAATGCGTCTCTCTCTCTCTCTCTCTCATGCTTGCACACTTATGTCCCTGCTACATTTGCTCCCCAGAACTCCCAGGGCATGTGTATGTGTGTATGTGTGTGTGCAGTAAAACACAATTTTAGGTGTTAATCATTACAGGCAAAATGCTAAAACCCTAAAAACTATATTAATCATGGGTAATATGATTTCTCAAAAGTTTCTGGGAATAAAAAGGATTTTCAAAGGGAAAGCAGAGCTAGCTTGATGAATTTATTTAAGAACTTAACACAGCAATGGCGCCACTTGCTGAAAAGACTCTGCTTCCTCACCTTAACTCTCCACACTGAAAGCATATTCTATATGGGCGCTGAATGTATCAACCTGCCTCAGACCATTTTTGCATGTCATGGTAAGCCATAAACCTTAGTTTGCTGTGCACAAACAAATCTTCCTTCCTATTCACTCCAGTAAGAAACAAACCACAATGCCTGGCTTTGCATTTTGCATCTAAATCTTTTGCCACTGGTGACTTTACCAATTGTGGTTCGTTGGAGCAAAACAAACCGTAATCCCTGGTCTGCACATAACACAGTTAGCACAGAGGAGAGAAAAAGTTCCGGTAAGATGGTTCATTACCTCTGCAACATATAATTATGGCTTATTGTGACATGTGAATGAATCTCTCCTTGTAGCTCAGCATTGCAGTCTCCTGAGATCTCAGTTGTGGTATCACAGCACCTTCAGACATCCTCTTGGTCACCTGTCCCTTCAAAAATAAATAAACCGAAGTTTGGGTTTTTGGTGCATTTTTGAGTTGTTTGTTGGTGGGTTGCCTTCTGTTGGTTTTGGAGTGTGTAGGTTTTGCCATTGTTTGGGGTGTGGGGTGGTGGTTTCACAGCATCACCAGTATTGCTTTTGGGAAATGGGTATTTTGTATACCCACAACAGTATCTTAGATTTCCAAATGTGCCTGAGGCCCCCAAAGTCTGGGGACCCCTCTGATGGGGAGTGGCTCTCCAGAGGTCTTTCCCAGCACCTACTAACTAGGGTATTTTTCACAGTAAATGCCAGGGATTGAACACAGAGCCCTTTTGCATGGAAATCATGTGCTCTTATTACTGGGCCACAACCCTCCAGTCTTGTTGTGATGTGAACGCTTCACAGTTTCTTTCTCATGCTCCATTGCACTTGTTTGCCACACGAGGCTGTGTCTTAGAGACCCCCTGCGCACACCTGCTGACTCTGTAGCAAAACATATACTGAAGGTAAGCTGAAACCAGGAACAGGCATTAAAACCTCACTGGGAAACCTTGCCTACATATTCCGGGACATAACATAGTTAAACATCTAGATTGTTTGGCTTACCTCCCTGTGTGAAGATGTGTTAATTGATGGTAAATTATTAACAGAACTACCATCCTAAAAGGGGGGCAGTGTCATCTCTTAATGATCTAAGTGTTTCAAAATGTGCTGGAAGCTTTTTTGTTTCACAGAACTCCTGTCTAAGCAAAATAAGTGGTCAAACATTAAAAGGAAAAAAGCAATAATAGATTTTAATACCTTTGAATAGTGCACTGTTTTCTCTGAGTCATTAAGACCACAGTACCTTTCTCCTTGGTACACTGTGTTTTTCATTTGGCACAGACTTTGGCTTAGCATTATGTGCAAACCAAACTATGCCTTAGCACAAGCAAGCAAACAATGGATTTCCAGAGCAAAGATCCTGATCGCCGTGTCTTCCCTTGGTCCTGCTATACTACCCGGGGCTAAACCATGGCTTGGGGTTGTGGTACATCTGAACCTGGGCCTGTGGTTTGCCTTGCTGCAGAGAAACCATACAGTTTAACCAAGGTTTGTTACTGGTTTGCCACTCATGGTTTGTCTGCAGCAAGACAAACATCAAATCCTGGTTTGGGCATTAGGTTATGTCAAGCCATAGTTTAGGACTGGGTAGCGCAGCAGGATCAGGACTGAGGGAAGAGCTCAAGTGCTCTGATCTTTGCTCCAAGAACCTGCACATTAGCACAAGCAAGGAAAGCCATGGTTTGGCTTAGAGTTACATGAGAACTGGCCAGTGTTCAGCTAGTAA